ATATATGTACATCCTCAACAAAAGCTGTTTCTCACCTCTTGAAAGCAAGGTTATTTTTTTAAAACCACTTGCTGGTTTCTTGTGCATCGTCGTTTCATTCATAATCTGCAGAACCCTTTTCTGCATGTAAGGTATCTCAAGTCAGTTTGCTGCACTCTGTTTTCCTCAAAGCTGAACCTCCTTTGAGCAGAAGCTATCTTCAGTGTTAAATTTTGCAGCATTTTTTCAAAGCATGAAAAAGCCCTGCTGGTATGTAGGCTGTAATCTCAAGCTTCCAGGAGTTAGGTAAGTCTACATCTATTCTGCTTTGGCACTCTGACAGTGAATTTCCTCAGAAACATATTGCCTGTTGACAGAATTCTGTAGATAAAGCAAAATTTTCTTTAAAAATACCACCCTGTGCAAAAATCTGTTTCTGCATTATTTTTGTCATAGATAACAGTACTTTAAATTATCAGTTATTTATTCTGTAGTGTGTTTTCACTCTTTTATTTGTCAAGAAATAGCTGTTACCCTCACATGATTCCTAAAGTATAGGCCTGAAAGAACTATATAGAAGGTTTCCGATCCAAGTCCCCTGATCCTGTAAGCAATCTCGGCCTATCATTTCACATTCCAGCTTGTGAATGTCTGGGCCTGTCATCTTAAAATGGAAGTTTTAACGTGATTTTGTCATTCCTTTATTCTTCTGCACTGTTCAGAAATGGCAGAAGCTGAATGTAATCCTGACCAATGCCTGAGTATAACATGAGGTGTTTCCATGAGTGATAAACTGCTCCCAGTCAAACTCTTTCAGTGTGCTGGGGTTAAATACCTCTTTTCAGGATAATTTGGCTTAGTATTGCTTCACTGTGACGTAGTTCTGTATAGCAGGATCTGATTGTTAAACACTTTGGGTTGAAAGAGGACTGCTCCACCTCTCATCTCCCAGATTGCTTTTCCTCATTTCTATTTGTAAAAGCGTAATTAAAATCTTCCCTCTACTCAGGAGTAATCTTAATTTTAAAATCATCTAATTATGTGTTTTATGCAGAGAAACAACTGCAAGGAGATGAAGTATTGCACAGATAATGGCTTGTGGCATCTGGCTGCACAGTGGTGTCACATAAAGCTGCTGCCCTACTTACTTGTTTCATTGGCTAAAAGTTTTAATTATAGCTTTTTTTTCTGACTGGTGACATGTTAAGTGCTCAAAATGTCAGGTCAAAGGTCAGGGGCTAATGGTTTAACTAAAAATAACTCTAAAGGTGTTATTTATACCTGATAAAGAACTCAGGGAGGATGTTACTTTTGCTTTGTAGAGATTTTTTTCCTTTGTTTTGTTTGGCACTTTTTAAATTTTGTTTTGTCTTTAGTGCAACCTGACTATGGAAATTTAATTTGACATAAGCAGAGGTTATATTTTGGAAGGACCACTGCTTATAACAAATCATTAACGATAATTCTCACTACGTTTCATACATTACCCGAGGTATTTTGATTCTAGTTTACTTGTTATTTTTCTTTTAAATTTGGCGTTTTGTTTCTTTGAAGTTTAATGACATAAAAGATCCCTCTGCTGAGCTGGCACAGCTGCCTGGCAGGACCACTCCACCCTCCTTCTTCATAGACTAAGTGTCTTGCTGCCTGTGGTAGGACATGTGTAAGACAAGTCTTCCCCGGGGTTGTGGCAGCAACAGCTCATCCCCTGCTGCTGTGGTGTTTGTGTTACATTGTCCTTTCTCCTTTAAGTGTCCAGCGTGATCTTGGGGCGTTTTGTTGTGTTTTCCTTTCCCTCCGCCAAAAAGCAGAAAGAATAATATGCTCGAGGATGGCCACTCTAGTGTGTTAAAGCAAAACAATGGACTAATGTCCTGTTGAAGACAAGAGCAGCCCTGAGCGTGGATGGAGCACTGGTGAGAGGACGCTGAGGGAGCCCTTTGTTTCTCGTGATGGCTGTAGCTGCTGCAGACAGAGAGTCATTGCAGAAGAGACAGCAGCAATGTTTTCAGCTCACACAGGGCGAGCTGTATCTTCCCTAGGCAAATCTATGAAATGTGTGTATGTACTTAGTAATATAATAATGAATCCCTTATTCCTGAGCACATGAATGAGTGCTAAGGAGGAGAGTATATCTTCGTATCTTATGACATGGGGGAAGGAAACTCTAGGCTAATTAGCAACAGTATCCCCAAGGGGAAATTATTTCAAACTCATTTTTTCGTCAGTGTCTTTGTAAATATCAAGATCCCGAGAAGGGAGTAGGGGCTGCTAAACCAGTGTGCACTTTCCATGCTCCCACACATGTCCTTGAGGGATGTGACAGTTAGGATGAGACACCTTTACTTCCATGTTTGGAACAGAGTTTGGCAACAGAGTTTGTTTTTTGTTGACAGTTTTGTCAGAAGTCTGTCTTACTGAGTTTACATTCCTTGGTTTTCTGAAAGCCTTTTGTACTCTGAGAACTAAGCTAAAAATAAGCTTAACCATCAAAGGATCTATTTCATAGGACTTGAGGTTCTTGAGTATTCATATATTTAATGATATTTAATACATGAAACAAAACTGGTGATCTACAAATGAAAAGCTTGTTATGTTGGTGTCTCCTGTGTTAGGCAACTCCTGAAATCAGACCAGAAGTTTTGTATTTTAGAATGGCATGGAATTTTTTTCTATTTGAAAGAGCATAGGAGAAATAAAAGAGAAGTAGTGCCAGTCCTGTGAAGAAGTGGTTGGTTTTGACTCGCTGCAGGAACTGTCTGCAGGAGAGCAAAATTGTTTGTTATCAGTTGTCCCAGTTAAGCCTGGATGTTGGGCATTTGGTTGGACTTCTCCCACGTCCTGCTGCTGCTCTATTTGACCAGGAGGTCTCCTGACGTGCAGAGCTGCAGGCTCTCTCCTCCACACCTCTGTCTACCATTAGTGGACTCTGGGAGGTGGAATAGGGAAGAAACAAGAATTTTTCTCGTACATTTTACAGCTGGAAATCTTCATTGCTACTGCAAACTATCCCTGACACACAGACCTCCCTTGGGAGCTTGCACAGAGGTGTGATGACCCCTGTCACATGAGACCTGTGGCCAAAGCTGGCATCTCTGGTAGTTCAGTCTTTGTAACCTGGACTACACAAACCCAGTATCAAGCTGCACAGTTCTGCTTTCCCACAACTTTCCTACTGAGACAGACAGCTTGGTGTGTATGAATGTGTGAACTGTGCTGTAGTCATTCACACCTATTGCATGTGTTACATGGAAGTTGAGAATGTAAAATTAGGTTGCTTTGATCTTCTTAACAGTTTGCTATTACATTTAAAGCAGCACTTGAGCCATTTAAAATAATTTCCTTTAACCAAAACGTGGAAAATCTGCTTCAAGTGATACCTTCATTCGGTTAAACGAATGCCACCTTGGCTCTCCCAGGGATGGGTGACAGAACCAGAGGCTGATTGAGCCTGTGGCTTTGAGCAGCACAAAGTGGATGATGGAGCTGTGCTCTTATCTGGGGGCTTGGTGTTCTTTTTGAAGATAGGTAGCAGCTTGAGAACAGCAACACCATCTGTAAATAGTTATTACCCAGAGCCTGTGCCCACGGACACTGATTGACATGGACCTGGGAGAGAGAGGAAGAAAGCAATGAGGAGGAGGGGCTCTCACCTCTGGGACCATGGACCCTGCCAAGGACATATGCTGTGGATGCATTATGCAGTTTCCATTGGGGGCTCATAGAATGTAGGGATACCAACAGGCTCATAAGCCTGACATGTCACCTGGAACACCAATTCGAGACTAAACCACCCATTCTGACTGAGGTGGATAGGCTGCCCATACATCACTTGGAAAAGGAACATGTATAATTTATACATGTTTGATAAATAGCTTCAACATTTCATCAGCAGCTTTTTTTTTTTTTTTACCATCCCAGAAATAGAACCACAGATCTTCTGGAGGACCTTTAGGGTATACAGAAACCACAGATAGTTTCTCCGTGGGAATGTCTTTGTTCCCCCTGCATAGCATTTACTGATGGCCTCAGCAGGCATTGGCAGGTCCTGTTGTGTATGTGCTGCCTGAATATGTGTGTCCCTGAAGTGTTGCTCACAGTTCCTGTGCTGTAAGGGCAACCTGGTCTGCAGCCTGGCTATACTCTCAGCCCCAGCTTTGTAAAGCTTTGGGGGAAAGTATCACTCCTCCTTTCTGCACTTTCCAGTGTGTAAGATAGAGTTAAGCTCACCCAGCTCAGAGGAGTACTTTGAAATATCTTTCATTTTAACTTAGTTTGCTTTGAAAATGTGAAATACTGTATAAAGCAAATATGATCTTTATTTTAAAAGTTTCAGGCTCTATAAATGCTAAATTCTCTCCTTGGTTTTTTGTAGCTTGTTGTTTAGTCATACAGTTGGAGTTTATGCCCTTTGAGTTGAGAGAAAGTTGTTTTAGTAGCAAATGGAAATTTTTTTTTTTAAGTGAAAATAAATTGTTTCACAACAAAGGGACTGTCTTCACTCCAAAGCTGCTATTTGTGTCCTGAACAGCCATGCTTGAATTTTTCAGATCCAGAACAATTCTGGGGAAAGCTGGTGATTAGATCAGAAGGACGAAAAGTTTCTGTGGCTGACTCTGCTGTTGATTTCTCTATCTGTAAGATGGCATTCATGATCTTTACTAATGAACACTGGTAATTTAGTGGAGCACTATACCACAGACTCTGGATAGAAGTAGCTGCAGAAGCACCTAGTGAATAGTGGTAACAGGTCCTTTGTGTAGCCAGGTTCTCTGAAGCAGCTCTGCTGGCTGGCTGGGCTGTCCTGGCAGCATCCATCCTGATGGAGCATCCTGGTTGAAGGCAGTCCAGTCAGCCATTCAGGCAGCTTGGTAACTAACTGCCTTGTCTCTGCCGTGTGCATTTACCTTATTCCTGTTTTCCTAACATTTGTGGTGGAAGGGTTGTTGCCAAGCTGGGGAATGCAGAAAATAAGTGTCCTTGAGAGAATAGCTGGGAATTAACATGTCTTTGTGTTTCAGAGATGAGCGAAATCAGTCAATCATTGTCAGTGGGGAATCTGGAGCTGGAAAGACTGTCTCTGCTAAGTATGCCATGAGGTACTTTGCCACGGTCAGTGGATCTGCCAGTGAAGCCAATGTTGAGGAGAAAGTCTTGGCCTCCAACCCCATCATGGAGGTAAGAGAGCTACAGCACTAAGCCCCCCACCCCAGCTGCAGTTATTATTCTGAGTCTAGCATAAGCATTCAATAGAGAGAGCAATCCATGCTTTTTTAAAACATATATAAACATATATTAAAATTTTGTGTTTCATCCATTTACAAGGAGTTGCTTTAGGCATCATTTAGTGTAGCATTTATGAAAGACTGAGAAAAGGTGGGAGGTAATGTTTCAGTATTGTTAATGTATTTTACATAACAAAGTAATTTTTATATCAAAACTGCTTTAAATCTCTTCAGCTTTGCAACACTGGTAGTTCCAAGACTGCTGGACAAATGCAATTGCAGAAGACTGGGTTGGTGTGTAAAATTCCAAAGAGGATGAAACTTTTGTTCTTACCCACTGAACATGTACATCACACGTTGGGGGCAGGTAGATTACACTTTTAAGTGAAGAGAGTTGTTAAGTAAAGCAAATGTTAAATTTTAGGAAATAAAATTAGGGGAGAGAGACTGAGAAAACGGAGTTACATGGAATGTACACCATTTCTTTCAGAGGAGAAAAAACACATCAGAGGAAGTAATTTTGCCTCAGACTAGTGTTTCAGTTCAGGAAATTTGTTTAACTATAGTCAAGTCCCAAAGCCATTGGCTTGGGAGCACAGATGCTGACAATACACTGTGAGAGGACATGTACAGTGCCTCCTGCTTCAGGATCCCTGTTCTCTGGGAAACTCAGGAGGTGGTGCAATTCTGATGTCATGGCCAAGCAGAAAAGATTTCTTAGCCTTATCTGAATTGTTTCTTGTGGTTTTGCCAACCTGTGTAGATTCAAGTTGTGGCTGAAGTTAAGGAACTACATTAAGAAATGATTCACCAGAAAGTCTTGGGGGAATTTCTCAAGAGAAGTAGCACTGCCCATAGGCACACACATGCTCATGCCTGTGAACAGCCTAAGAAAATGCTTAGGACCACTTGGTAGATGTTGGGCATCTCTGTGCAGTAGTGTGAAGTATTATGAGTAAATAGACTGCATGCAGTGAAATTGAAATGCAAAATGCTGCCATTGTTTTCTTTCTCAGGTATTTTAAAAAATGATCTATGTTTTATTCCTTCTTTCCTCCTGGCACGAGGAGTTCATGATAGTCAAACTATAGCTGCCCCATCACAGTTGTGTGTCTGTCTCAAGGTAATAGTGCCTGGTTTGTGGTGCTGTGTGGTGTTTTGAAACTTTTGTGTGATAAAACAAGCTGTGTTGTGCAGTGACTCATCCAAATGTCCAGCTATGGGAAGAAGCCAGGGAAGCTGAACCTTGCCTGGAGCTGGACCTGCCCCAGTGGCTGGGGAGCAGCCTGTGCCCTGGGGAGCAGTGGCATTGTTGGAGGTGTGAGCTGAGCCCAGAGCACACCTTGCACTGCTCCAGTGTTTGCAGTAAGTGCAGCACACCATCCAGGGCCACGCTGAGATCCAGTGTGTGGATAACAGGGGTGCTGAGGGCCCCTCCTGCCTCCCCTGCCCCCCATGGTGATGGTCCCATCCTCACCATCAGCCTGCCAAGGGCCAGCTCTGGGAAGAGGCTCTGCAGGACTGGTCTGTGGTTGGCTGTTCACTGGGTGAAATACAAACTCCCTACAGGTTTTCCTGTGCCACTTCTTTTGTTTGGTCTCAGAACCTAAAGCAAACATCCTGCTCTCTCCTCTCTCACTCCTTGGACCCCACATCCTAGTCAGTGACCATCAGCTCAAACACTAATGGAGTTAATTTCCCAAAGCGAGGAAGTCGAGGACTAAAAGTGAGCTTTCCATCCATACCTTTTTTCATTCACTAAAAATCAATGATGATGATTTATTTTTATTTTCTTGGGATAACAACAATTTCATGAACATGGATATATCTAAATATATATTTAAATTACTTCGAAGGTTATTATACTTGGATGAAAGTTATCCTTTTAACTTCAAACTCTTAAACTTTAAGTAAGCTTTAGAGTGAGTGTTGTAAAATCTAGTGTTGAGACAGACTCTGATAGCATAATTAATGTTTTGAATTCTTCAGTTGACAAATAAGTAGAAACACAAATTAACAAAGAAGAAAATGAGTAATTCATTTTAAAAACAGGAATCTCCTCATTTGCTGAGCTGACTGTAAAATCTTAGGAGCAGAAGGTAATTTTATTTTTAAATTTCTGTTTGGACAACCTAAACATCAGTATTTTATGAGCTACCATCATTCGTCTCAGAATTTCACAACATCTTTGCCTACTAAATACTCTGTAATGTCAAAAGACCACTGTGCATTTCTAGCAACTATTTAAGTGATTACTTTTGTAGTCAGCAACTATATACATTTTTCCTATTGCAAGTATAGAAATTGACAAATCATAAAACACATCTTTGTATGTAGTTTTCTGCCTCTCATTCCTCGTTACCCTCTATAGCTGTGCTAATGGTACAGCTTCATATGTACTCTAGTAAGCAATCTTATAATCCCAAAGGCTTTCTTAACTATTTTTATCAGTAATACCTTTCAAAGCAATAATTGGTTTCTGAAAATATTGTAATATTATATTGCTCCAATGAACAACAAAATATATTACAGGACCAATAATTTTAAACGCAGGAATGCAGTTAAGGTACGTTCAGTTTGAATGAATTCAGTATTTCTTAGAGCTGCAGAGATGCAGTTTGTTCCTAGATCCTTTACAGCCACTGTCCATCTGATGCCCACTTTGACATCTGCTCGACTGGGTGTGTGTGTGCTGCTGCTGCTGTCGTGGGGTTCTGACAGTCTAATCCCCACTTTCCAGGCTGTACCAGCTGGCACCGACCCATTCACTGGCCTTTTCCTTGCAGATTTGGGATACTCAGCAGTGCTGCTTGCTCTCATTTGTTTTTCTCAAGTTTATTTCAGTACAGAGTTCCTGTGGATGGCTACGTGAACTGGGAAACTAGGACATAAATACAACTGTGGTGCACCTCAGAGTTAGGTGCTTGATAACATGCACACAGTGGCATGTGATAAAAGGCAGTATGCTCCACCTGAATTATTCCAAATGCCAGTCCTTTTGATACAGAGATATCTTTAGGAATTTTTTGGAAAGTGAATGACAATGTCATGTCTAAACCACTGAGAATAGAAAATGCTTTTCTTAGAAGTTTAGCATGTTGTGATTTGCATGCCTTGAGTTCTGATACATCCAGCTGGTGCCTATTGTGGGGTGAACCCCAATGCTGATGAGGTAAGGCAAAGGTGCACCAAGGCCAGGTAGGAACCACAGTCATTATTTGCCCTTGAACTATAGAGGAAATACATGAAATACTGTTTGTTGTGAATGAAGCTGCATTGAATTAATCTGAGAAAGTTAGGCACAAAGGGCATCACTGAAGATATTTCTGGGTCAGTGACCAAACTGCAATGGAAGGGGTTCAGTTGCAGGCAAATTACATCAGATTGTGCATGTTTATGTTTAGATTATACATAGGCACACTGTAAATATTTTTCAATTACATGTTTGTAGAAGTAGCTTGGGAATGTGGTGATTAGAGAGTAATAATAATAACAAACTGTTAGCCAGGGAGAACAGAGGGGCTGTTTGCTGACTGTGAGTTTATGATAGGTCAATCTACAGAGGTTGTGAGTACTATACATATATCTGAACACCTACATGTATGAATATATACAGGTGGAATAACTGTTATAGTTTTATTAGGTCCTTGGAAAAAATCTGTATGTATGAGCTTTCTGTTAGACTTTTTATTTCCTTTAAAAGACTTTTGAGAGCAATGAAGGATATTTAGCTGGAAAATCAGACGATGTGAAAGTGAAATAATTGCTAGGAAGATCAGCTCCTGATGTTGCATTAATGAAGTAACCATGTTTTGGTGTAACTTGTTGACTAGGTGGAGATAGTTTTTTATTAAATTCTTGATTATTTTTAAATCAGGACTAGATTAATATTGTCAAGTGTTTATGAGCCATGTAGATGATTAAATAAATGTGATAATTTCTAAAAGGTGTCTAACTTTCACAATTTTCCCTTTTTTCAGTCTATTGGAAATGCCAAAACTACAAGGAATGACAACAGCAGTCGCTTTGGGAAATACATTGAAATTGGTTTTGATAAGAGGTATCGAATCATTGGTGCTAACATGAGAACTTACCTCTTGGAAAAATCAAGAGTGGTGTTTCAGGTAATACTGATGTAATCTCTTCATTTTGTTATTTCATACTTGAGCAATCCACCATCTCCCACACTTCCTCTCCATCTTTGCCTACCTTATAGTCTAGAGCTCAGTAAAAGTGGACTTATCCTTGACTGACTGCCTAAAGGTATAAAAATAATAATTACACTTTGTACCATGTAGGGATGTTACATGAAGTGCTGTCATATATTTTAAAAATGAGAGACTTATTCCACATGGTTTAGCTGGAAGAGAGTGGTTTTCTTTTTTTTTTTTTTGCTTGAAGTTTTGAACTTTAGATGCTTAAGTTCAGAATTATGGTGGTGGTCATGAGTCATAACCTTCTGAGCTGTGTTTGTCCTTCATTTTAAAATTCAAGCTTTGCCTTGGCAAGGAAGATACTCCCTTTACCAGCTTACTATAAATGCTGAGGTGAATGGTATTAGTTATTTTTGGAAAATGAAAGGCTTTTAAGTATGATCATTTCACCCACCCATAGAATCCTGATCTATATTTAATAGCAATCCACAGTTCTGAAAAGTGAAATCATACTTTTTTTTGCAAGTGAAAATGTCTGCATGCTTCCTGCTGTTGAAAATGGATTAAATTAACCAAGAAGGAAATGATAGATACTGATTTATCTTTCCTTTTTCCATGTGACTACTGTGCTCTTAATGTATTGCTAGAGAAACCATTATACATAGTAATTTATCCTGCTCATGGTTGTTCCTGCCACTTGTTAAGTGGTGAAAAATAATGAATCCCTTTCTTTTCAAAGGCAGAAGAGGAGAGAAATTACCACATCTTTTACCAGCTTTGTGCCTCTGCAGCATTACCCGAGTTTAAAACTCTACGATTAGGTACGAAATTCAAGTTCATTGTGTTGTGGGATTGTAGGAACAAAGCAGCATCTCTGACCTTTTTGAGCCAAAAAGCCAAAAGAAGAATTGCTGCCTCTTAAATTCTAAACTCTTAAACCTTCAAGTACTAAAATATATTGAAAATATCTAAAATGGCAGAACTCAAACTTTGTGGTTTTCTGTTAAAATAAAAGTAACAGATTTACTCTAATACACTGCAGTTGTAGTCACTAGGACTTACTGTGTCCTGGATTCCAGGGTAGTTTTCCAGTGGAGAGGGTGAAATTCTCTTCTCTTGGTCCTTTAAAACTTTTTTTCCATTGCTCCAGCCACTAGAGAATTTTACCCTTTCTCATATAAGCACCTGAAAAGCTTATTTTGCATGTACATACTTTCACTTGGGCTGTTACCAACAATTACTTTACCCTCTCTGCTAACCTGGTGATCACAAAACTAATAAGTGAAATTTTTCATTTTTCAAATCAAAATGTTAATAAAGGAAAGGATGCTCATTTGACAGGAATTGGTGCTTTGTAGAAGAAAGGCATGATGATGACTTTAAGACTGGCAATCACCTTATCATTTTAACAACTCGGTATAAATTTCAGTGCTTCTTTTTATGTTTTTAAAAGTCAGTTTCATAGTGGGAAAACTGCACAGCCTGTCAGTGCTGGTTTCTGAAATATAGTTCTAAAGTGTTTCTCTGCTCTTCTGCACCATCCTGGCACATTTAGGATTCACATCTGCTGACACAGGAAAGAAAAGAACTGATGTCATTATAACTAAAGAAGCCATTTAGCAGGCTTCTCTTTGAGCATTCTTGGAACCTTAGCAGATCAGAAGAAAAGGAGTCTTTTAGTGCAGCTGGAAGCATGGCCACTGGAACCGTAGGAATTTACACAGTACCCAGGAGAGCTGCTGCTCTCCCCGTGGAGCCCAGTGCTGTCCAGAGTGGTGTGAAGCTCTCCATTCTCCAACCAGCCAGAAGGGATCACAGATAGTCATAAGAGTGAGCCAGAGCATAAATGAGAGAAGAGAAGAAAATGGGCAAAATATATTATACAATATCCTGATGCATTAATAGCAGAATACCTGCTGTATAATTCCAAAGTGCTGCTGCTGTCAACTCTGCACCTGCCACTTGGCTCAGACTTGGAGAATAACTGCTTCCCAAGTGATTATTCCACAGGTGTGGAAGTCTGAACCAAGGTTAGGTAGAGAATATGCTTGAGGGCCTACTGTAGGAACCAGGTAGCTTAAGAGTACCTACTTGCACTGTTGAATCTTGAAAAAATCTTCTCTAGAATAAACATGTTTTATGAGCCAGAAGGCAAAAACATACTGACATATGTCAAATCTTGGGTTCTGCCAAGAGCAACTTAATCATAACACAGCTTTACAGATGTGCTGTGAATTTCTGCATCAATGTGTGTACAGTGTGTGGTTTTTTCTATTACAGGGAATGCAAATTACTTTCACTATACAAAGCAAGGTGGAAGCCCTGTGATTGATGGTGTTGATGATGCTAAGGAAATGGTGAACACCAGGCAGGCCTGCACTTTGCTAGGTAATTTGTAAAACACGGTCATATCCCAATTCTGATATACTAGCAAGTGTTTTCTACATTGTTTATGTATATTTTCTTCATATTTTGTTGTGTTTAAAAACAGGAGAGTTTGATAAACTTTGTGACTGAGATACTTGTCTTGCATTAAGAATGTGTTTAAATTGCAGTGGAATCATGAATCTAGTGTAGGAGGAGCACACATTATGTGAATATAAATGGTGAATTCCCTTGGTGTAGCATATACAGTGTTGGAGGTCCCTGACAAAGCGCTTTGATACAGCAAATTAAATTATTAATTTTAATGGATTTTTTTTTCATCTGGTTGTAAAATGTTTTTAATAGAAGTGGAGCCAATTGGTACTGTCAAATATCAAAGTCACACACAGGGGTCACTGCTTTTCTCTCCTTAATAAATTTTTTCATCAACTGCAGCTCTCTCCATTCAAAACATATTATTCATCCCTTTTCAGGGATTAGTGATTCCTACCAGATGGGAATTTTTCGAATCCTTGCTGGCATCCTTCACTTGGGCAACGTGGAGTTTGTGTCTCGGGATTCTGACAGCTGCACTGTTCCTGTGAGTAGCAGATGAGCTGAAGGGCATGCTATCCACTCTGCCAGTTCTGCCTTCTGCTTGTTTGCAAGAACATCTTCTGAATAAGAGTAATAATATGAAAATGAAAGAAATCTGTTTATTTCTAATTTGTTAACATTTTCACAGTTCTCTTTGCAGATAGATTCAACTCTTCTCAGTTTAGAGGCTTTAGACAGTACTCTCTGTATTGTAAAAGTGGTTATACAATTATAACTGTAATTGATCTGTCCTAGAAAAGTCTACCAGACAGGCCAGCTTTGAAGTCCTGAGCAGGTGTCTAGATCTTTGTATTCCTACATAAGTATCTTCCCTGCACACAGTAAATGCTTTGCTGGATGGGGTTTTTTTGCCATTAAATGCCAAAATGTCTTAAATAATTGCAAAGCAAATGCTTCACAAAGTCCTCTGGGATGTCTAAACATGAGCATGGGATATACAGATATGATTTGTGTGACTCATCTAAGGGTCATGGTTCTTTTTTGCCTTTGTCAAGATCAGCGACAAGAGCTACATAGTTTGATTTGAAAAACCCTTCTCCTTCAGTGAGGGCCAAGGCTTCTTACCAAAGTCCATATTCTGGAGATAAGAAGCAAAACAGCCTTCTTTTCTTTGGATTCACAGTGGCCAGCTTCTTCCTTTGCATTTCTTTGAATGTCTCCTGTTGGACTTCTTCTTTCTGTTGTTTTGAATAATAGCAACACTTGTAGGGCTTTTTTCTCATGTCACTCTCAGTCCTTTTCTGAAGAATCTGCAGTGGCAGTTTCTGGAGCCGAGAATGGGTCCTTTATGGGACCGCAGGTGTGCCAGGTCTGACACCACCTGTCCATGGGATCTAATGGAAACTGCAGCAATAGTCTGGCTCTTTGTGTCTTAAAAAGGTTTTCACTATAAACAAAACTCATTTAATGATCACAGGTAGAAAGCTGATGAGCCTCAGGACATGATAAGCTTGCCTGTGCTGTGATGAGTATCTCCCATGCAGGAATCCCACTGACTGAGCAAGTACAAAGCTGCAAGTTCCTGTGCAACTCTATCCTGATGTGACAGTACCCAGCAGGCAGTGATGAATGTCTGCTCAATGGCATTGCTACCTGAGCTGTGTCATCCCAGAGCTCTGTGCTCTGCTGGGGATGCTCTGGTGTGGTGATGAAATAGCAGTGCTTCAGGGAGCTCAGTGAAAGGCTGCAATGTGAATGATTCAGTTTGTTTAACGTCAGCTTGAGCAACCCTAATGTGACACTCTTTTGTGCAGTGTTCATCATTATTATTATTACTTTATCATTGTCTCCTGAACCAGTAAGACATGCTCAGCTAACTGGATTTTGGAAGTGTAACAGCATGGCCATGGGACCTGCATGCTGTAAGGACTGGAAGAAGTCCCAGAGAAGTCAGAAGGATGTGGAAATAGACAGATAAAGCTGATGTATCCTGGAGCTTCTGGACCTGTAGTAACAGTCCTCTGCAGTCTGTCCTTGTCAAGACACTATCAGCATGCTGTTGAGCCACTGGGTGCAAGGAGTGTGATGAGGAAGCAGTGCTAGGGGAGTTCCTTAGGAGGAAAGACCTGTCTGTCCTCCTTGATTGCTAGTGATCAGTTTGCATGTTAGTCACAAGGTGTAGTATCTCAGCTCATTGAGCGGTACATGCACTGCAGGGGTTTTTATGCAGAAATCTTATATACCCATCTCAGCGTGCAAGCCTTGCTGGTTGATTTTACCCAGTTAAACGAAGGCCAGTTTTTCCACTTGTACAGTCCAGTTTGAGAGTTAGAGAACAACATTTGTGTGCTGCAATCTCTTAGTGTTTGTCCTAGGAATTCACTGAGAAAAATACTGTAAGTACTGAAACAAGAGCACTAAAGCCTTTCCACACTTTCTCTTCTTTCTTGGCTCATGCTATGATGCCCCATTCCCATCACTCTCTGCCATGGATGTCTGTGGGCAGATGAGAGCACCACTCAAGAGCTACTGCCCATTTGGTCTGAGACAGTTAGCTGTAAGAATTCAAAATCTCAAGTCCATTCCTGTGAAGCCAGGTGATTAATTTTTCTGAAGGTTGCAGGTTCCCTGTGTGAAACATTTTGGTGAACACAAGTACAGTAAAATTAAAAACCTTTGGGGAAACTTATTCACTAATTTACTTCAGCGATGTGAGTGTGCTAAGTGGGTAGGGAACTTGTTACGTTTTGAAGGAAGAAGAGCTGAGGAAGCTGCTGCTGCTGCTTATTGTAGGATCACTGCAGGCAGGCAGTTCTTCTGGTTGCATGATTGTATGCTTACTGTTGGTAATATTGTTTTCAGACCTAATGAGACTGTTTTTATTAGCCCAAGCATGAACCCCTCACCATCTTCTGTGACCTCATGGGTGTGGAGTATGAGGAGATGGCCCACTGGCTTTGCCATAGGAAGCTCGCCACTGCCACTGAAACCTACATCAAGCCGATTTCTAAACTTCATGCCATCAATGCCAGAGATGCACTTGCCAAACATATCTATGCTAATCTCTTTAACTGGATTGTAGATCATGTGAACAAAGCCCTTCACGCTACTGTAAAACAGCATTCTTTCATCGGGGTGTTGGACATCTATGGGTGAGTTTTTGTCAGAGATATGACACTCTTATGTAATTATCTGACTGCAAAGCATCTTTGTCTTTATCATGTAGTGCTGCATGGATTACACAGAAACCCCCAAACCCTTAGCAGCAGCTTATTCCAGCTGAAGGAAGTAGGTGTTTAGTTTTGACATGCCATCTAAGATCTTTGTCATGACTTTGACATTTATAGTGGGATTTCAGATTTTTACTGTTGTGGAAAGTTGCAAGGGAAATTGTCATCTCGTGGTTCCTCCAAGATGGCACTTACAGAGAAGACAAAGATAACTAATGTGCTCTCCAGGAACATCAGTCCTTTCCCTGAGTTCCTCATCCCTGCCTAGAGAGGGAGCATCAGTGAATTGCCCATATTGTGTAATTTGCCATTTCCCTGTGTTTTGTTGCTTGATTGTGTTGTTTATGCCTGACATAATTCAATGAATTTAACTGGAGGGATGGAATTTAAAATTTCTGGGTCATTTAATCTTTTTCTTTTCACTACACTAGTAATTTTGGGTATATGCATATTTTAGATTTGAAACATTCGAAATCAACAGCTTTGAACAGTTCTGTATCAACTATGCCAACGAAAAACTGCAGCAGCAGTTCAATATGGTAAGTAGGAAATGACTGGCATTTCCTCTTCCCTTTCCCCTCACCCAAGTCCATTCTGCTAATTGGGTCCCCGGTGGTTAGGATGAATTCCTTCAGTCTATTAACCAGCTGTCCTGGCCGTGGGCTTTGAGGGATGGGGAAAGATCGACTATCACCTCGAAATAGATTTTATGACTAACTGCTGCTCTGGGACTATTTGAAATTCCGATCACAGTAACAATTATAAGACAGAAGCAGTGCTTGGCAATTAAGACCCTGAGATTGCCTGTCAGTGAGAGCACCATGTGGATGAAGTTGGAGTCAGTGGTGTCTCCGTAACCTCCCCGAGCCCTTGGATGGGCAGAGCACGGCTCCGCTGCTGGAGATTTGCCGCCCGCGCTTCCTCCCCTGGTGTTATTTTTTGAGGCTTTTGAGCTGCATCCTGAAGTTGAATGACGTGTGGCAGAAGGCACCTCTTCCCCCTCCTCCGGAGAGATCACGATTCTCTCCTCAGCCTTAGTGACGTTTGCAATTACATATCTTACCTGCATAATGATGAGGCAAGTTATTTCTGCCAGGTCTGTTGCTAGGCTCTGCTGCAGCACCGGGATGGCTCTGAGCTCTCTTGATGAGCGTAGCTTCATGGTAGTGTGTGCTCACAGAACTGGATCCCCTGCACCCCTGTTCATCCCAGGGGATGTGTGTCGGGGAGTAAGCAGGGTGCTGGAGCAGAGGCTGGGCTTTCTGGCCCTGACGTGCCCTTTCCATGTTGATCAGGGCCAGACTGGATTCAACTCCGTGAGCAGGATGTTGTAACTGTTGTAAAAATCTTGGAGTTTTCTCAGCTCTACAGCAAAATCTAGTCACTGTAAGAGCTGTAAAGGTTTGCTTCTTTAGTAAAGATCACTGTCCCTGTATTCCCTTCCCTCTCACGCCGTTGCTGTAAGCACAAAGGAAGGAGCAACAGGGCTGTTGTGTTGGTGCCCTGCCAAGCTACCAAACCCAGCACTGCTGGACACAGACCTGTAGGACTGCCATGCAAGTACAGGGGTGGAGGTTGCTTTAAATTAAAGCCTTGTGTCTGGTGGCAGCCAGCAAACCTTCATGTGCCACCTGTGGTGGCCCGAGCCTGGCTGAGGACAGGCTGCCTGGGGACAGCCCAACCACCCTGCCCCTTCCTGGCACCCACAGCACACAGGGAGAATCGGGTCTGAAGGCATTTTTCACCACCTAATTGCTAGGTCCTTCACAGTGAAGAAATGGGTTTCTGTTTTCTTTCAGGTCTTGGATTAGATGTGACTCACCAACAGAACGCTGCCATTGGCTTTCCTGTCAGGAATTAACTCGTTGTGTAACGCGGCTGTTAAGCGGCGGGGTGGGAATGGCTCCCATGGGCACGGTTAAGGAGCACTTTCCATTGGAAAGGATGGCGTTAGGCTGATGAAATACAAGGGATAAACTGCTTTGTCAGGGTGGTTTGCTGCTGCTGGCTGGCAGATGTGTGCTGAGGGAACTGTGACAGGTCTGTGAGCTGTGCACTGTGCTCGGGGCAGCTGGGGACAGTGTGGCAGGACAGGTGACACCCAGACCTGCTGCTCGGTGCTGGCAGTGGGGCACACTCCCAGCGTGGGCCTGCCTGGCACAGCAGCATCGAGTGTGCAGAAAACTGCAAATGGGGGATGAAACATCGTCAGAAATAACTGGAGTCAGCAGTCTTTTTGGTTTTTTAGAGCGCTTGTGCTGTTAAAACCACGGTTTGCCTGTTTAATATCTTATTCTGTTTCTTCCTCGAGTTTTAATTCATCTCCTGTGCACATTTCATTGAAACCGAGCAGGTTGTTTGTGATGTTATTTTTGAATAAATATGCAAGTACATGGTTATTGATCTTTGTGCCAGATAAATCTGTCACAGAATTTTGCTTAAAGGGTTTCTTGTGCTAATACTCCTACAGTCATTCTTGCAAGTTTTTTGCTGAAGAGTAAATTTTAATGCAGTGCGTCATCTTAGAAAAAAAATCTTCAACCATTTAAGAGGAAATGGAGCTCTGTTCTTTTACAAGGAAGCACAAAAGTATTTATAGTGAAATTTTACTTGAAATAGAGCAGTGCTCATAACTTTAATATCGTAAAAGCATGGCGCATCCCACTTTATAAGTCACTGTTCCTGCACTTGAAGCTTTTTCTGGGGTTTGTGTTGGTTTTTTATAAGAAAAAAGAGCTTATGATAATTGTGGGACAATATAGTAAAAAGATTGGAAAAAAATAGACCTTATTTTCAGAGAATATGGAGTGTTTTAATTTAGTCTGTTGTTTTTAGGCCAGGAAAAAAGGTTAATTTATTTTTCACTTACTTGTTAAAGGGTTTATTCAGTTGAACTAGTGTGTCACTTGACAACCTGAATTCATGTGCCAAGAGGAATTCAATTGAGAGTTCAGTGTATTTAATCTGCATTTTATTTCACAGAAAATTCTTTTCTTTTTGCCCTGTAGCATGTCTTTAAGCTGGAACAAGAAGAATATATGAAGGAACAAATACCGTGGACCTTGATTGATTTCTATGACAATCAGCCTTGCATCAACCTCATAGAGGCCAAAATGGGAGTTCTGGATCTGTTGGATGAGGAGTGCAAGGTGTGTGTTTAAGGGTTTTCATAGAGAAAGAGGACATCAGCTGTTCTACCTCTGGGCCCTCACAGGGAAAAGTCATCTGCAGACGACCAGTCATTTCGAGACTGCTGGTGAAAGGATTCGGAGAACATACAAACAGAATTGGCAATTACAGGAGGAGAAAAAACGGGTTTAGTCACATTTTTTGCCCCCTCCCCTCCATCATGTGTCTGTATCTGTTCCTGGGTCTCTGATCAACCTTTGTTTTAACTTTGGCAACTTTCTCTTTCCCAAACACAGTTAAGTGTAGTCTGTGGTCCTGTCAGATTTCCCCAAGCTGCCTCTCACTTTGTGTCTCACCTTTTGCCTTTTATCTTGGTTTATGCCAAGCCATGTACAGGGGGTTGGCCCCTGGTGTCTGCTTCAGTGGAAACCCAGCTTGGGGTTCTTGTGTATCACACAAAGCATCACAAGAAATCTCTAATGGTGGTGGATGAGTTCTGCTCAGTCAGATAAAGTGCCTCTGGGTTCCCCACCTTCAGGTGTGTGACGCTGGGAGTGTTGTGTCACAGCAGCTACACCTGCTGCCGAGTGTGAAAACAGGCAACACACAGCTGGTTACTGCTTCCTTGCTTATTGCAGTGCTGGAAAGGGAAAGAGCTGAAATTTGAAATCAAACCACAAAAGTGCTGTCCCCCATCTTAGTTTCTTTTGCTGCTGAAAAGTTTTCAAGACGTTTTAAATAGCTCTGTATTCTCTTTTGTAGATGCCAAAGGGCTCAGATGACTCTTGGGCCCAAAAACTATACAATACTCATTTGAATAAATGTGCCCTCTTTGAAAAACCACGCCTGTCAAATAAAGCTTTTATCATCAAGCACTTTGCTGACAAGGTAAGGACTCTTGCTCTGGTACCTCTTTCTGGCTGGAGCGTGGGAGGGGATCCTGGGGCAGGCAGAGACTCTTCCACTCAGTTCTTGTAAAAAGTGTGCCTGCCTGAACACCCAGTCAGGAGGAGAAAATTGACCTGGCAGCTGTGCAGAGCCAGGAACACAAACAAGAGCTCCTGACTCCCGTCACATGCTGTAACCACTAACCATCCTTTTTCCAAACATGGAAGCTTAGTGTATTTGCAGCTCTCAGCATAATTGTATCAATTCCAGTTATGCAACACAAATGCACATAGTAGGAAATCATGTATCTTGCTCATTTTGGCCAAAGAGCAGCAACAAAACAATGCTGGTTTTGCTGCCATCTCAACGTGCAAAGAGGAAAGGGGCTAACACACCCTTTTTATCGCTGGAGCAGTATGTGCTGCTCCCACCCTCGCCTCGGCTGCTCAGGGAACAGCTATTTCTAGGGAGCTGGCTGAGGAGTGCCTCAGTGGAGTGCATGTGTTGTTCAGCTCCCACAGTGCTCATCAAACTGAGCAACTCTTCGGGTTAAAACAAAAAAATTTTAAAATCCCCATTTAATCCAATTGTCCTGTTCAGCAAAGAAACTGCCTCAGAATATTGTCAGCTTTGTCAAAAAAGCTTGCAAGAAGATCTGGGATTCTCATTAGTAGGTGTGGACATGCTGATGTGCAGGGTTGAAGGCTTTTATTTTCTTCCACTTTGTTTCTTCTGGGCTCTTGAGTTTATGCATAGAAGTGGGGTCATGTTCTTGTTGCATCTAGCGTTACCTTAATGTAAGCAGCAAGAACATCTCTGTAACTGTTTAGATTCATGAGTTCTGTTTTATTTGTTGCATGAGAGAACAAGAAGGATTTAATTAATATTTCATAATTTCTTCATTAGGCTAAACTTTGATACTTGAAAACAAGGCTTTTCTATGCCTAGTCTGAGCAGCAAGGGCCAGTAGCTCCTAGCAGGTAGTGGCAAAGCTCTAAGCTCTGATGTGCTGTCTGTGCTAAGAATTTTATGTTTTCTGTGTACTTACGGGAATGCATACAGACATCCTGAAGGAAAAAATCAAGCTGCAGCTGGTGGGTCAGCAGTCTCTGTGCCCTGAGGTTGTCCTCTCTGCATAAGGCAGGGATTCTGCTGCCCTCTCCTGGCACGGTCTCCCGCGCTAAGAACATGAGTGGTGCCCCAGGTAGTGCTCAAGAGTGGGCTTTCAACTGCAGAGAAACCTTGGGGACATCCTCTGCCTTCTTCCCCCTAGGAATTCTTTGAAATGTTTTGCAGATCAGGGATATAGTGTCGTTGTGCAAGCACTGATAAATAGACTTTTGACAACAGTTTTGGTTTTCTTTCATCCTTGAATTAGGACAGTGAAATAAATAGTGGGGTTTTATCAAACATTCTGGATGTTCTTTGGCCCAAGACACCCTATGGCCCTGTGATAGAGGATTGTTATGTATTATCACAACATTCAGACATTTTATTGCTTCTGGTAAAAATAGTCTTTCTGAGCACAAATGAGGCATTTCCATAATCAGCTGCAGGCAGATGTACTTACAGCCTCTCAGCTAATGAGATGAGATGAGATGAGATACTTTGTTCTCAGTTGCATCTGGATTTCACACAGTTCTGCAGCCCTGATAACTTCAGTGAAGAAGATGCTCAACACACATTTTGGTTCTTCACCTTTACAGTAACCATTCAGTCATGCTGCCTTACCACAGGCATCTCTCAGCAGTGAAATATATCTGGTACAATGCAATAACAGTATTCATCTATGTCTTTTAATGTTCTACATGTTACTGGAAAGCACGCTCTTTAAGGAAGATCTATATTTAACAAAGATGCACTTGGGAACTGATATTTTTGGCACCCACAAGAATTATGTTTTAAATGTGAATGTTAGAGCTGGTAAATTCTATGCAAAGTATTCTTGTTAAATACTTTTAACACTTGTTTTTGTAAAATGATGGCTTTCAGGTAGAATATCAATGTGAAGGCTTTTTGGAAAAGAATAAAGACACAGTTTATGAAGAACAAATTAAGGTCCTAAAATCAAGTAAGGTTAGTATAAGGATTTTTTTTTCTTCCTTTGCAGTTATGAAGCCTTGACTTAAAGGTCATATAAAACTTCTTATAAATCTAGGAAATATTTCTGCCTTAGATGAACTGAAATTGAACATAGTTTGTGTTTTACTTGGCTATCTGAATTTAAAAAGTCCTGTATCCTGATTTTGCTCTGTGTGAGATCAGTCCATATTTAGCCACTAATTTCAGCGTTTAGGTGTGGGGTTTTTTTTGTCAGGGGATGTGGGTTTGGGGAGGGGGAATTCTTTTTCACGAAACTTCACTATATTTTCTGTAAAGGTATCATGGACTTCTGATATACTGTAGTAGTATAAGAGTGCTTAATAGTTAAGCCCTTAATTTTGTAACCTGAAAACAGAAACTCCTTGTTTGTGGAGAGATATAAGTTCTGTTCCAGAAGCAAAAAGAGAGAGGAATAAAATATATAGACCCTAAGGACACAAACCAGAATTCATAGAGTCTTGCCTTCTTCATATCTATGGAAGAAAATAACATCTGAATTGGAAAATACTGTGTGAAGGAATATTATAGAACAGGTCTTCAGTGGCATTGTCTGCTTTTTTAATGGCAAAAATACTGGTTGTGCTCTCGGAAATGTAAAGGCAATTAACTTGACATTGCACTGCGATGGCTGTTGGGAATTTGCTAGCTCTAATGGCCCAGGAAGCTGGGTATCAAGGACAGGCTATTTTAAATTATGCTATTCTATCAGGAAAACCAACATTTTTCTCTCCTGTTTCTATTCTGAGCAGATAATACGAAGCTAAATCATTAAAACATGTGGTATAATGAAAAAAACACAGCAGACTTTCCCCTGAGGAAAGTGTTGGAGTGATTTCAGTGAAGCCAGTTGCTGGAGGTGGGAGGGAAGGCAGGTGGCATCCTTGGGAAGCTGGCAGGGGCCAGCCACCCACGTGGCTCTGGCTGTGCCTGTGTGGCTCCAGCTGTGCAGGGTAGGAGGAGGGGGGTGCTCCAAGGGATGTCAGCCAGTGAATGAGGGACAGACAGTGGGGACAGAGCTGCCATAAGAGCATGACAGCAGCTCAGACATGCTCAGTGTAGGCTGAGTCAGTTCCATCTAAATACTAAAAAACAACATGGTTTTGTCCTTGCCAAAACCAGTGTTTAAAAAAAAAATAAATTCTGCTGTGAAGAAAATGGATTTTCCAAAGAAGAATGTTCCATTTTTATTTTTCAGCAGCCCTTCTTTATTAGTAATTGTGGTGGGACTGCATTTCTGATTTTTATTTTTTGTTGTTGTTGTTGCTGTTTTCTGGGTTTGCTGTGCACATCCAACAGAAGGTAATTCTAAACTGAATGCATCATCTGTCATCCTGGCCATGCCCACTCTCACATACAGCTTGGATGCTTCTTTGCTCTCCAAAGTGCATGACACACACTGCTCTTGGCAGGCACTGTAGAGTTTAACTGTTTATTTTGGCCTTCTCTGTAAGTCCACCCACAGGACCTCTTTGAACTAGTTCAGTTTCCATGCATGTATCATGAAAGCAATACAACAGTCCTGGGCATTTATGCTTGCTACTGGAATGGTTGTTAAAATCTTCTGTTGTGGCTCTGTATTGAAAGAAATGATCTGTAAGATTGTTAGCAGCATGTCTGTTAAGTTGTCTGAAGAAATTACGAGGAAGAAATGCTTGCTTGCTTGTTTTCTGCCACGTGAATTATCTAGCCTTTGATCAGTGTTTTCCCTCTCTTTGAACACTCCTAGTGTTCTGTGAAACAAAGAAAATTGATAAGATACTAAAATCCAAAACCAAACAGGAACAGGAATGCCCCCACAGTGTGGATCATCACAGCACTGCTCTCCTGTTGCTGACCTGTGCTGCAGAGGCCAGATGTTGCTCCTTTCTTCTACTTGCAGTAACTGGGATGATGTCAGTGAAAATGGTGCCTTTAATATGCACTTGCCTGCTTTTGCAGGCAGATTTTTCCAGGGTTGGATAAAGGGAATGAGACTTAGATATGGACAGCTTAGAAGACCTCATCTGTCTGCGATCGAGGCGCTGGGGACCCCTTTCCTACCCTCACTCCTGGTGTGTGGGAGCATCAGGTGTTTTAGAAAAAGCCTATTAAGTTCAGATAAGTTTTGGTGTGGGATGAAAAGACCTGGTTCTGTAGCTCAGATGCCTGTGTGTACCAACTCCATCCAACCATGGGCAGCTGAGTGAGGAGGTGGTGACCCAGTCATCCTCAGCTCTGTGTGGAGTCAGTGGAAGGAGAAGGGTAAATCACCCTCTGGAAATGTCATTCTTCCACCAGCTACAGAGGTAGACTCAGGTGAGATAAAAGCTAAGCTGTGATGCTCCTTTTTAAGTTCAGGAATTTAGGATACCTCTGTAGCATTCTTAGTCATTCTGTTATGCTGGAGTGCTATGCTTGGGTGCTCCTCGGGAATGTTTGATGCCTTCTGGTAGCCTGTCTGGCACAACCACAGAGCACAGGTACCGTTTTGTTGTGCAGCATGTTTCATTGGTTACCCATGCATGCTCACCAAGTTTTGTAAGGCAAAGCCATGTTTTTTATTTTTTAGGTTTTACTTAGCCCAAGCACTTTCTAATAGTGAAAAATGAATGCTCCTATCTCTTGGGACAAAATGCATAGATGCTAGATAAAAGATTATTCATGGACAGGTAGAGGAGTTCAGATTTTCTTACTTCTATAATGATTCTGAAGTGCTGTAGTTGTCAGTAGAAAGATCTGGTGGTGTTATTTTTAGTTACAGGTTACTTCAAAGCAGCTGTGTATTTTGTAGCCATTAGAGAAAGGGAAGTAGAAGTCCTGTGTGCTATTTGGAAGGATATTTCAGGTTTTTCCTCCGCTCCCACTTACAGAGAACAGATCTCAGTCAGATAAATTTGGTCAGTGGTTTTTTTTTCGTTAATGGTTCCTCTTTTAAGTTGATTATTTCAATTTCGAGTAATAAAGCAGCAGTCATCTTTGTTGCCTGCTGCCTTATTCAGTGTCCCAGATACCTGTCAACCACAAAGGAGTCTGATGCACCAGTGGAATATGAGAGGACCCTGTTGTTTCCTTCTTAGATCAAAGCAGCCAGATATAATTGCAGTTGGTACTTATGAAACTGCTGTGAGTATCTAACAGTTTCACATGGAAGCTATTGCTGCTCTATGAAAAAGCCTGAAATCAGAATTTTATCTTTCAGAAGGAAACTCACTGATCAAACCCACAAAATTTTTAGTATTAAATCATGGACCACTCACTCTACCACTAGCTTGTCTGCTTTTTTGCATTTGTCCCTTTTGGAGTTCAACAAAAATGCAGTGCTTATGAAAGCTGAGCCTAGATTTTAACCTTAAGCACAAACAGGTGCAATGACATGCTGGATTCTTACCCTCTGTGTATTTTTATGCTGTTATACCAGTTTAAGCTGCTACCAGAGTTATTCCAGGATGAGGAGAAGGTCCTCAGTCCCACATCAGCAACCCCTTCAGGGCGTGTACCTCTGTCTCGAACAGCTGTCAAACCAGCCAAGGCCAGGCCAGGTCAAGCCAGCAAGGAGCATAAGAAAACTGTGGGACATCAGGTGAGTCTGAAGATGCAGCTCTATTAAATAATCCTTCCCTCTATCTGCTGGTGCCTCTCGGGATCCCTTGTGATTTTAAGAGAGATGCAGCTGATTATGACTTACGGGTTGGAAGAAAAATAACCCCTAATTACTAATACACCGTGGGGGCACAATTTCAGGCAACCCAGTTCTTATTGTGGTGCCAAACCCAAAACCGATGCTTTTCAAAACAAATGTAACATGCTGAAAGCTGAGAAGCGTTGAAAATCTTATGCTGAGTCTTCTTGATCACGTGCTACATTGTCTGACTCGAACCAAAAGTGTGGTTTGGTTCCCAATGGGCCAAACATAAAATATCCACATATATGTGCCATAATTAAACTAAAAGGGTGCAGATCAGGTCTTTCTTCTGAGGTTATCTCAAGCATGACTGAGCTTATTGAGGCTGTTCCCTGATATTTTTTTTCATTTTGTCTTTCAAAAAGTTTCGGAACTCTCTTCATCTGCTGATGGAAACCCTGAATGCCACAACCCCACACTACGTGCGCTGTATTAAGCCAAATGACTTCAAGTTTCCGTTCACGTAAGTTGGTTCACATGTGGCTCAAGTAGCCCATGTATGGGAGGGGGTTGCCTGGGGCCCTGGAGGGTCAAGGCTCTGCTAAACCCTCCTTGCTCAGGAGTAAAGTGCTGTGTCTCCTTTCTCTGGCTATGGATTCACGGCGGGGGTGTGTGTGTGTACATGTATTACAGCAGGAGGTGTTTGGGGATGAATAGAGGGAGAAATACTTCTAATGTTTGTTTTTTTGTTTTGTTTATGGTGATACATGATAAAAAAATTACATCATTTTCACTGCGAGCTGTTTCAAGTGTAACTGACAGTTTGCAGTCCTTGAGCTCGTTTGATGGAATTTGTTTTTGCAGACACAAGTGTCTTTTTCCTTATCTTTGTTTTCATATATGAACTTGCTTAGAGCTTTTCTCAAAAGTCTGCTTAAAACCTGGGCACACAAAGACTCCCATGGCTGTTGGGCTGGCCAGCAGGGAGCAGGGCAGGGTGAGCTGCTTCCAGTGCCAATGGGCTCAAAGAGTTCCCTGGCCAGGCTGTCCTCTGTTACCCCTGAGTTTCAGAAGTGCTACCTGGACTTGTTCACCACCCATCACAACCCCCCTCTGCTCCCCACTGTGCCACTCCTGTCCTGGGCATACACATTACCGGGAGTCCTAAGTAATCCAAAACTAGTCCCACACCCACAGGCTCTTTTTATTCCTACCTAGATTTGATGAAAAACGGGCAGTGCAGCAGCTGAGAGCTTGTGGTGTCCTGGAGACCATCCGAATCAGTGCAGCTGGCTTCCCCTCCAGGTGTGTTTGCTGCTTTTTGGATTGCTTTCAGCTGCAGTTCTTTTTAAGGTAATATTCACTGCTGGGACTGACACTGTGTCTGGTTTTGGGACAGGTGGACATACCAAGAGTTCTTCAGCCGTTACCGTGTTCTGATGAAACAGAGAGATGTACTTGGAGACCGTAAGCAGACATGCAAAAATGTCCTAGAGAAGCTGATTCAGGTACTAGACTTAGCACTGAGAGCATTTGGAATCCAAAGGAATAAAGACAGTGTGACTTACTCTCTCATAGCCACCCTATTTTAGTACTTCTACAAACTACTAAACCACTAATACTGGCACAGGAAGTGTAGGATTCCCCAGTGTATCACAGGAAAGAAACACAGTGATTTTAAGTGTGAGTGGGTTGAAGGCGAGCCTTACCTTGCTTAAGGGCAAGATGCATTAACTACACCTTCAGTAAGGTATAGTTATCTAGAGATTTCCTAATGTGGATGTGTTTCTGTCTGTGTGTGTCTTTCACACTGCTCCTCTCAGCTCCTCTGCTGAAATCAAAGTTTTTCACTCCTTTGATCCTTGTGATGTCTCCCTGCTTGGCACTGTGATTGTCCTCATACCTCAGCAGCCTCTGGCTTTGCCTCCTACCTCCAGCTGCAGCTCTACATTCCCAGTCTGTGCCATCCACACTGCTGACATTACACTTGAACTGTGTGTTTCCTGGAATTTGTTAATGAGCTATGAACAGGCTCCCGGGAGACAGTTCCAGTCAGTTCTCAGGAGAAGGGGGGTTAGGAAGAGAAAGAGACAAAGCTTACTGGAGATACAGGATATCTGTGGAAAATATAAATACTGTGCTGACAGCTTGGGGCTCAACTTTAAGTTCTGTGGCATTGGATGGACCTGAGTAAAATCTTTTGGTTTATGTATATGTGTAGTGTAAATGTATAGTGTTAATATATAGTGTTAAGTGTATCCTAAGCTGTAGCTCTTTCGCTGCTGTTCCTTTCAACTTAGCATCAAACAACCAACAAAATTAATTTCTTTTTATGTCTTTGTATGTTCTCATTTTTTCCCTCCAAGGAGTAATAGAGCCTGTAGAGATAAAATGTTATTCTCTTTCTGGTTTAGTTGTGAAATTCCAGATGTGTGTGAGCAGCAGTGAGAAGCTTTGTTCTGCTTTAACCCTGATGCAATAAGCGATGTGTACATGTCTGAGGCCCCAGCTGTTTTGTTTGTACTGTGTAATGTGGTTGAAGATGGACTGTTCAGAGGGGTCAGCTACAATTTAAACAGAAAATTGTACATGTGCATTGCCTGTATTGCTTTAATCTTCTGTGCACCTTTGTCACCTCCTGTAGCCTTCCATGTTATTATCTTCATGGCATTCTCATCTAAGCAAAAATCTCACCTTGCTCCTTTGGGCCATGCTTGTGGCCTTATTGTATTAATTTTTTGACAGGATCATACAGACAAAATACCCTTCTCCACTATTTAATTTAAGTCTCAGTTTATCCGAAATGTTACGCAGATAATTTTGCCTCTTTCCTAACTTGTATTTTCATTTAGCCCTTCGTGCCTTTTTATATGCACTAACACTTACTGCTGTGACTTACCCTCTTTTTACCTCTGAAAATAGGACAAGGATAAGTACCAGTTTGGTAAGACAAAAATATTTTTCCGGGCTGGTCAAGTAGCCTATCTGGAAAAAATAAGGGCAGATAAGTTGAGAGCTGCCTGTATCCGCATCCAAAAGACAATCCGGGGCTGGCTGATGAGGAAGAAGTACGTGCGCATGAGGAAGGCTGCCATCACCATCCAGAGACACGTCCGAGGCTACCAGGCACGGTGGTAAGCAGTGCTCATGGGAAATCCCACACCAGCCTCAATTCACATCCATTTAAGTAGGGCATTTAAATTTGTTTTCTCCTTCCTTTACTGTCTGAGAGGAAATGATTTTCCATGGAGATGAAGGAAATTGAATATAATGAGTGTGTCTGTCCTGCCTGATTTTGACCTTCCTGAGAGGACAGTAGCACCCTGGCTGTATAATGCTTAGAATAGTACATTATTATTGGGAGCAGAGAACAAGTACTAGGAGATATGTTGCAGGTGAGGTAAAGCAGGACTTTAGTCTGAGTCCTTAATGCCCAGTTTCCATGTGCCCTTCCAGCTGGGTCTGTCCTGCTGGAGAAACCATTCCTCATCCAGGGTGCAGCTCTGAATGGAGACACATTAGTCAGTGATTTCTTTGGATTGACTTCTGAGGGATGGCCATGGATGGGCCAGAGAAAAGGGTGGAGTACAGGTGATATTGTTCAAAGACAAGATGGTGATGAAGACTGTAAGAACTGACCTTTGGAAAGACACTTATGTCAAGATGCTTTGTAATTGTCTTACACAGATAGCCAAGAACAAGCAAACTTTTTTACAAGTTGAGGTTAGGAGATCTGGAAGATGACACAGTGGAAACAGCTTTAAAGGTGATGAGAAATTAGGCTGAGTTTGTCTTGTCAGTTCTACAGTACAGTTCTCAGAGCAAGTGAAAATGTTTCCCAGTAAAGCCTTGCAAGCTTTCTGTTAATTTGTCGTCCAGTTGTACGCCACATAGTAGAATAGCAAGTAAATATTCTGTATCACTGACAGTGTTAAGAAGAAACTGAAGATATAGGATGTAAAAAACCCAATAACATTCAAGCACTGGAACATAATTACAGGTATTATTTGTAATCTTTTTCTTGCTAAGCTATGCCAAGTTCCTGCGGAGAACACGAGCTGCCATCACTATCCAGAAGTTCCAGCGCATGTACGTGGTCCGCAAAAGATACCAGCGCATGCGAGCTACTACCATTGCTCTTCAGGCTCTCCTGAGAGGCTACATGGTCAGAAACAAGTACCAAATGGTAAGAAATTGTAAGCTCTTCTTCACTCTTCACTCTAGCTTTATTTCCACATACCTTCAGGACAGAGCTGCTCTGTGGTGTCCCGTTGGGAATGTGAAACGTTTGCGTGCATGCTGTTGTAATGCACAAACGAGATACCAGAGCATGGATTGAGGGACAGCACCTGGAAATTAGAAGGATCTGATATTGCCTTCAATTAGCCTGTCATTTTAGAGATATTTTCGTTGTCATCTACTATGGATGTACCTAGACTTTCCGTGCAGTCAGTGGAGAATCTAGCAGGGATTTACCGTATTTCACACTTTTTCATTTGTTATATAGAATGCTGAGGCACTTAAAATAAATACTGAAGATGGCCTTGCATTTATCTGCCTCCATGAGTCCAAATCATAATTGTTTACATCATTGTACCTATGTGATGCTCTACTGTTCCTCCCAGTCCCTAACTGGTAATCTGAAAAGGCTGATGGAATATACTGAAGGAGACTGATTTTAGCAAAGAGATACCCACAAAAATAGGAGATTGAAACTTATGCATGGGTGGGGCTTTTTTTTGTTCTAATTTTTTAATGTATTGATGTTGGTTTTGTTTTGGGAAAAAATCAATATGAACGTGTCCTAGTGATATTGATAATACTTTCCTGATTACGCTTGATAAAAAATAATTCAATAGAGAAATTACAATTTGGTCTTCAGTGGTGACAGGGCTGGAAACAGACTTATAATTCAAAATGCAAAATGCCAACATGTATGATGGCAGTTTTGTCTATATGAATTGTTTTAACTAGGCTCAAAAGTCAGCCTATGTTTCTCTGAAAAAGTAACTGAAGGAATTCTGGTTTTTGATGAGCAGGTAGATACTGAAGGCACGCAACCAAAAACCAGTTGATGCTTATGTTCTATATCTTTCTCTTTTATATTTGAAGCTTCTGTATCTTTTTCATTTGTATTAAAGTTGCTTACACAGTCACATGTGAGTGTGTCTAAATTACAGAATTCTAACATACACTAACCACAAAGTTGGAAAACAAGTAATCCTTGGTAAGAATTTCTTAGTAGTAGACCCCTGTGTTTGACTTCTGTTCTTTTGTGTGGGTATCTACTCGCCTTTTTCTTGAAATTCTTAGCATTTTCATTATTACAAACCATATTTTATGTTGTGAGATTATATAAGATGTGTTTTTAACAGTGGTCTGACAGATGTGACAAAGTGACACATGGGTCACAGCAATAGGTGACCTAAAAGCCATGGTTAGGAAAATAGGAGATGTTTCTCTGTGCCTGGTTAGTTGTATGAGTAATACACACCCCATCTGTCTTGGAGCATGGAGTTTAATAAACCTGTTATATTTCCTCTTAATAGAGATGGCAGGTTTCTGGAGGAGTCCCCGTAAGGGGTGGTCAGACTTGCCTGTCAGGAGGATCCCCCTCGAGCGGTGAATTGTTCACCGCAGTAAAACATGACAGTCTGACAAGTGCCCCTGCGGTGTGCTGTGTATGTGTGGTCCTCCTGAGGTGGAATTTTATTAAAGCTGAGGTACAGGGATGGTCAGAGAGAGAAGCACAAGCTCTATGTGCCGTGGGAAGGTAAACATGGTTGTCCTGAAGTTTGTGACGATTGCAATGAGTGAAACCGAAAGGTTGCCCTGTGACAGGACACCTGGGCTGAGCAGTGACTCTGCCAGTAATGTGTGGTACACGTGTTGTTCCTTAGGATTGTGAAAGGTACCTGTTGTTGTTAGAAGAGAGGGCATGTGTTGAGTCACGTGGCCAGTACAAGGAATTTAAGATGGTTGAATCATCTGTTTCACACGTCCTGGGGAGAGCTTCTTCCTGAGACATTGCGATGTGCTTCTCTGCCTGAGAAGGAGTTTAGTTCCTCCATAGCTTTTGCATAAGCTTTCCTGGGAAATACCTGGTAAATTAAGTGACTTTTCTGATCCTCTCTCCCTACATTGGAGTGGCTTGTTTCCTCACTGGATTATATGAGTGCAAGAATTCACTGGCAGATGAGGACCATCCTTACACGATGGAGGTATTTTACAGGACTTGTTGCTTTCAAACTTGAGGTGAAAATGTTGTTGAAAGGCAGTTGTATTCAAGTGTTCAGGCACCTGCAGGGAACCTGAAGGAGTGTTCCAGAAAACATATAAGAAGGAGATAGGAGTGCCAACTGCATGGCAAGCAGTCAGACAGACTTTGGCTTTTGACCTTGCTGTGCTTCTCAGAGAGCTGCTTCCTTAGGTTGGTGTGCTGTTTATCTGGGTGCTGGTATTTCAAGTCTTGTTTTTAATTCAGAAATAAATGCTAAGGGAGAAATTATGTATATCTTATAACCTTGCCATTTGCCAGTGAATTTTAAATTCATTGATCTGAAACTGTAACGCTTCTAACACATTTCAGTTCATTTGTTAAGAAGTATAAAAGAAATTAAAGTTGTTACCTAACTAATTTGTCTTATCGGCTTCATGGTAAATCAGTGTAAGACTTTGAGCTTTGTATGATCTTTAAACCATCAAATCCAAGCATTAACATGAAATCTTTAATAGTTTTGTTCTTTAAAATAAACTGTTTAATTTGCAGAAGCTTTATTAAGTGAACTCTAATGCTCTCAGAGTCCCAGAAACCTTATGGGTATGGGCAGGCTCTCCGATCACAACTGTGGTCTGCTAGAGCTCAGATGCTCCAGACCTGGGGGATGTCTGATTGAATTAGCTGGTGAAAGATCCAAAACCAACTAGAAGAATCTTCCTAGTGAAAGTCTCTGTCTAACACACTGATAAAGGTTGCTGGCATTCTTGACTGTTTCATGTTAAAAATTATTTTAAAAAAATATTACCTTTTTTTTTTTAACACCTCAAAGCTATGGTTGAAATTTCTGCCATCAAATAAGTAGGAATTATTAAAATACAAATTTCTTATGAAAATAAACAGAAATTTTTCCATGCTGGCAAGTCTAAGATATGACAAAAAAGACAACAAAAAATCAAAACAAAATAAACACAAACAAAACAAAAACCCCGGACTTTTCAACAGCTGCTACAATTTCTTCCAGGTTCTGGTGTGTACTGGCTGCATTGAATATCGAGTGTGGTAATCTTAAACTTTGCATTGATGAACCCCATGCAGCATATGTCAGTGATTCAAAAATGTTTAAGATAAAGATGCAGTAAAAAAAAAAAAAGGATTATATTTGTAATCCTGCCAACAGGTACCATGTATTTTTGTAATTAGCTGGCATCTGACATCAACACAAAGGAATGCCTGGTGCTTCAGTGTGCCTCCAGTTCTTTCTTACCATGTTTTTCCTTCTGGTTCCCTTTCATTTTGCTCCTTGTCGTTTTCCATATTATAGTCTTCTTTTCCTCTTCTTTTTTTCTTTAAATTAATTCCATTTTGTGTTACTCTTCATCAGAATTTTCTCTTTGCAGGCTGAGGTGTCTCTATGTACATCACCTTTACACCCCTCGTCATGGTGTCTGTTTAACTGCACAGGTGCAGTTTGGAGCACTAACACCCCTTGTCATGTTTTTTTCTTGACTGTAGATGCTTCGGGAGCACAAGACTGTTATTATTCAGAAGCATGTGAGGGGCTGGCTGGCTCGACTGCACTACCATCGGATCTTGAAGGCCATTGTTTACTTGCAATGCTGTTACCGGCGCATGATGGCCAAGAGGGAGCTCAAGAAACTGAAGATAGAGGCCCGCTCTGTAGAACGCTACAAGAAGCTTCACATTGGCTTGGAGAACAAGATCATGCAGCTGCAGCGAAAAATTGATGAGCAGGTAAAAGCTCCCTGGCCTCAGGGAAGATGTGTCAAAAATCTTGATTACCTTTCTCAGCAGCGCTGTGGGAACTCACAGAATGCAATGAATTTTCGTTGTAAGGGCTCAGTTCTCTCTTCTGATAAAGAATAGTGATAGAAGAGAAGGAGAGGCCGCAGCAGAACTTTTAACAGTCAAGCATCCATTTTTGTCTCTCAGCAGCACTGAGAGAAAACATCTGCTCCTTTAACGCCAGTGTTTCATTTGAAGTACGTCAGTTGCTCTGCTTAAGGGAAGGCGAGGTGATCCTGTTTGACGTGTGTGGGCTCTCCATCCGATTTTATTTTGGGATGTGCAGGCTTAGAGGCTGGACTATTCTGTCACCTCATCAAGCAATTCTGCAAAAGCAGACCAAAACCTTTTTGAAATGGGGAAGCTGCTCTTTTGCTCCCCTGTCTGGGTATATTCTGTAGGGAACAAAAAGGCTCACTTAAACCAGAACCTCTCCAACAGTTGCTCTGTCTGTGTTGTGTTTTGCAAAGAACAAAGAGTACAAATCTCTGCTGGAGAAGATGAGCAACCTGGAGATCACGTACAGTACGGAGACAGAGAAGCTGCGGAATGATGTGGAAAGGCTTCGGATGAGTGAGGAGGAGGCCAAGAACGCCACCAACCGTGTCATCAGCCTTCAGGAGGAGATTGCCAAGCTCCGCAAGGAGCTGCACCAAACTCAGTCGGAGAAGAAGACCATCGAGGAATGGGCAGACAAATACAAACACGACACCGAGCAGGCACGTATGGGGTCTCAGGTGCATGGGGACATTTACAGAGGCCTGGTGTCCACTCAGGTTTTGCCCAGGCTTAATTGCTTCAATTGTGTGGCTGGTATTTTTACTGTGTTTTTAAGCAATGTTATACCTGTACAATCCTAAATAGCCTTGATACCTAAATGACTACAACTATGGTAGAAGAATATGCTCAATCCATATACTGTATGTAATATATGTATCCAATCTATTCAGATTTTGATATTGAAAGTATTTGCAAATCCAAATGCTTAAGCACTCTGAATTAGAGGTAGTGCATTCATAAAAAGAAATCATTTTACCTACCTAGAGAGAGTAATCACATAGGTATCAGAAATCCCATACTCAGTATTCAAAGGTACTGCCATATCCTACCTAATTTAAACAGCCAGCTTATTCAACACATGTATGTGTGCACAGTCTAGTTCAACAGGTTTCAGCTAACCTCTTATCTTTGTTTTAACCACAAACATATCAAACAGGTTGTTTCCTGGCAAGAGTACTTGCTGATAATGGTGCAAGAGTTGAATGTTGGAAGAACCAATCCATCATTATGTGATGCTGCAGTGATATATTTCAAGATCAGATAAACATAAGGAAAAATATTAATTGATTAAGCAAAGTGAATGCATAGTAACCAAAATCAGAGACAAATTAGTAATTGGCAAACCTGGGTACTGGTAAAGTGGCACAGCTTTAGGACAGAGGCAAGATGGTAGATTGTGATGTTAGCCAATGCAGTAGAATATACAGAACTACCAAATGTGTAACTATTTTGTGAGTATTTCTGTTTTAATGAACCAGTTACATCCTTGGGACTTTACTGAAAAATATATGGCACTGTGGAGTGGTTCAAGGCAATTTTGGCATCTGATCAGAAATGGAGTGCAGAACATACAGGGAAATCTGCAGTGCAACATATTTAAGAAATGTAATTTGGGCCATGAAGATATAACTTAGTTCACCAGTTTCATTCTCTGAAGAAAAGTTTAAGTATTTGAACTGTTAAAGATGTCATTGCTATTAGAGCTATTGATGAAAGGTGAACTGCATTCTGAGTCAAATATTTTACTATCTCCCTCCAGCTGGTATCGGAGCTGAAAGAGCAGAACACATTACTGAAAACAGAAAAGGAGGAGCTGAACCGCCGCATCCATGACCAGGCGAGGGAAATAACAGGTTGGCTCTGTTCTCTTCATTCAGACTTTCTGCTTCAGGTTACCGTGTTAAGCAACACTGTACTGCATAGATTGGGCTAATTTGCCTTAGTTTGCTTCCCTTTTTGGTCTAGTGGTTTCATTTTTGTGTTTTAAGAACTCGCATCAGAATTATTTACCACTTGAATTTCCATGAAATCCTAGGAGTTTGGGGTCCTTTTTTGAGGGGTGATGCTCCAAAGCAATTCAGTTTTAAAAAAGGAGGCTCTGATATTTAATACAGTTGATCTACTACAACTTTTCTGGATGCTGTAGAAGCATCCAGGAAAGCATAAACTCTAGATGTGAAGACTGTGGTGGAGGGAGCTCTGATGAGAGGGGTCAGTGCACGTGAGGTGTAAAGCACCTCACATTTTGCTTTTACACAGCACAGCAGTGGGCTAACACCCCTTCTTCCTGCCTCCTGGAATTACTAGAAGGTATCATCAGAATGACTAACTTGACTGAGTGAGCCCTTCTGTGGTTACCACAGAATAATGCCTTGGCCCTTCGTATTTTTGGCTAAATGTTTGCCTACAGAAGCACAAACACCATCTTCAAACATCAGGCTGTTCCGCTGGTGCAGACTTGCCTGTACCTCCAGGATGGATGCACTGCATGGTGGGTAGAGCTGGAATTCTCACTTTGGATTCCTGTTCTCTGTGACAGAGTCGATGGAGAGGAAGCTTGTGGAGGAGACAAAACAGCTGGAGCTGGATCTGAATGACGAGCGGTTACGGTACCAGAACCTGCTGAATGAGTTCAGCCGTTTGGAGGAGCGGTATGATGATCTCAAGGATGAAATGAACTTGATGGTGGTGAGTGGCTCAACATCTGAGAAACCAAAAGCTGTTCACAACCGTGTTTAGGCAGAGTCTAGTGGGATAGGTTAGTAACTGAATCTGCTGTCAGCTGTGTGGTGGTTACCTGTACCTGAAAAGAGAGTTTGTCCTTTTAAATGCTGATTACTTAGATTAGTTCAGCCAAAACAAATACATTTACAATTTGTTGTTGATTTTAAAAAAAAAAAATTTTAATCGTCACATCTCTGACAACACTAAATTTCTGCTGTGACTTTGCTAGTGGTATTGCTCGTGCTGCTGCCCTTATTTTGATTTAAAGTTATTCACATGTCCTGGAGTTGTTTGTACCACCTTCATCCAGTGTTAAATTTTAAGTAGTTCTAGGAATTTATGTGTCAGGAAGAAAAAATATTCCTCAATAGAATGTCTAGGAAGTTAGAGAATTGCTGCCTGTGCTTCCTGTAAATGGAACTTTTCTTTCCCAGGAAGTGCTGCATTGTTGCTTGATTCTGCTTTCTGCAGCAGTTCTTGATGGTGTAGTATCTGACCTATCTCCATAGATTTGATTGTGAACTGCATCTCAGAGGTTTTAGGTAGCATGAGAGACCAGAATCAAAAATCTTTTCTTATAAATTTTAATAGCTCTGAAATAACACCAAACATTACAAGCTAAATTAGAGGTTGTGAAGAGACAGTTACAGGGAAAACCATACAGTGGTATTGATTTGTTTCATTTGCACTTCAGAGCATCCCCAAGCCTGGGCACAAAAGAACAGATTCAACTCACAGTAGCAATGAATCTGAATATACTTTCAGCTCTGAGATCACAGAAGCAGAAGACTTACCAGTGAGGATGGAGGTAATGTTAAAAATCCCCACAACTTTTTATTGTTCCATGGTTGAACTCATTCCTCTCTCTTTTTTTTCATAAGTGTTTCTGAAAACCATATCCTTATATTGAGATATCTAATGCTTTAATCCAACTTTTTCCATTTCTTTTTAGAAAACACTCATTCCCTATGTAAAAATCCTGTGTAAAAAGGCTTTGTCAAAGTATGCTTTGAATTCTTCTTTGCATTACAGTACACATATATTAGATACTTGGCCATCCAGTTGATTTGCATGTGAAACATTTGCTTGTCAGTGTTGGTAAGCACAATCACTTCTTCAGCACAAAGTGGGAATTTAGAAAACCAGTGGGACTTTCCTGAGGAGTCTGCATACTGTATATTCAAGGACTAAAACTGGCAAGCCGTATTTTTATTAGCTACATGGAATGAGTTTCCTGTTAGGGATGAGAAACTCATGTTGGATCAGTTTTCCTCTAGTTCATAGAGATTAATAAAACTCCCAGAATGTACTATTCTTTTGCATATGCAGTGATACAAATCCCAGGATACTGAAAAATGTGCAGAAAGATTACTCTCTTGATTCGGCTAATGAATAACATTCATGAATAATTTGTGATGCAACTCCAAGCTTAGTATTTCCAAGATAACTCCCCCTTTTGGCCCTTCCCAGAGCAGGGGGACTGCTAACACAGAGCCCTCAGGTTGGTGGTCTGGCTGTCCTTGGCACTTGGCAGACTCAAAGCTTTTTCTGTGCATTCTGGAGATCTTCTTAAGTGTGAGCAAGAGCACACAGCACACTCTGTTTGCCCTCTGCCTGGGATAGGGATCTCCAAGAGCTGCTTTTGACAGCCTCTGTCATTGCCGCTTTTGGAAGCCTCCGCAGAGAATTATTTTCTCCTCTGGATGCAAATCCCTGACGCACTGATGTTGGCACAGATCCTGTGCGGAGTCTTTCATAACGTGCCTTCCCACTTATATTTTTCACTTTGAGTAATTGTTCCAGAATGATGCTCCCTACCTTCATGGATAGCCAGGAAAAGGACAGTGTGACTACACGTGGTTGCATTTCACGTATGAGCCAAACGTCATCTTTGCCTTTGGCTGACAGACTTACTGAATTGCTGTTCTAGAGCCAGTTTGGGGTTTTAGAATATGAATGAAAAGGATGAACTCAAGAGTGTGAATGAATGCAGCACTGGGTTTGTTTAACCCCTTAACATTTCAAACTCCAGTTTGACTCTAGACCAACAATACAGATTAATTATACAAAACCACATTAAAAAATAGGGTCCACCTCAATGCAAACCAGTAAAGCCAGAAAACTCAAAGTGTGTTTTCTTTTTCTGAGCTGTTGGTGTGGTTTATGACTCTTCCCCTCAACAGTAAAAGGAGATGAAGTGGAAATGGCTGTGCTTGCTTGTCTGCTACAGTCATTAATATTAATTTCCTAGTTCCTTCTTTAGGCTTTAAAATTTTATTGTACAGTTCATAGTAAATACTTTGATCTTCTCAGTACATAAAGTACAAAACGGCTGATGGACAATTTCTAATGCACCTTCAGAGTGCAAATGCTGGTCCTTGCCCAGAAAAATGGGAAGAAGCTAGTGGATTAGGCTCAGAACAGGCTGTATAATTACCATAATAAAAGGAAAAGGGCATAAAGTATATTTTCTGGTACCTATTTTTTGTGTCACATCCCACTAAATTAACCTGTAAATCACCAGAGAGATTTCTCTGTAGCTGAAGAAGTTACTACAGAAATAATTTGAAACTAAAAACAAACAAACAAAAAAGTTGTTTCCAGGTGAGTCTAACCACAGACTTTCTTTTTCTTCTTTCCCCCCTCCAAAAAAATAAGACTATAAGGTATGCTTAGTTATAGACCTCCTGTCTGCTAGGTAGTCTCTAGTGCTTTCTTTTGCTAGGCTTTAGGCTTAGAAACATTTTATATTACTAGAACTTTTTTAAAATAGCGTTTGATAGCAGATAAAATATTTTAGATAGTCAAGTCTCAGAATAAAGCAATATTTCTGTGTTCCTCTCTTTCCCTAGTCTGTTTCCCACCTTTACTCACTGTTGTGCTTCCTTGTCATGTGGAAGGGGAAAACTTCTTGACTTCCTTCTGTTCTTTCTAAAGCAGGAACCAAGTGAGAAAAAGGCACCGCTGGATATGTCTCTGTTCCTCAAACTGCAGAAACGGGTTACAGAACTGGAGCAAGAAAAGCAATCCCTGCAGGATGAACTGGACAGAAAGGAAGAACAGGCTCTTCGTGCTAAAGCTAAGGTGGACTCCTTCTCGCTGATCAAATGCTGACACCAGTGTCCCTTCATGTGAAACAGTAGCTGTGTGAATGCTGGCTGGCTTTTACTAAATCTTCATCGTCTGCCAGTGCCTGCTTTATTTAATGACAAGTTTTATACTGGTGCTTAGTTCTAGGGACTGGTTATTTAGTTTTCCAAGGTCCTTGAGATCCTCTGATTGAAGTCAATAGCAGCAAAAAGTGCTTGAGACTTTACTTAAAAAAAAAAAAAAGACTGTTTTTGTTAAGGAAAAGCAGTATGGAAATCTACTTAAATGTTGAGGAGAATGAGTGAGTAATTGTGCATTTTAAGCAGAATAAGAAGTGTTTCAACCAGGATGCAGAGCCAAAGCAGTGGTCTTAGACATGTTTAGCAAATTATAATTTAAATTCTCCTCTGATTTAGTCTCCATGAGCTCTTATAAAATTATGAAACCAGTTCTGCCAATTGGTTCTCACTACTTTTGTAGTAGTGAATTTCTTTAGCATGCTGGGATTCATCCTGCTCTCTTTCATTACCAGTGACAGTAGTGTGATTTGTATGTGATTTTATTTATATTAACCAATTATGTGTCATAAACTCATAATTAAATGAAAAGAGACAAAGGCAATATTCAAACTACAGCACTTAGCAGTACCAGAATGAGTGTTTTCCAGTTTTATAGGAAAATCATTTCAGCTCCCTTTCCTTTTCCTGCCTCCACTAAATCAAAGAATAGAAAGGATTGAATTTTTAGTTTTCACACTTGTTTTCTTTCATAGGAAGAAGAAAGGCCTCCGATGAGAGGTGCTGAGCTGGAGTATGAGTCGCTCAAGGTAACTCTAAAACAGTTTTCTATTATTTTCTAGTGAAACTCTTGCCACTAATTGTATGTGCCGACATAGGTAATTACTTCAGCCCTTCTGTTTCTGAATATTAACTGGAGAAACTAGAACAAATATTCCCCAGCAGTCATTTCATTGCAGGACTGCTCCTTTTGAGGTGTAGGATGTGTAGCTGGGGCTACAAAACAAAAAGATCCCCTAAACTAGGGGGAGTTCTCTGTTGAAACACTTAGTACAAATTGCAAGTTAATTTGAGCAAAAATATAGCAATAAATGTAGCCCTCTTTTTCAAAAATATTATTTAAATTAATGCATATCTTAGACCACTAAAACTGCAAATATTTTCTGATATCCCTGAGTAATCCAGAATCTTCTTAGTTTGATGACTACTATTTGTTGTGAACTTTATTTCTTTTTCTTAAGGGGAGAATAAGAGGGAAAAGGGATTGGTAATTTTTTTCCCATCAAATCTGATTCATGTGTATGTGTTCTGGTTTTGCACTTCAGACAGGAGGTTAACCCAGTTAGTGAAATCCTCCCAGGCACTATTGACCATAGTCAAGAGGCAGGGATACAGGAGGGATTGATTGATTTGTTGCAGTTAGTCATCATTTTTTACCATTTTTATCCATAGTTTTGTACCTGTGAGTTACAGTTATGTTGCAACGCTGCTGGGTGACAGAATTGTCCCTATTTCTTGCAGCGTCAAGAACTTGAGTCTGAGAATAAAAAGCTGAAGAATGAGTTGAATGAGCTGCAGAAGGCCCTCACAGAGACACGAGCTCCAGAGGTAACTGCCCCTGGTGCCCCTGCATACAGAGTCCTCCTGGACCAGCTGACCTCAGTCAGTGAAGAGCTCGAAGTCCGCAAGGAAGAAGTTCTCATCCTGAGGTCTCAGCTTGTTAGCCAGAAAGAGGCTATTCAACCCAAGGTAAATCACAGTCAGCTTTACTGCGTGGTGAAGTTACATTGCATCACTGACTGTGTTACTTAATTTAATAGGGTGCCTGAAAGGGCAGAAGAAAATGGTGTGGGTTTGAAAGCCTTTTTAAGTTAATCTGTTGATCCACTATTAGTGCTCAAATTGTGACAGTCTGAACTGGGAGACTGGATTAGTAAACCAATTTGGGGTTTCTCTACCAGCATTCATGTAAAGGTGTACAAGCTGTCAGGTACCAAAGTCTGGCCAGGATCCCCCAAGACTTCTTTAGCAATGCAGAAATAATTCTCATTTGGAGCAGTATCATTTCTCTACTATCTGTGTGGTTTGACTGGAAAATTTAAAGGAGTTCTTAGGAACAATTTCTTCTAAATCTGTTTGGGATCAGAGATGCATGCAAATCAATAACATTTCATAAAGATGACCTATGAAGGTATGTAAATTCTGTATTATTGCTTGATAGGTGCTATGTGCTTTTATTGAGAAGAGTAGATTATGCCCACTGAAATGCTATCTTCTAAAAAGCTCCAATTCTGATGAGATAGTTAGGGAAGTAATAGCTTTGAAAATAAGAATCATTCAACCTGAAAATGTATCACGTAACTCAAAGAACTCGTAATTTCCATTGAACTGAGCTATCTAGTGTTTCATAACCACTGCAAGGAATGAACAGATATGTCATCTTTCCTTTGCTACTGCAAAGTTATGTCTATATTTGTCCTAAATAAATTGGAAGTTCTGTGATGCATGAAGGTGCATATATCTTGTTTTGAATGGCTAATTATAAAGAAAAAACTCATTTTTCTGCAATATTTAGAACATTGTAAATAGTAAATCCTTGAATAACATATTCTTTCTCAGCAATGATGGGATACAAGTGTTGGTTTTACAGCAGTTATGGGTATGAGGGAAACATGAAGGTGACCTCTGAGATGGCTTACAGCCAGTTTGCAGATAGCTTCTGCTTGTTAGGTTGAACAGCTGCAGAACAGACATATTTTATTTTTAATGATTTGTTTTTCTTCTTTCTTGCCTACCAATTTGATTGCCAGGAGGATAAGGTACACATATTCTTTTACAGTTATAAACCAGAACTCTTAAATGCTAAAAAATCCCTCAATGATACTTGAGCTGTGATTTCCCTGCCTCTTAAGTAACCTACATGTATTTCAAGTTCTTGCACTTTACTTTGCTGTTACTGAAAAACTTTTCTCATAATTCTGTGTCCCCCACGTCCCTATCTTCAGGGTCCATGCAAGGAAAACAAGTTACTTCAAAACAAGCAGGTTTAATAATTTTGAACTGTTGTTTTATGGGAACCTGAACATGAAAGGATTGATTTAGGAATTGGTCTAGTCAACTCCATCAATGCTTCTTGCTGAATATGTCTGGGGAGTAAGAACAGCACTGTGATCCAGGAATCAGACCTCTGTTAACTTGCAAAATCCATAAATTTCACAACAAGAAAAAAGTCTATGGTACAAAGAAGTACCTTTCTTTGGAGTGTTTGTTATCCTCGACATGCAACAAACGTTATGGACTCACATTGTGATCTGCAGATATTGGAGAGGAATTGCTGCATGTTTGATTAGAAAATGTAGTTGAATACATAGGATTTAGGAGGATGACAAACTGAACTGCTCTAAATGAAAGATGTTCAGATTGTTAAAGCTTGATAGATTGGCTGATGAGATATAGCAGTTTTACTGTGTGGTAAATTAATAGTAGAAGAACCACAAAGATCTTGTAATCATGTTGGGAATAACTGTTTGAGGAGCTTACATATTTTATTAGTTTTGATATTAGATAGCAGAAATCATACTAGAAATGGAGATCTAGGCTCCAAAATTTATGTCCACAAAGTTGTTATTTTAAATACTTTGCAAATTGTGCTCAGGAAAATAACATCTGCTTGTTTTGAAAGTCAAAAAGGAAGGTCAGAATTCCATCTCTTATGTTCATTAGAGTCCTGTAGTTCCACTGTAAGTATTCCACAGCGATGACTCAGATCAGACTGGCCGAGGTGACTGTAAACACCTATTAAGTATTTCAGGTTTTACTGAAGAAAAGCAGAAGTGCCATTGTAAATATTTAAACTGAAACAAAATGGTACTACCATGCTCTCTATCTTAGGAAGTCTCAAACCCTTGTAAATTATTTCCAGCTTTGACAGAGTACTTAAAATATACGAAGTGAGAAATAGACCTTATTTATGAGATTTGAAAGACTCCATGCAAGGCTATGTTTAAGAAATATTAATAGAATTAAGCTGGCAAAATCGTTCTTCAGTTTCAGTATTAGCAGCTGTTTCTGGTAATTTGACATAAAATGAAAATTCATCATTTCTTCAAATTTATTTTGTTCCTTTTACATGCTGAACAAATGAAAAAGGATTAATGCATGTACCCACTTATTAGACAGACTGATATTTGACTCTGTTGCATGCATTTATTTTGAAAGATACACCAAATAGACATAGAAATTATGGACCAACCTCCTGCTCAGGTACCCACACTGATTTTAATGTGGCTACTCAAGGATTAGTGTTCCACGATGGTAAAGTGAAGAAAACATGGATTCAAAGAGCAGTTTGGTTGTTTAAACTTACTGTGGAAATCATCATTCTTTTTCCAGAATACAATGACAGATGCTACACTCCTCTTGGAGGATGTACAAAAGATGAAAGACAAAGGAGAAATCGCACAGGCATATATTGGACTGAAGGAAACAAACAGGTACAAGTTCTCTTTCTTTAATCTGTGATCAGTTGGGGTCTGCTGTGACACTGCGTGTATCATGTTCAGTAAGTTCCATCCATGTATGTCTAGATACTCAGAGAACACTCACAGTTGGGGTTATAATTTGATTTGATTAGTAAAATTGTTGTATGCAATATTTGAAAGGATTTGGAAATGATGGGGAAGTGCAAAATCAGCCTTTAATTGCTGCATTGCCCAAACTGGGTGCTGTTCCCCAGGGTGGTTTGTTACCCTCTGTACCACAGTGGTCACAAGAGTCTGTCACAACACATTTATTGTAACAGCACGAAATACTGTAACCAGTTGGGCTGTCACTGAGAACTGAATTTCATCATTAAGAAGAAAAACACATAAACAGAAAAAGTAATTTTCTAAGTTGTTTTAGAGAGTTTTTTGTTTCTCTTTTGTAGTAATTTAGTGTGTAATATCTTTAAATGTCACCTCATCACCATCACATATATCTCTTGTATTTTTTTAAACACGTTTCTTGAAAGGCAATCTCCCCAGGACTATCATATGCTGAATGAGGACGGAGAACTTTGGCTGGCTTATGAAGGGTTAAAACAAGCCAACAGGTTACCAGACTTCTCAGAATGTTTTTTTTTTCTTTATTTGCATCTTCTTTTCTAGCTAACTGTGCCCCTTGCTATGGGTTTGCTTTAGCTACAGTACTTCTATTGCTTTAATGGTTAAAAAAAATGCAACACAAACTATACAAATTAAAAGAGTTTCCTCAAACCTAGTCCCCAAACTTTTTTACTTGTCAGGTTTTAGCATTTAAAAATTAAAGATGGTGGAACAACCAATACATAATTCATAAGAATACTTGCACAAAAATAGACTGTAAAATACCAGAAACTCCACAACTGAAAATGTATTATTTTTCTGCCTTTACACCAGGTTTCAAAATTGATGTTCCTTACAGATTTTCAGCCTAAAGAAGTACCGTCATTTTAGTAATTATAAAACTATTGTTTAAGTAACTTCAGTGTACTGTTAACTTTCAAGCAGAAATGGATCTTAGTCTCCTTGTTGTGACTCAAGTTTAGTAAATTAAACATTCTTCTCCCATGTCTCTCTGTGCCACATCCAAAACATAAGTCAGGAAATAACCAAGAAACAGAAGTAATCTTTAGTCCCTCGAGGTGCTGCCCAGGCCTCAGTGCAGTCACTGAGATCCACACACTGGAATGGGTGAGAGTCACCTCGTCAGGAAACGCAGCTCTGGCTCCCTGTGCACATCTGTGCCCCATATCCATACCCTTGTCCCAGACTTCCAAAATGGTTCCTTGTCCTGCACTGACAACTAATTCAGTAGTTGAGCACTGCCGATGTTCTTCATTGTATGCGTTTGGTAGCAGTAACTACAGAAAGTGGTATTTTGCAATGAGTGCTACTAACTAGTCTTTCCTTTTCTTGTGCTAACAAATTCTACACCTAACATTGTTGTGTAAGCCTGTGAAGACCTAACTTGCAGCAAGTGTTCTGCAGAGCAGGATGGGAATTTGTTTGCTCTGCGCCTCTTGCTTCTTGTCCTAGCACTGTAGGGACAAGAAACTTTATATTAAATGGCAGAGCCGTGCAGGTAAATGACTGTTTGCCCTTGCGTGCCTGATCAGTCTGGTTACTAATGAATGTTCTTGCCTTATGCATATTTAAACCCTGAAAGATTGTCTAATTGAACACTGGTAGTCACTAGTATTGTCATTTCCTGTGTGTGTATGTACGAAATGATTCAGAGCACTTGGACAGTGCTTTGGAAGCAGGAGTAGATCCCCCCAGCACTGCTCAGGAGGAGGCTGGTACACATTATCCCTGTTTCACAGGAGAATATTTTGAGATGTGATGTGCCCAAGGGGAAAGAGCAAGTCAGTGGTGAGGATACACAGAGCTCCCAGATTCCAGTCCCGAGTTTGGTTCTGTTGCTGACCTTTTGTGCACTAAGGACAACCCTTTGCAAAATGTTGGCTTTAATGTAAAAATAAAGATTGTTGATGTGCATTTGCAATTAAATGGTTTCTGACTGAAAAAGTTAACTCTAAAAATGTTGTCCTTTGTTAATTATGCAGGGTGCTAGCTTAAGCGAACACAGTGTCACCTTCATCTTAGATTATTTGATTTGTTTAGAGGTAAAACCTCTTTAGAGCCCCTTTAAAAGCAGTGACAATCTGTGAAGAGTTAGCTTTACATTTATTGCCACAGTGGCACCATACCCAGTGTGTGTTCAATCAAGGGAAATGCAAAGCAGTGCCACAATTAGCTTCTCTCCCTCTCCACTTTTTGATCATGCAAACTTAATTTAATTAGAAGGCATACTGAAGGGTTTAAAGAGTACTCTGCCTTTTTCATTTTCGTTTGCAAGCCATGGCTAATTGTTCCTGAGCAGCAGCTAAAGCTTTACACTCCCTCTGAGAATTGGGGATGCAACTTTCTAAGTGTGTTCACACAAACTGTTGCTCAACCTCCTTAGGCTGCTGGAGTCTCAGCTTCAGTCGCAGAAGAAGAGCCACGAGAATGAACTGGAATCGCTGCGAGGTGAGATCCAAAGTCTGAAGGAGGAAAACAATCGCCAGCAGCAGCTCCTGGCCCAGAACCTGCAGCTGCCTCCAGAGGCCCGGATTGAAGCCAGTCTGCAGCATGAGATCACCCGGCTGACTAATGAGAACTTGGTAAGACAAATGCTGCTGCAGGAGCAGGCCAGGGGACTTACTGACTTGCCACACCTGTAGGTTCTTATCACTTTTCAGATGGCAACTTCCTGTAAAAAAATTGCACGAGGGTTAGTGGGTTTTTTTGTGTGTAAGCTAATGGGAGAGAGAGACTTGTGATTGCTCAGGACATAATAATGTTTCAGGGAATTTGTTTGAAGTTTGGAGCATGGAGAAAGCTTGTGGATCCCAGCTTTCAACCAATGAGTTTAATCATGGCTAAATGGTTGGTATCCAGCAAAGTCATAAAAGCTATTAGTGCCAAGGAGTAACGTTTGGTCTGAAATATGTTAGTTTTTTATTTTGTTGGAAAATGCTGATGTAATTCTTTGACTAAGATCACTTTACTTCCCATTTCTCTCTTCCCTGCCTGAAGCAACACAGATAATCCACTGTGTTATGAGCTCCAGCTATTCAGTATATTTTGAAAAAAGAAATAATTAGAGAAAAAGAAACTTGGTTAGAAGTCACTCAGCTAATATTGGTATTCCTTGTTTACTGTCCAACATTTTTGTACGAAGGAAGAAAGGATTGGGTGAAACTCCTTGCCTTTCCCCATGTTCATCGTGCTTGGGCTACTTAATTTCTGGGGAAATTTTCCAGAGGCCTGTGTTAGAATATGATTGGCTTGATATTGGTAAAGGGAAACATGCTATTCACATGCTGTGAGTGTCATTGCTTCCTCTAAACAAGCCAAGGCAAAGTGTTTCCTGCTTACGTACACTACAGGAGTTATCATTGTCAGTCTCTTGTCTTAATGCCAAAGATTTTGAGGAAAGCATCAGATCATTCAGCTAATTGATACTGGAAAACTGATTGAAAGTAAATTATAAGTTTGCCTCAGCAGCAGCAATCTCCCACTGGCAAAGGTAAATGGTGAATGTTTCTGTCTCCGACAGCTCAATCCTACTGCTGAGTCATGTTACACTTTTTAGCCTTTTTTTCCCCAGAGACCTACTCATCACACTCTGTGTTCCCAAGACAAGACACAGTCATGTAATTATATCCCACAGGAGTTCTCTTTGTTTTCAAATACATCAAATGTAATTTTACTTGTTAAATATAGACTCAATTCCTTAGTGTTTCACTTCTGATGTTTGGGCATTGCAAGTCCACTCCAAGCTGTGGGTGTATGTTTCTGTTCCACTCCTAGCCCTGGAGTGGAAATAATTTACAGGCTTTCCAGATGTCATAGTAGAATTGTGGTGTTCACTGCAATCCCATCTTGATTAGCATAAGAAAATGTCCTGTCCTGATTCTCACAAAGGTTATATTCCAGGCTTTCACAGTGCTAGTACAGCCCATGTTTAAAAGATCTGTCTGTTCTGCAACTCATCTGTATCAGCTTCTCTCTGGGAGATGCTGACATGGACACCACAACTAAGGCCCTAGGCTACCTAAAAATAAGAGATTACTTGATCTTTTTTTATTCTGTTTTAATCTATACAGTGCTTACTGAATTTTCAGTGTCTCAAAGGGAGGGGGTAAAACAATCCTGTACCTGTTTTTACAGTTTTATGAGGAGTTGTATGCAGATGATCCCAAGAAGTATCAGTTGTACCGGATTTCACTTTACAAGCGGATGATTGTATGTAGATCACGTGAATCCTCTTTCTCTGTTGTCTTGGTCGCTGTTTCTGAAGCACTAATTGAAAAGCAGGCTGCCTCCTTTTCTCCCTTTCAGAGGAAATCCCCCTGCAGAGAGCTTCACGATGCCAATTACTTCCCTCACTGCTTTTTTTGTTAGTCTTAGTGTCCTTTGTGTAATCTGCGTCTCTTTTTGATGCACAGTTTTGTTACTAATACAAATCTTGCACTGTGAGCAAAGCCCTTTCTTTTTGAATACTGCTTAATACTGCCCTGAAAAACAGGTGCATGATGCAAAAGATGCTCAATTTTCAAAACTACTCTTTGGTTCAGAACTAGTTTTTGGTTTAAAACTTCGATGCATTTAAATTCAGTTCAGCAAAGGACTGATCATACAGGTCCTTACCAAGGTGAATAATGCCAGCAATATAGTCATAGCCTGAGTTTGTTCTTATTTTAGTGTTTTTCAAAAATGCAAAATATTGACATTGATGACATTGGAAATAATATTTCCATAATAATTAAAGATAGCACCATATGTAAGCTTGAAAGAATATAATGTATGAGTTTACAGATCTTAATGAAATGTGAGATCTGTTCAATTTGTTTAGAGGAACCATAGAAAGCACTTTATTCTTCTCACATACTGGTGGTTCTGAAATCATATCCCTTCACTGATACATTTGAAACAGTCTGTTGAACTTACATGTATTTTTTTTATTAATTTCAAGAAAAATTGTTGTATCGACAATAAGTATATTGTGTTAGCAGGATTTCTGTTGTAGAATTGAATACTGCTTTGGATGTGAAGCATGGTTCATGTCAACAGGCCTAATATTTTACTATTCAAGTATATTATATTAGGTTGTAAACTCTTTAGTACATGATTAAGAACAGTTTGTACCTAATTCTAAGTTGTTGCCCATGCTGCACTAATTTTTTTCAGTACTTTAGGGGAGATGTAGTTTCCCAGATGATGTTTTTGATGCAAGGAGTTCATGATCCCTTACATTCTTACCAGTGCCATGAAGAATCATCATGCTTATGAGATTTTTCTTTTAAGGAAATCATGCTTATGAGATTTTTCTTTTAAGCTGCTTTCCAACACTTAGCCTGAAATGGCTTTCAGGTTTTTTGAGCTTGAGGTTTTGCTTCCTTTAGAAAGACTCTCCGTTTTTTAATTACATGATTATTTTATGAATGTACTATGATAAATATGTCAGGGTTATTCAAACATAGATTTCTGAGGAGTGCTCCCTTGAATGAAAAATACAGGTTTATTGCAAGAGTAGGACTTTTAGGTGCTAGATGTTGTTCAGGTACAGAATAAAAAGTTGTAAGACACCAGTTTCAGTGTCAGAAAATGTGAAGTGGCAAAGCATCACAAGAAATGGTGCATGTTTGGGTGTTTGGTTTTGGTAAGTTTGAGTGCAAGTTATGGTCTTTCTGCAGATCTCTCTCTTATTGTCTCATAACATGGATAGGCCTGAATAAGGAGTCAGTCCTTAAGGCATGAATAAATGATGCAGAAATGATGCAGGATAGCTGTTAAATAATAAAGAAAATTATTTCCATGGGGTATTTGGAAGAGCAGGGAGGAAGCATTAGGAAGATTTGTTTGCAGCAAAATGTCTTCTACTGTAAGAACTGACCTACTTCTGAGTATCTGCAGAATCTGCCTGCCTAAGAGCTTTGCCTTTATATCTTACTGCACATAACAATAATATTTGCAGTATTTGGCTTGTGTTATAGGCAGTGTACCAGCTTGCAACCCTCGGCCAGAGGATGACACTTCTGTCAGCTTTCCTCACTGCCTCGTAATTCTAACAGCACTGATTTTGTCTCTGTCACACATGATGGGATTTTGCTCATATTGTAATCTTTCTCTCATTTTAATTTACAGGATTTAATGGAGCAGCTGGAAAAGCAGGACAAAACTGTTCGCAAGTTAAAGAAACAGTTGAAAGTATTTGCTAAGAAGATCGGGGAACTTGAAGGTACTTTTATATTTTGAGAGAAAGAGAAAGATTTTGATTTACTTTTTGTGATCTGATTGTCATCATGTGCATCTGTTTTAGCTGTTATGAGGGCTTGAGGTCTTCAGTAGGATTAGCTCCTGCTGATTGCAGAAACAGGAGGTACATTCAGAGCTCTGTGTTCCTTTATGAACCTTTAAAAGATCTGTCTTGCTATGGAGCAATGAGAAAAGGCGATTGATATTTCTCTGAAGGCAAACAAATATTTAAACATAAAGGAATGTCAAAGACAGTATCTGGTTTTCTCAAGACAAAAGCAATACTGAATATGAACTAGGCAGAAAAAAATTACCCAGTTTTCCTTTGAATGTGAGGTTTGGTTACTGAAACTAAGTTTGTTTTTTTAAAAAGCCTTTCAATATTGTTTGTTTAGTGCTGTGGACAAGACCATAGTAATATTGATACATAATACAGAGTGGGAAAATGTTTCTAAAAACACAGTGTTATGTGAGTTTATTGCCTAACTAACTTAGAAAGATGTAGTAGATCTGGCTGGGATGGAGTTAGCTTTCCTCATAGCAGCCTGTATGATGCTGTGTTTTGGATTTGAGGCTACAAAAGTGTTGGGAACACACTAGTGTTTTGACAACTACTGAACAGAGCTGGCACAGTGTCAAGGTTTTCTCTTTTTTCCTGCTCTGCCCCCTCAGAAAGCTGGGGGTGGGAGGGTATATGGGCACACAGCTGACCCAGACTGGCCAAAGGAATATTCCACATTCTGTACCTCCTAATATCAGGAAGCAGAAGAGGGGGTTTTTGCATACAAGGTAGCTGTTGTTTGAGATTGGCTGGGCATCAGTCCCCTTGGGATGAGGGGTTGTCATGAGTAATTGCCTTTGCTTTGTTTCCCGTTCCCCCCCCTTTCCTTCACTTGTTAAGCCACCTTCATTTCAACCCACAGGTTTTCTCACTCTTGCTGTTAATATTCTCTCCCCTGTCCTGCTGGAGCCAGGATGTTCCTTAGAAATGTCACAGTAATGTCTCGTGTATGCATTGGCTTCACTGGAAAATATGATACAATTTCTTTTCATTCTCTCTCTGAAGTGGGTCAGATGGAGAACATATCACCTGGACAAATCATTGATGAGCCTATTCGTCCAGTTAACATTCCACGGAAAGAAAAGGACTTCCAAGGGATGTTGGAATATAAGAGGGAGGATGAACAAAAACTTGTCAAGAATCTTATTTTAGGTAAGCATCTTTCTCATTTGTGGCCTTCTCTGCTCCCATACACTCTGAAAAATGAATGATAAGAACACAGAATTTGCATTAGGAAATTGATAGCTTATTTTGGTTTTGTCAGTGTTCAGTTTATCTGAAATTCCTAAATGTCTGTTGTAATCTAGTTTTCCTTCCTGATGAGCATAGTACATATTAAAGTGTCTGCATATTTTTAGCAGGCAGTTATGTTTTCTTTTTCTGTTCTCACATTTTACCAAGAAAGTGGCTCTTCCTAGTTTTGCTGTGTTTTCACAGGCCATATATGTATGTGTATGTGCTATTAACTGGGGAGGTTGCAATTACCTCATAACTTAACAAAACAATGTGTGTTTGTTTTTCCCAAGAGCTGAAACCACGTGGGGTAGCTGTCAACCTGATTCCAGGACTACCAGCATATATTTTGTTCATGTGTGTTCGCCATGCAGATTACCTTAATGATGACCAAAAAGTGCGGTCATTGTTGACTTCCACTATCAATGGCATCAAAAAAGTGTTGAAGGTTAGTTAGTCTGCTTGGTTTAGAAAAACATTAATTTAAAATTTGCTTTTGGTTTTACGTAAGAGGAATGAGGAAAAGGCTTTCAGTTAATTGGCTCCGGGTTTCTGATCAATGAACTCCCACCGAAGTCACAAAAGAGCTGTCTTAAAAGGCAACAAATTACATTGCTGGGATTTTATCCATATAGTACCAGAGGTGCTTTGAATTAGTGGGAAAACAATTACCTTCCTTTTGTTTTGAATAGTCTCCATCCTCTGAAGCTGTGCTTCTGATGTTTTGGATGTAGTCAAAGTTTGCAGAATGAGTCTTTGTTAATTTTCTCCAGAGCGCTTGATTAAATAGTTTCATTTGCAGTTTTGGTTAACAGATTCCCTCATTTGCTTCACCTACAGATTACAATGATGAAAATATGTTACTGCCTAAAGTCTTTGCAATGAGTTGGCTAGGAGAGTTTAGGCCAGGTGTATCCTGAAGGCATTATTAAGATATAAATATGCTTTGTGCTTATATAGTTTTCTGTTTTTTAAATGAGACAGATGTGTTCAAAAACCAAGCCTTTAATCAAACTACGTGTTTTGAAAAAATATTTCATAAACAATCCTGCAGGAGCTTAGGTATTCATAGGAATTTCTGAACATATTTAAGTGAATGGAGTGTATGCTATGGAGGTCTAGAACTACTCAGCATATTACTCAGCATATACTAGATTCTGTGTTCCTTGGTGAGAAGGGTTTGTTGTTTTGTTTTGTTTTCCATGTCAGGCTGCCAAAATGGTTATGATGTAAGTGACATTCATCAAAACTGAATTGTTCCCTGTTCCTCCTGCTGCCTCTGCATCATTCCCATCCTCCCTGTTGGGGTCTTAACAGGAGTCATTGTACCATAGAATGGGTGTTTTGGGAATAGTCATATTGCCATGTGATTTCTTCACAGAACATTTAGGATGGGTCTGTAAAACCAGAAATATCATATCTGTGGAGGAAATCATATCCTGAAAGTTCTTGAAAAATACCACAGAAAACAGGGAGGGTGTTTAATGGTATTTTGCCAAAAACCTTGTTTTTCTAATACACAACCGAAATACAGTTTTGCAAAACAACAGAATGAGTAGCTACAAGAAAATGTATTTTAAGTGTTTAACTGTTTATCTAGCATTTCTTCATTTTATTCCTCCTACCAATCTTTGTTGAACTGTGTTTGTTTTTATCTTCAGAAAAGAGGAGATGACTTTGAAACAGTGTCCTTCTGGCTATCGAACACCTGCCGATTTTTGCACTGTTTGAAGCAGTATAGTGGAGAAGAGGTAAGCACTGCTCCTACTCTGGTGTGTCTTGCTCTCCAATACTTCTGTCAGCACTGCTCTTTAACAAATCCCTGTAATATCTCAAAATCTAGTCAAAATCTTAAAATAGCTACACCTTTTTGGAACGATGACATCAATGGAAAGCACAGGAGGATAAGATTTGAACCAGCTTCCCTTTCTTGCAGGCTGGGGGCCCAGAGGCTAAATGACATTGTGCTCACAAAAGTGCCAACTCAGATTAAGTAGAGGAATCTGGCTGCTACCATTATGTTGTTTAGTAATGATTCACTGCACTCCCTGCGAAAAAGGCTGTATTAAGCCCTTTAACCATGGTATGGCAGACCAGTCTACATTTGGAGGCTGTGGAATGCCTAATTCCTTTTTCAAACTTAACTGGGCTTTTGGCCATAACTGGCCAGGTGAGAATGCCCATGCTGGAGTGAGACAGAAGGGTCTTACCCACCAGAAAGCTGGCAAGAGTTTGTTCCTGTGTCAGATACCTGAAGTTTCAAGTTAAGGAAGCAGATGCTGTGGACATCATAGTTAAAAAGCAAATCCTAGCATTAGTCTCAATCAGAAGAATTTCCAAATTAAAATTTGGGGCTGTAACTATTACTTTAAAGGTATTACTTGTAGTTGCATGAAAAAAATGAAAATACGGGGTTTGTGTAATATTTTTATACTCCATTGAGTCATTAATTTCTGTTATTTTATGAATTCAGGGGTTTATGAAGCATAATACACCTCGTCAAAATGAGCACTGCCTCACTAATTTTGATTTAGCTGAATACAGACAAGTACTGAGTGACTTGGCCATTCAGATTTACCAACAACTTGTCCGAGTGTTGGAAAATATTCTGCAACCGATGATTGGTAAGGCAAAGCTGAATTCCTTAAACTTCACAACATAGTACTAAAATGAAAATTATGATGGTGGTAATGTACTATATCTTGTATTTCTTCCTAACCAGTAAAATTTCTTTAATAGTTCTTGTGGTATTGTGTTCATAAATGACAAAGACAGGTTGGATTAGAGGAAAAACTAAAACTGTGATTGGTTCTTCTGGCAGTGACAGAATAAATCAATATACCTTATTCATACTTGTCATAAATCATACATTTGCAGGAAAAAGCTGTCAGGACAATCTGATATTTATTGCTCTGTCTGTTGGAAAATATACGATGGAAAAATTAGATAATTTACTTGAGAACTCATAATTGAAAATAATATGGAAAAAATATTTAGTTGTTATTATGGGCAGCAATGAGGAATGAAATAGCTAGCAGTGGTGAAGCTCACATTCAGAGATCTTTTCTCATTAAAAGTACTTTCCATTTTCTGTTCAGACACTACTCTCACAGAAATTTTCATTATGGTTTCCAATCACAACATTTAGAAGAATGGAACAGCTCTTGGTTTTGCTGACTCTGCTGCTCATATGATCCTGGGAGGAAGAAAGTATTTTACTGAGCTAGAGTTAGACATTTCTTTCAAACACACATGCTGGATTCTTTGTAAAAACCCTGTAAATTTAGATTTTGCAGAACATAGTGGGACACACAATTTCTGCAAATTATGGTAAACTGTGGCTAGCAGAAAGCCTAGCCTGCTCTTTCTGTTTTGCTCTCTTCCACAATACACTTGAGTATCAGTAGGTTTAAGTCATTATGATAATGTTGCCACTCAAATGCAGTTTCAGGGATGCTGGAGCACGAGACCATCCAGGGTGTCTCAGGGGTGAAACCAACGGGTCTGCGGAAGAGAACATCCAGCATTGCTGATGAAGGAACCTACACTTTGGACTCCATCATTCGGCAGCTGAACTCCTTCCACTCAGTGATGTGCCAGCATGGAATGGATCCAGAGCTGATCAAACAGGTTGTCAAGCAGATGTTCTACATCATTGGGGCCGTAACACTTAATAACCTTCTCCTGCGCAAGGACATGTGCTCGTGGAGCAAAGGAATGCAGATAAGGTGGGAGAGCTCGTTATACTTTTCTCGTGTGCACTGCTGGAAATTGTAGTGAACTCCTGACATTGTTGAACATCATTTTGATGGAACTGCAGATACATCTGGAATATTTATTTTTCCACACACAAACAGTTTCAGATGCTGCTAAACTGATTTTGTGAGGTTCGTTTACAAAGAGCTTGGTTGCCTTAGGCCACATCTTACCTGACTTCCAAGTACATGTGGTAGAAGGAAACCAAAAGTATTTCATCCTCAAGTGGGAATCAGAACTGTAGGTGAAAGGTTGGTAATTGCTCTCTCAGTTTTTAGAGAAGAATAGCAAACATACCCGCTGCATTTTTTTGTATGCTGGTGGTGCAATGAATACCTGTTCATCCACACTAGTGTGCTGCATTCTAAGATAAAGCCATCTTAATCATTTTGGCATCAGTTGTCCAATGGACTCTACTGGCATATGTCAGGAAATTTGTCCAGGGCGTTTCAGTCCCTCAAGTGACTTCACAAAGCCTCACTGTACTTTAACACGAACAAAATCTCATTTGCCTTTCTTCTTGTCACATTCCTACAATTAATAGGAACAGAAACAAATGAGAAAAGCTAGTTACTGAAAGTCTGACCATAGTTCCTAACTGTTATGAAAATCAAAATTTCCTGCCTTAATCAGATAAAAACAGTACAAAGACAAAATTAAAGGAAATTAGAAGTGTGAAGGAAAAGCGTGTAAGGACAGAGAAGAAACACTGGGAAAGAGAAATTGCATATGCTCTCCGTTTAGCAATAATCAAGGGATAATGTCTTGATATTCTTACCTCTTTGTACAGATACAATGTGAGTCAACTGGAAGAATGGCTACGTGATAAAAATTTGATGAATAGTGGGGCTAAAGAAACACTGGAACCCCTCATCCAGGCTGCACAGTTGTTGCAAGTAAAAAAGAAAACGGATGAAGATGCAGAAGCCATTTGTTCAATGTGCAATGCACTGACTACTGCCCAGGTAAGGAAACTCTCCCTGTCTGTCCTGCTGTCACTCTTGAGCAGCTCTGCTCTGTTGGTGTTGCTGTTGCCTGCCAACACTGCTGTCACACATGATTGGAGGTTTCTTACTTCATTTTGCATTAGTACAACTGAAACAGATTACATTGGAGGGATTAAAAAGGGACCAGACCCTTTTGCCATCTGATGTTCAAGATAAGTTTAGAACAAATAAGAGGAATCTCAATAGAGTGTTCAGGGTGTAGTACTATACATAATCTCTGTTTGTGAAAATCCTCTGAGAAAACTCTTCATTCGAAGACATCTCTGTAGTCCAGACAGCTCTGCCTGGGATACTAGGAAATGATCTTTCTGCCATCAGAGTTAGTGTCCAGTCAAGTTAATGGACAATTCAAACAGAGCTGTTATCTCCAAGTCTGCAAACAAAAGTGTTAAGTTACTGTACCCATTAGCCTCAGAAGGCTGAACCCAGTGTATCTCTGTAAACAGACCTCTGTTTATGAAAGCATAGATTTTGTACAAATAAGTTGCACTTTTTTTTTTTTTAAACCATACTACATTTACATACAGCTTGTACAGGAATAAAGGGATCCAAGCATCTTTGATGCTTACTGAACAATTCTCAGCAAGAAAAGGAAGAAATTTCTCTATTTTTTTCATAATGGTGTCAGTGCGAGCAGTTGCATTGATACAGCTGTTTTGATTTAGTAATTCACATTACTGGAAAATCTCCTAATTTTCTACTGAATAAGAAGTAAGAATTCCATATGCTTGAAGTGTTTTAACTTTTTAACAAAGTGTTCAGAGTGTTTTGGTTTTTAAAAAAGAGAATGATAAAAAAGCAAAGAGAATTTTTAATAGGTTTTACACATTAAGCCCATATTATTATTTAAAGTCCTTGTGGTGCAGTTCTTGCCTTTGGTGGTTTTAACCCTATTTTTAGAGAAATAGCTCACTCTTGAAGAACAGTGAAGTTGTAAGACTACAGAAGGTCATGATTACAGTGTCAAAATTAGGGTGAGAAATACATAATGTTTCTAGGGAGGGGGGTGGGCTAGGAACACAATCAGTTAATTCTCATGTGATTTTTCCATCCTTTGATATTTTCCTCACATTTGTAGAAATTTAGAGTTTTTACCTCAGAAGAACACGTGTTCTGAAGGAGGCAGTTGTATAACATAGCATTGAGCAGGTGATGGAATTCTGTATGAATCAATAAAGCAAAAAATAACAGATACTTGTAAATAATTTTACTTTTTAAATAGCTAATTTTAAAATTATATTATTCATAACCATGGATGCATCTGTTGAGTGAGCAGTAAAATGAACCTAATAGTGATTGTTCTTCTTCACAGATTGTAAAAGTTCTGAATTTGTATACTCCAGTTAATGAGTTTGAAGAGAGAGTCTTGGTATCATTTATACGTACAATACAGGTATGTCTCTTATCTTTTCATCAAAAATCATTTGACTATGTCTGTGAAAACCTCTGATGAGCCAAAATAGCTTGCATCCCGAAATACATTCAGGATTATGAATTAAACTATGCTTTTTAGCTGTTGCTTTTTAACTATGTTGAAAGGTGATGTCAGCCTTAAAATTTTAAGCAGTCGCAGGTTACTCAGACTTGCATGAAAATGTTAGTTTCTCTGTCATATGTATGAGGGTTTTGGAAGGTGAGAGGTTTTTGTGCTTATACACCTTTGTGTATTTAAATACACGTATGCCAACTTTTCAAGTGATAACGTTTATACATGCAAATTTAGTCAGACCTGTATCTTCAAGAGAAGTTCCAACTGCTTTGAAAACTGAGGCCTGTGCTCATACCAGAGATCTTAATGTACCCCTTCTGGTTTTATATATATTGATGAAAATGAAAAGTTTTGAAAACTCCAAAGAAAAGCAGACAGTAGAGCAAAATAAAGGAAAGAAATATGATCTTTCTGGTCTGTTAGAAGTTGAATTACATTTCAGCAGGATAAGGGAAATTGGGAAGGTAGAACTGAGATAAAACTTTAATTCCTGAATTAAAGTTACTTACTGAATAGATCACTTACTGAATAGACACCGTTACCAGATACTGGGCTAAATCTTCCTTTTGCAGGGAATCTGAACACTTTCAGATTGCATTGTAAGGGGAAAATATTCAGAACTGAAGCCAATGAAAGTAACTACAGTTTAATGTCACAATTCTTGCAAATATGTTGGCTCCAGTTACTGTGGAGCGTGTGTTTGTACACACACGTGTGTCTGAGCACAGATGAAATACTCCCTCTTTGCAAGATGATTATTATCAGTGAGTGATAATGTAATCACTTTCTTATCTTTGCAGGTGCGTCTGCGAGACAGGAAGGACTCTCCTCAGTTGCTCATGGATGCTAAACACATCTTTCCTGTTACTTTTCCGTTTAATCCATCCTCTCTGGCATTAGAAACCATTCAGATCCCAGCCAGCTTGGGCCTGGGCTTCATATCACGTGTCTGATCCCAAGGATGTACCGTCAGTGTTAAATGGAGAACCGGTTGCCTGATATCTTTACTTGTTAAAACATAGTGAGCCACTAAAAACACATTTTCTGAACAAACAGCCTGTATAAGCCCAGATCTGTAGTTAAGGTAGCTGGAAAACTGCACAACAGCACCACAGACTGAAGGCTAAGAGAAAGATGTGCATTTGTGCTCAGTCACTGCATTTATGAGGACTTCACTGATTCATACATTTCCAGAGTATGGAAATCGGGCTTGGACAAAAATTGTGTCTTCAGCTGTCTAGAGACATTTTTAGATCTTTAGTAACATATTTAAATAGTGTAAATTAAACTCCATATGTAATCTTCTCATAGGCGGGGACCAACAGGGACAGTCACAGTCCTGAACATGGAAGACTTGAAAGTAAGGCATTTTGTAGTAGAATACACAGTCACTTGGGAGCCTGTTACATTTAATTTATAAAAACTGGAATGGAAAAAACACAAACTGGCAATATATAAAATTATTTCTTAAACCACTTCCTCATTTATGTCATAAATTTGACATAAATTGTAGTGATAAGTCTTACAGCTCACTATATGCTATAACTTAGGTGTTCATTTGTTAGTACTGTGGTTTACCAAACATACTAAATCGCTGCTGCATATTCTTCTGTTCTTTCAAATGTACGACAGTATCATACTAAGCACTAAAAATAAGATACTTCATTTTTTGTTGTCAACCTTATTTACAGCCTGTAGCAGTCTGTTATTTTAACTGGATTTTTGCACATGGTATCGAATAACACCTGTAGAGGAAAATGGTAACTAAGCACAAGTAGCACACTGGAAATTATATGTTTCGTTATTTTTAAACTAGTTATTTTTGAAAGTAGTTAGCTAAAAGTACAGAATCTTGAAGCAAATGATCAGAAGTCAGTAATGATTTTAGTATTTATTTAGATTATATAGTCTGTCAAATGTTGTCCTTTGTTTGTAGACCCCAGAGTTGACTGTGTGTATTTTGAGTATAATCTCTTTTCGTTTGTTGCCACTTAAATAAAAAGTCTTCTTTCACACTGGAATTTGAGAGGAAAAACTTTAATGGGAAGTTTCTACAGTAGCCCAAGGCTCTCATTATTTGAAAGGTTGACTAACAAGAACGTTAAGTAGTTTTTGACTATGATGCTGTCATTTGACTATGATTAATGCTGATTTAATGGTTGGAAATCCAGGGTTCATAATGAGAGACTGAGATATTTTGGATATTGCACATCTTACTGGAAAGATTTTTCTGTCTCACACATCTTGGATCTGCTATACAGAATTCACATTTCACAATGTGCAGCAGAAGCCTTGCTTAAGGATCCAGTTCTGTGGTGTATGGCTCAAATATACATGTAAAAAAAAAAGCCACACACATTGCTTAATTGCATTGTGCAATATTTCTAATGTATTATAATAATTATCATCTTAGCATTGACATTAATTTCTTCTAGAATATTGATAAATAATCTAGAGGTACACTGTTAGACTGTTTGGTACTAATCTGTTTGCCTGCAAATTCACAGAAAAAAAGATTTACTGTTAAGCAAACTGAAACATTTCGGTTTTGTTTTACTTGAGAGGCAGACATGCTGTTTGTATGGTTGCTAAAATCAGAAGTAAAGACAACCTAAAGTTTGTCAGTATCATTTTAAGATGCTCGTGTCATCTTATTTTCAAATATGTACAGCCCATATTACATTTGAGGGATCATGCCAGTACTTCCAAGAAGCTACGACTGCATTGCAAAAACGTTTTGAATGATCTTTGCTAAATGATTGAGATTGTTTTCCTCTGCATGGTATACCAAACACTCTTTTTAAAAATATTACTTGATTTCTGAAACTACGGCTACTGTTACGTGGCTCCAAATAAGGTGTAAGGTAGTTTTCAGACTGTTAGGGGTACTGTACTTGGGAGAATGTAATAGGAAAACCTTCTCACCCAGTAACAGGGTTAGGAAAGAAAATACAAGAGAACATGCTGACCTACAAATTTTTTTTCTCCTATTGAAAAACAAACAATTGGCATAACAGTATGTTCATACTGTAGATCAGGAAATGTATCCGCTACTTAAGCGTTTTAAGTGTTTAAAATGTATGCCTAAATGTATTTTTGTTTATTTTTTAAGTTTGTTTACCTGTAAAAAGCCTTATTGTATTGTTTCCTTAAAAAAAAGTAGTGGTTAGTAATTTATAGGTATTATCCTTAAACTCAGTGGTTTGACTGGTATTACTTTTATATCACATTAAAAGTATATGCTGCTTGACATGTTTTAAAGGAAAATATTTTTGAGTTGGAATAGATATGTGTAGTTGGTAATTCATCTAACATTTTACATGGCAGTATTTTACATGCACTTTTCAAAAGTAAAATTTTAGTGTCAGTGTATAATATATCTTTCACCTTAGGACTAAAATCTCTTTAACCATGGAATATAATGCAGAATTATTTTAACAACTTTTTTTTTTTTCCTTTGAATCATTGTTATGCTCTTTTAATGTGGACATATCTTTTATATTTTAATTTATTATCTATTGAGATGATAGATTTTATCAGATGCTGGAAAAATACTTGTCAGTGACCCCTTAGAATTATATACAGTTATTCTAGAGATTTTGCACAATAATTACCTCATTCAGTTTGGTGTATTTTTATTCCAGTGATAATTTTATTCTGATGTTTAGGATACAGTCTTCTCTCCAAATTTTGAAAAATTACTTCTCACACTTCAATATGAGATGGATCATGAAAGTGCTTAAGTCTGTTAAATGTGATTAATCTGTTCTATCACAGAAAAAAAATAAGATCAACTTCTTTGTTGAAAGTGGATTGCTATCCGGTAACATTTGTTCCCAACTTGGAAACACCAGCATTTGCAATTTGAAAGTCTATGCGTGATTTAAACTGAACACATTTCAAATACCATACTAAAACTATGAGTAAACACTTGGATTTTTTAAGATGCTGATACTTCATGTGATAAATAAAAGCCTTTAAACATAGGTTTTCACTCGATGCCACTACAGTACATAGCTGAAAAACAAAACATTGTCAGAATGACCTGAGCTCTGATCTGTGGTAGTGTCTCATGTTGTACTTAGTAAATGTATGCATCATAAAAACTGTAGCCTAATAGCTATCACTGGAAAATGTCCAAATAAAAGTACAACTGTACTATTTGCTTTGGAATTTTTTTGGTTGGTTGGTTGGTAGTTCCTGAGCTGTGTGCTAATATAGTCCCCAGACAGTCACATGGTTCCCTCTACCTACCTCCATGGCAGGCTGGGTGTTGACTGCCAGGGGAGTTGGTTACAATCTGAGGATGTGTAAATACACACCCAGATAGCAGCAGTGTGCCATAAACTGCTGTGCGTATTGCAAAATACTTTGTTCGACGTAGCTCATTTCTGTTATGATATTTTGTCACCTAATATTACCTGCTACTGAAATAAGATTTTTCCTTCACTTAGACATTACATTCTGTGCCATGAAAGCTCCTTTGGTGCCAGGCAAGGAGGGCTGGTGGGCCACCTGCCAAAGCCTGGCTCTGTGGTTATTCAAATCTTCTTCCTCATAAAGGCTATTTTGATGTAATACCGGTTAGTGCCTTCAGCTTACTAAATGCATTCAGATTTGTTTATTTTATTCCAAGTTTGCTAAAGAAACTCCTTGTAGGACGATGATTAATGTTTCTGTTGGTTTTCTCTGCTGGGTCCGGACCGCTCCCCTCGGGACCCCTCTGGCCGTCGGAAGGGACATTATTCCCGCTCCCTAAAGGTGTATTCCGGGTGCCAGCTGTGCCAGTGCGGTACCTGGGAGTGCCGCTCAGCTCCACTGTAGGTACAGGGCGGTGAGAACCGGGCGGTGGCCGCGGGACGAGCCCCGCAGGGTGAGCGGCACTGGGGCACTGGGGGAGCGCTGGGGAAGTGGCACGAGTGAGCCGGCAGGGAGCGGGCGGAGCCGCTCCCACACGCTCCGGGGCGGGGGCCGGACCGGGCCATGCGGAACCTGCAGTCCCGATGCGGCTGGCCGAGCTTTAACGCAGTGAGCGGGGCACGGGGGGCAGCGGGGCGGGTCGGCCGGGCCGAGCCCCGGCGGGAGCGGATCGCGATCTGTCGGGACCGCGGTTAAAGCGCGGGGCCGCCTGTGGCTGTGTGCGCTGGCTGCGGGATCATCCCGCAGATCCCAGGGCACCGGGAAGAAATACTCCTTTTTGCGGAAAACACACCTTTTTCTGAGACTCTTGGCCTTCAGGAGTTGGTCTCTGCTGTGCTAGCCAGCGGTTAGGCAACTTTAAGGTTTAACAAAGCCCTTCCCCTGGGCGCTCAGTTTCGGAGCGCTGCGCTTTCTGCTGGGCAAATATTGAATGTGTGTGGCAGAACTTGGCCTTGAAACAAAGATTCTTCCTCCTTGGTGCACCTGCTGAAGTTTTTGCACAACTTTCCCCGCTTTTCCTGTAAGTCGCTGGATTGTCGTGGCGTATAATTTGTTTGCTTAGCTTTAAATAGCAAGCCCAACATGGATATGTTAGTGATTTATAAGCCCATGTCTCTTCTGTTGCAACAGCAGCTGCCGTAACGAGCTCCCATTGAGCCCGGTGCTGCAGAGCTCTTCGTTCTTAGTGTTGGTGCCGCAATCGGAGCCGCTGGAAGAACAAACGGCAGTTTTCACTGGAATATTGTCAGGGAGCTGAAGGGAGGAAGGAGCGCGGGTGTAACCCGACACGGGAATGAGCAAACTCCCTTCTGTTTACCTGTGAGGCAGGGTTTGGAGACAGCCAGCTCTGTAGGCTGGGTGCATTTGCCAATGGAGGCTCCTGCAACTCCAGGGGCCTTTTCTGAAGAATCAGTGCTTTTGTCACGTTGTTTTCCCTCTCTTTCTCGTCCGTGCAGTTCACCTTCTTACATGGGAACACACTGTGTGCCCCTGAGGCTGTTTGGTGGTGATATTCCGACTTGCATAACAACAAATAAATAAAACAACAACCACCCAGAGGGTGGTTGGGTGCTGGAACAGTCTCCCCAGAGAAGTGGTCACAACACCAAGCCTGACAGAGTTCCAGATGTTTGGGTGATACTCTCAGGCACGTGGTGTGACTGTTGGGTAGGGTCCTACAGGCCTGAGAGTTGGGCTCAGTGATCCTTGTGGGTTGTTTGCAACTCAGCATATTCTCTGATTCTGTGAAAGAACTCAATTTAACAAGCATTTTTGTACACCAGGAAGTCAACATACCATAGGAATGACACAAAAGAAAATTTATACTTAGGTACACATGGAAAACTGAAAACTAGTTTAGCCACGTTTTTCATTTGGCCATGAAATAGATATTTGTGAAGCTGGGCTTTTATCTCTTTTGGTGGGATAGACGAAAACATTGACATCATAGGGGTTTGGAGTTGTTTAGAAAATGTCCTTGTGATTTTGGATGTTGTGTGAAAAAATGCAATCCTGCTGAAAGCATCAGCAAAGAGGTATCATGGAAGAGGCTGAGGTTTCGGTTGATCATCACCTGATGTGCAAACCAGTTTGGCGTATGGCTGACTAGAAAGATCAGTTTCTGTCCTCGGGGATCCTGAAAACTCACCTGGAGAAGTCACTGAGCAACACAAGCTAAATTGTAGAATGTCCCTGCAAAAGTCCCTCTTACCCTAAGAGGGGTGTTGATCCTTGGGAATAAGAATTAAGAAGGCTGTTGTACAGTGCAGTTTGTAGGGACCTGTGTGGGCACCCACCATCATTCAGTAGGGGTTCTTGAGACAGAGACCCTCATGTTCTGAGGATCTACTGGAGCTTCCAAATTAAGAGAGGAAAAAAGTCACTTGTGCTAAAACTAACAGTTGTGGCACCAAAATGAGAAGGTATATGAGTCCCCGAGGTATCTGTGGGTCTGCTAACGCTCCATGAAATCCTTGACTAATGGTAATTTTTCAAGTAAGCAGCTGCAGCAGTTCTCATGGGTTTATTTAAACAGTTTAAACTGACCATGAATATAGCAAGGGTAAGTGAATTAAATGAAGGGTTCTGTCTATCAAAACATAAAGATGCTGAAAGATTATACATTATGGTTGCTTGTGTAAGTAGGGATGGATGAGATTGCTTTGTCAAACCCTGTCAGGATGAGAAGGACACACTCCACATCACTGAAGTAATTCCCTACTTACTGAGTTTTACAGCTGTATTATGTCCTTTTAAGAAGTGCTGTTTCTGATGGCTTCTCAGGCAGAACATTTGAAGAGTTTGCTTATGCTTCAGCATTTTACCTTCAGCAAAGGAGAACTAGATGGTTTGAACAGCATATTTACATTCAAATATCATGATAATAGCTAAGCTAACTATTATCTTGTTTTTCTGTTCTAGTACAATAGGGTTTGGATCCCTGATAATGAAGAAGTTTGGCAGTCTGCAGAAATCACAAAAAACTACAAAGCTGGAGACCGTTCTCTCCATGTGCAATTAGAAGATGGAACTGTAAGGAGAAAAGCCTGTATTATTGTGGGGTTTGCTGAAATATATTTATGTGGAAATATAGGACTCATCATTATGAGATCTAAATAACATGTCCATATTTTCTTTTTTCATCATATTGAAATTTGTACAGTAAACAGCTGCTACTCAAAAATATGAGGACTGCAATGCTACTATCTGTATAACATAAGTATATAGCACATACCTCAAAGATCACTTTTGAAACAAGCCCTGAAACTCATCTTAGGTTGGAGGAAAGCAGTTATCCTCACAGAGCTAGCTGGTACTTCTTTCTTCCCTAAAGTTGTTGCTTTATGTAAGATCTGTTAATTTTAGCATCCAAGTTCTTTACAGATTTAATATTTTGAAAACAGCATTTCTGTATTCCTGTTCCATAAAGACAGCTATTAAATGAATGATTAAATAGATTTGTTGAAAGAAACAGAAGTGAGTGATAATCTTTGTGTAAAGAAAACTGAATGGTTGCAAGTAAGGATCGTTATAGAGCTGCCTTGAGTTCTGACCAGGTGTTTGCTTTCATTCAGTTGCAGCTGGTCTGCTGCTTTTACTGTACTTGAAATATGCATGTGTTTAGAGAGCTAAACCTGTTTACCATTTTTACAGATTTCAATACAAAATAACATAAATAAAGAGAATGTAACTTTCTTTTTCATTAGCAACAAAGAGCTCCAAGTCCCCCAAGTTCAGTGGGATGTATGGAATTGATGAAATAGGTCAGACAGTGCTCCATCAACTCTGTAACTTTGTGTAAAGGTCAAAGAGGAGTTCCTGTTTATGCAAACATAATGCATTTTATGATGTTTCAAGTAGTTTTTGTTGACAGGAACTGAATTACCCTGTTGATCCAGCTGCTTTGCCACCCCTACGAAATCCTGACATACTTGTTGGTGAAAATGATCTCACTGCACTCAGTTATCTCCATGAACCAGCTGTTCTACACAATCTCAAAGTTCGTTTTGTGGAGTCCAAACTTATCTACACATATAGTGGTAAGCAAAGTAAAATGCAATATTTAAAAAAAAATTTAAAAAAATATCTTGGGTTAGTTTTCAATATGATGTGAGTAATATTTTCCTCAAGTATGTTTTAACTCATGTTAACTGGTTTTATGTATGAGCATAGACTTGTTTGTTGATCAGTATCTCCTACCTAGTTTATAAAATATTGCTGCTTTGTATCAGTTTAAGTGTTGTTGCCAAAAATGAGCATTTAATTTAACTAACCTGTGTTTTATTTTTGTTTTGCACCCTTGGTTGTAGGAATAATTTTGGTTGCAATAAACCCCTATAAAGAGTTGCCAATATATGGAGATGCTATTATCCATGCATATAGTGGGCAAAACATGGGGGACATGGATCCACATATATTTGCTGTGGCAGAAGAAGCATACAAGCAAATGGCAAGGTTCAGTATGTTGTTTAATGTACATAAATAACACCTGAAGTCTAGTGGCAGTGTTCATTGTCATTTAACTGTGTATGTGCCACTGGCTATTAAGAATACCTTTGAATAGGTGGCTTAACTAAAGGAGGACGAATTCCTTAACCAGCTGAGGAATTTCTAGAGTTCATAACTATTTTCATTCTTGATGGGGAGTAAAACACTGGCTTAGCTCAGTGAATAGCAATGACACCAACCTAGAGATTACAACTGGTGTAAGAGAAGTGTAGATGAAAGATGGAACTGATATATGAGAGTTGACCACAGCTGTGATTTCAAACATCTGTTTCAAATTTATAATTCCTACATTTATACATGATTTTAGACATGTCTGATTTGAACTGTCTGATTTAAACTGTCTGATTATTTGGTTCTAGAAATAACAAAAATCAGTCTATTATAGTCAGCGGGGAATCAGGAGCTGGAAAGACTGTGTCTGCAAGATACACTATGAGGTACTTTGCCACTGTGAGCAAGTCAAGCAGCAATGCACATGTGGAGGATAAAGTATTGGCATCCAATCCAATAACTGAGGTAAGTTTCAGAGGGTGTCTCTCAAGCCTGTACTCATCAAGGAAAGAATTCCATGGGCTGCTGGGAATCTTTGTTTGAAGTCTTTCGAGATGTTTTATCTGCTTGAGTTAGATATCTAATTTAGAAGTTTAACCTCTGAATATTACTGATGGACAGAGGTAGTCACCTTCAGGAAGGTCCTGTCTGAGTTACCAGTGGCCCTTTGGAGGCACTAGTTTGCCTCCAGAGTGTTGTCTGGCCACCTATTAGATCATGAGAAAACAGTATTGAATAAGTTGTTTGTTTGTTTTTATTAGTTGGAATAGAAACCAGCTAAGGTTCCTTATAACAGAAAAACAGTTCTAGTTCTCAGTTTATGTAACATTATACTGTTTAACTTGAGGTTTGTCTTCAGTTTTGGGCCTCAAAATTTAAGTAACACAACTCAGTGCTGAGATTGATCCCTGAGCACCTTTGATTTTAGAAACTTGCAGTTGAGTCAAGTTTTGTCAAAATTATTCTTATGAGAGACCCAAGTAAATCAAATCATTAAAGTTTATAATTTTCTGTAGGCTGTTGGCAATGCAAAAACCACACGGAATGATAATAGCAGTCGATTTGGAAAATACACTGAAATCAGTTTTGATCAGAGTTGCCAAATCATTGGAGCTAACATGAGAACATACCTCCTTGAGAAATCCAGAGTTGTCTTTCAGGTGGGTAAAATAAAGTTTAAAATAGTCATTGTCAGTATAGCTACAAAAGCACTATACTTTACTATACTTTCCTGATTTCATATAGGAAATATTATGTGAAGTTCTGAATAGTGTGTCTAATCAGCATTGGATTTATTTTTTAACAGGAGATTATATTATTTATAAAAAGAAACTATTTTACTTCGTGTTCTTCCTTCTGTTAAGTGAAGGATGCATCTCAGGGACAATTCCCTGAGCTAAGTGCAAGAAGTATTTGAGAAATCTGTAACATGCTGTCACAACAGTAACACATGCCAGTTGTATCTGGAAAGGAGCAGCATAGGTAGGGTAGAGAGAGTCTTAGTAAAAAAATGGCTGAAAATTTATAAGGCCAGGGCTTATTGCATGTGACTCACTACAGGGTCAGGGCATAATTGTGATGATATCCTAAAGAAAGCATTTAATTTTATAAAACTGTTTTCACAAAGGTTTCTTTATTAATAGTATTGCAACTTTTTAAGTACACTGAAAAATATTTCTATATGTTTGCTGCCTGAAGGATGATTTGAAAATGGAGGGGTTTCAGAGTTACCACAGGGCAGTGTTTCAGCTGACACTCCTACACAGTTGTTCCTTACAGTGTTTGCCAGTTCATATTAGTAGATGGTTGTTGGAGCTGAAGAAATTATTATAGTAACATCCTTGGGGAAAGAACTCAGCATATTGGTCATGGAAATAAAGTATACTTGAATCCAAAGATCATGCTGAAATCAAAGATGTGCCGTTTTAATATAGAGCAATTTCTTTGCCAGACTATGTTGCAGCAGAATTTAGCCCTCAGGCAACATTATCACTTTACAATAGTCTTGAATATCAAATGTTTTTCTGTTTGCTTCTTTGTTCTGTTGTTAATTATTTTTTTCTGTAGTGTTATTCTTTGCTTTATTTTACAGTCAGAGAATGAGAGAAACTACCATATATTTTATCAGTTGTGTGCATCTGCTATGCAGCCTGAATATAAACATCTTAAATTGGGTAGGTCTCAAGAAAATAATCTACTCATCATTTTTGCAGAGCAGTATTTTTAAGGCTGGGATTTCAAATGCTAGGATGTTAAGTGCTTTATAGCATAAATCTCACAGCCTTAAAATGGGACCTGCATTTTTAAGTCACTTAGCTATTAATCCTGTTTGTTTTGAACTTGGTAGCAAATCCTTAGTAACTCAAGTAGTGCACAATCAAGTACCTAAGTGCCTTTGAAAACCTTATACTTTCTGTAGTGACAGGTGCCTTGACAGTTTAGGGGCTTGATTCACTTATCTACAGAGAAGCTGGGAGAAGCAGACCTTAGATATGTGTTTACTCAGTCTCCATTGTTTATTAGATGAAATATTAAGATTTCTAGGAATTATGAATACTAATTTCTGTCAGCTTAACTGAGTTACGCTCATGGATTTCTCTCAGAGAAAAGAGGACCTCCAGCTCATCACTGAAATGCTGTCATCTGCCATCCTCTTTAATTTTTTGGTATAAAGAGTTTTAACAAATGGCTATCCCCAGTCCCTAATTTTTGCAGGATTACAAGCTTTGCTTCTTATCTATAGGAAGCGCAGAAGAATTTAACTACACACGGATGGGTGGCAGCACTGTAATAGAAGGAGTTGATGACAGAGCAAATATGGTGGAAACTCAGAAGACATTTGCCTTACTGGGTAAATTCTTGGGGATGTATTTTCAATAGACTTATCTTTTTTTATGAAATGGGCAAAAGTGGTTTGTTTCTGAACTATCCAAAATGTTAGTGGTAATTACCAAATAATTTCTTTCATAGCTTATTTATTGTACCGTTAGTCTGTTTTAAAAGTACTAGGCAGGAGCAATTAGCAATTGGTGTTAATTGTTAATGGTCAGAATCACTGACGGCTGGAGTCTTCCTGGCCCTTAAGCTAACATGCTGTGACAGAAGTGGAATTGGAAGCTTCTTTGCCCCTGTATGGCTTATGTGAAAGCCAAATTAGACTTGAGCTGGCACTTGGGGAGGTACAGGAATTTATGCCTAATCTTTCATCGGATCAGACAGGCAGAAAATTGGCAGAACCAAGGATTTGCATAGTACTCCTCAGAGATGCTGTACAATTCTTGGCTACACAACAAAGCAAGTAGTCCATCATTGTTCTATTTTAATTAATTGTACTGTTTCTGGGTATTTAAAATAATTGAGAATTGTTTTTTTAGGTCTGAATGGGGATTTTCAGATGGATGTTTTTAAAATGCTGGCAGCAATCCTACACTTGGGCAACGTGGAAATAGCAGCTGCTGGAGATGAAAGATCATCCATCAGTGTAAGGAAGTAGCTCATTCATATACCAACATTTTCTATTATATTCTGTGCCAGAAGTCCTTTAGCAATAGTTTCTCTCATATCTGGGGCTCTGAGCAGCGTTAAATCTGGTGTACTAAACTTGATTGATTTCTCCATCTTCATCTGTACAGAGGCACAGCGAGAGTCAACACAGATGCTGTTTTGTGCCCAAGTTCAGAAAGTCTTAACAAAAGGCAAAATGTGGCTAAGAGTACCCCATATCCAATTGATCCACAGCTGTTGGAAAAGCCATTTGGGACTCTCTGCAGGATACAGGAAACAGAGCTTTGTCAAAGCTTCTCAGAATGTGTCCCAGCAAGCTGTGCAAATCTAAAAAGCAAGAACACCTAAACACAGACTAAAGTAACTTTCTTTCAGTGTCTTAATCCAAAGCATCTCACCCAGTCCAAGTTTTTCTCTCCTGTATCAGGAGTTCTATCCAGTATTATTTGCTTCAGCTCATCTTGGTATTTTGCCAGACAAAGTAGTAAACACAGCCCCTTGTCTATCTAAAAATAAAAATCATAGTTTGATGTCAGCAGTGCAAGGATTTCACTGTCTAGACAACAGTTAATGTAATAAATGTAATCTAATAATATTTACTCATCTTTTTTAAAGATGGAAGATAAACATCTCAGTATATTCTGTGAACTTCTGGATTTAAACTGTGACAAAATGTCCCGATGGTTGTGCCACCGGAAGATTATCACAACCTCAGAGACTGTAATAAAGCCAATGACAAGAGCTCAGGCTGTTAATGCAAGGGATGCTCTGGCAAAGAAGATCTACTCTCATTTATTTGACTTTATTGTGGAAAGAATTAACCAAGCTTTGCAGTTCTCTGGCAAGCAACATACTTTTATTGGTGTTTTGGACATTTATGGGTAAGACAGTCTCTGGAAACAAATTAACTTCTAAGTTAATTTGCCTTTTCTTTAGAGTTCATAAGAGGCATTTTTCAGTTTGTGCTGGCAATGGATTTGGAGGGGGTTGTTTTACTAAAAGGTCATGGTCATATGAGTTCTTTAGCATCCAGAGTAGTGGAAATGTTCAGCTACTATAAATATTAGTGTCTTTTGTGAATGACGTTTAAATTTAACTTCTGATATGATACTTTTAAATTTAACTCTGGATTTTTTTAGCTCTGTTATGTGTGGTAACATTAACTTCTAAAGAAGTTTTGAAATGCCTTAACATCTTCATTGGTTTTATGGCTAGTTAATTTTCTTGGAAACATTAGGATAGCCTTGAAATCTTTTAAAGATACTACCATTTGATTTTGATATCAAGGGATGTTTTCTTTTCTTATTTGAATTGTGTTTCAGATTTGAAACATTTGATGTGAACAGTTTTGAACAATTTTGTATCAATTATGCTAATGAAAAGCTACAGCAGCAATTTAACCTGGTATGTTCTTTTATTTGTTACAGTTCTTTAGCTTACTTTACTTCAGTTTTTAGATTATCAGTAATGGATATTAGCAAATGCTATTTGTGCTTGAGTAATGGATATTTCTGGATAATGACTATCCAGTAATAAACTTTTTTTAACATGTATGCATAAATACACATATACATATGAAAATTTCTGGGTTTATTTTCTTTCAAGACAGACATGTAATATAATCCAAAATATTTTTTCTGTCTTATGTATACAACCATGCACATGCACACACTGTATTTATTTTCTTCCTTAATTGTCGTAACCTTACATTTGCATAATTTTCACATATCCAGCATGTCTTTAAACTTGAACAAGAAGAATATATGAAGGAAGATATCCCATGGACTTTAATAGACTTCTATGACAACCAGCCTGTCATTGACCTTATTGAAGCTAAAATGGGAATTTTAGAACTTCTGGATGAAGAGTGCTTGGTAATTTAAAAATTCTTGCATTTAGAGCTCATAGAAAAAAAAAAAAACCTACATAGATTTTTACAAGTTGGGCTTATAATCCATATTTTGTCCTTTTATATGGGAAGTAGAGCATTTTCCTCATAAAAGGAACATTAAGATTTGCCCTCTATTTGGTAATTTTAATTGTAAGCCTCTTAGTCTATTTTGCTCTTGTAGAACCTAAAACTAGATCCTTAGCTAGAAGACAATCCAGTAATTAGAGTTCTTCACTGTGAGGGTAGTGCAGTACTAGAACAGGTTAAGCAGAGGTGCAGTGGGATCTTCATCCTTTGACATTTTCTGAATTTTAGCTCAAACAGCAGTTATCCAAGCAGGAATTTGGACTATTCAATCTCCAGGGGTCTATTCCACCAGTATTTTGAAAATGAAGGTATTCTACAAATCACTAATTTTGATACAAAAAAGCCCCCCACAGTCTCGCTTTTTAATAAGTACTTGTTGAATGCACCAAACCTACATCTTTGCTTTTCTTTCTTCAGTGTTACTATTTTTTTCTCTGTGTCCTCTCCTGACTGTAGAAATTCCTAATCTATTTTTTTTCTATGTTATATGTAGTTCCTCTAGGCTTCCAAACCTATCGAAGAAGCTTTGCCAGGGAAGAACAGGTCAGGGAAAGTTAAGCCCTGTTAAAATGGTCTCTAAAAGGTGTTTGGGTGATATTGGCAATCTGTACCTCTTGGAATCCATGGAGTAATATGGGTAACATGTTCTGCTCACTAGAGCATTCTCAGGGGTCACATTGTCCCCATTTGCAGGTAGCATCCTCTCAGGACAAAATTATTTATGACTCACCAGAGAATTAACTCTAGTCAGCAAATTTGTGGATTAATACAATGCTCTTTCATAAAATGATTTGCTACAGGGAGCCACTGATTAGTTTGAAGATGCAAAAACTGGTTGTTGTCAGGCCTCATAGTTCACTGAAGATGTTTTATTCGGAGTATTTATTGACAGTAAGTGTTTTTGCTGCCCTTAACAGTCCAACAAGTTTGCTAAAGAGATCACCCTTCTCATTTTTACAGTTACCTCATGGAAAAGATGAAAACTGGCTTCAAAAGCTATATAATAATTTTGTCAGTAAAAATGCACTCTTTGAAAAGCCGAGGATGTCAAACACGTCTTTCATCATTCAACACTTTGCTGATAAGGTAGAGTGTAAACAACCCAGTAATGTTTCACTGTGTTTCTAGAAATAGCTCATTCAGAAAAGAAACCGAATTAGAAAATAGGAAATATTAACCACACTTGTTTGGAACTTCTATAAAATTGATCTTCAATACATAGTGCTATTTATTTATTGGTGATAGTGTCTGTAATGTGCCATATAAACATAAGAAGTGCTTAAGATAATGAATTTGAGAGTATAAAAATAAATCATCAAGATAAAAAGCAGAAAAAGAGTAGAGTGTATAAGTAGAATAATTACAATTGTAGTCTATACACATTTTAATCTCAGTTATTTACATTTCAAATATAGTATTCCTTTTTTTGATATTTTGATTTGAAACCATAGTATCATGAAGAAAGGAGGAAAGAAATTCCTAATGAAGGCAGAAGGAAATTGCAGTTGATAGTGGATTCTGACAGTTTGTCTTGCTTCTAAATTTACAATATGCATGTATGTAATCTTGAGATAATGGAACTGGGAAAAGAAGAATTTCAACCATCATGTTTAAGACTAATAAAGAGCTCTTGGCTACTGCAACTGAGAGAGTAAAAATTATTGCTTTGCTAACAGTTTATGTGTTGCTGAGAAGTTAATGATTTTGCCTGTTTGCACAGGTAGAATATAAATGTGAAGGATTTCTGGAAAAAAACAGAGATACAGTACATGAAGTATTGATTGAAATCTTGAAAGAGAGCAAGGTTTGTGAACAATCAGTAATGACTAATTTTTTTAATATCTGATTTTACTGGAATTAATTCAGATCTGGTTTTAAAATATTTGTTTTGATATAAAATTAGTCTTAATTTTTTTTTAATATTATCCAAGGATATATTTTTAACATAAAAATAATATAGAAGATGAAAAACCACAGTGTTCAACTTCTTCGTATATGTGCATTTACTTTGCCAGTTATGTTGGAGGTTTTTTTAATATCTCCCTTGAAGGCCATTTTGTAATCCTTGTAACCGAAAAACTTTTTTTTCCTGTAGTCATTATGTGCAGCTTTGATAGGTAGTTTATCATTAACAACTGCCTTTGTTTATTCTTCAAAAGAGATTAAGAGAATGCCAAGGCAAGGAAAACATCAGATGTCTTATGTGTGCCTGCCACTTCCCGTCTGCTGGAAGGCCCTGTCCCTTTGAAGTCTACAGCCTTGAGTTAACTTAAGAAGTTAGCTTCATCTGACCAAAAAACATAATCTTGAATTACATATTGTGAAAATATAACCTTAAGTGGTCTTATTTTTAACTCTGCTCTGTGTTTATGTCCGTATTTGCTCATACTGAAATAGCTTTTGCAGGCTGCCTTAACAGCTGCTGAATTTTGTCTGTGAAACGTGTAAGTGCTTTGCAGCAGACTCAGAATCATTCCAGCTCTTTCTTCAGTTGTTTGTTTGTGGCTTAAATACCCAGTTCCAAGTCCTGCAATACCTGGCCTAAGCATTAAGGGGTTTGCACTTTATGCTGTAGTAAATGTTGTTTTTATTTAAATGTTGCTACAGTTACACAGTATTTAACTCTGATTCTTTCACCACACTTTTAGTTTCATCTGTGTGCAAATTTTTTTCAAGACAATCCAGTGTCCGTTTCACCTTTCAGTTCAACTATAAACATCAAATCTGCAAGACCTGTTCTCAAGTCACCCAACAAACAGCTCCGGACAACTGTTGGCAGTAAGGTACTGCAGAAACGTGCCAGTCTATGATGCTTGTGCTTTGAAGGAAGTGTACTGGGCAGTCTGAGAGTGTGATACTGGATCCTGTTATTGTTCATGGGGGACTGTCCAGTTTTCAGGACAGCCAGAACCACCCACAGTGCAGTGCTCCAGGACTGGGTATAAGTAGGTGTGTTTAACTTAAATATAGGAGACTCCTAGCTACATCAAATTAATTTTCCTGCATTTAAGATGTAAACACTAAGAATATATATCCCAGTGTCCAGCCAAAACCTAATAAATAATTAAAAGAATAAGATTTGAATTTTTGCTCAGCTGGAAATGTTTCATCAGCAAAACTGTTATGTCTGGTATTTTCTAGTTCCGGAATTCTTTGTCTTTGCTTATGGTGACACTCAATGCAACCACCCCTCATTATGTACGGTGCATAAAGCCAAATGATGAGAAGTTGCCTTTTGAGTAAGTATGTTAGTGGTGTTGAACTGTTCCATTACCTTTAAAATTAAGAGTATTTTTCCATTTCACTGTAGCAACATGTCTGCAAGTTAAATTCTTATTGTTGAGCAACTTCCCATATGGAACATATTTCTCCTTGCAAGATAACTAAAGTAGAAAAAAAAATTGTCATTTTACAAAAATAGAATAATTCAGTAATAGTTACTGATGCATTAAAAATTCTTTATTATCCTAATATTTTTTAAGTTGTATATTAGTGTTTGTGTATTTGTGAGAACATTTTTAGGGGTAAGGTTGCCCACCTTTGGTTTAAGTTGATGGATATTTCGAATGGTATGGACTAGCACCAGTTTATATTCAAGGAGTAAAACCCATTGCCATTTTCTTTGTGAACATACCTTTTGTCCACAGAAGTACTTAAAAAAGCTTTAGAAGTCAGAAAAAGTGTGAACAGTGTTGAAATAGAAATCCAGTTAGTAAAATGGTTCTAATTATTACAGCATGCCAGACCCAGCAGAAATGTAAAATATAACTCTACTTTTTTAGGTTTGATTCAAAAAGAGTTACTCAGCAGCTACGAGCCTGTGGTGTTTTGGAAACTATTCGAATTAGTGCACAGAGCTATCCATCCAGGTAGGGGTGGCAGTGAGCCTCCTTGGGTCAAAAAATATTTGGTTGTCTGTTAAATGAAATTAATTAGTTAACTTCTAATTTTCCAGGTGGACTTACATTGAGTTTTTCAGCCGTTACAGCATTCTTATGACCCAGCAGGAGCTCTCCATAAATGACAAGAAGCAGATTTGCAAGATTGTTTTGCAGCGGCTAATCCAGGTTGGTTTGTATGCACCAACCCACAGATGTACTGCAGCTTCTATTAGTAATAAAAGGTCTCTTTTGCCAAGAGTAGTATTTCTCCTCAAATAGGGAAGATATTTACGTTATTACTGTTTTTCCTGATTTAGTGTGCTGTACACAGGCTTGTGAGTCAGTAACATTGTGTTGTGGCACAGTCATGATGTGACCATAGACAGAGAATATAAACACTCTGTGCTTAGCATTATCACTTGCAAAATGGAAGATATTCTACCTATATTTATAAACCAGTGAACAGTAAATGGTATAGATTTGTCAAGTATTACAAGCACAAGAGGGCTTTTGATGGTGGAATGCAGCATGTTGGAGAACTGTTCTAAAAATGTTCTATTTTACACGTCTCTCCTATTTGTTAGACGAGCTGGTAGTGGTGAGGCTGGTCTCAGTCAAGCCAGCAACTCAAGTCAGCATGTCAGGAGTGAGTTCAGACTCAGGGATGTGTAAAAGCAAACACAGGCACACTTGCTGCATAGCTCTGGCACAGGCCAAGGGTAAGAGCCTGAACTTAAAAGCAGCTTCACCCCTGAGTTTTTGCTCACACAGGTCACTGATTCAAGGCCGGAATTGTGCATCAAAAGGTAGTGTTGAACCCATGGAACCTTGGGAGACTTGTAGAAGGGGGTGAAGAGATTGTTTTCAAGGCTTTGATGATAAGTCCAAAGCCTCCCTTTAATTTTAGATCACAAGTGTGCAACTTTTGATGTAATTCTCTGGGTCTTTTCCTGCTAAGTGGATTTTCTCCCCACATACTCTTATCTACAAAGAGGACAGAGAGGATATTCTTCTGTAGCAAGATCATGTCATTTCAGAAGAGCTTGCCTGAAGTGACAATTTATAAAAGGAAGAGAATGTCTGGGCTACAATAATAAACTAAAAACTCAATATACCTACTGTTTTCTTTTTCAGGATCATAACCAGTATCAGTTTGGGAGAACAAAAATTTTTTTCAGAGCAGGACAGGTTGCTTACTTAGAAAAACTGCGATCAGATAAACTGAGACATGCGTGCATCATGATCCAAAAGAGCATTCGAGGCTGGCTGCAGAGGAAGAAATACCTTCACACAAAGCAGGCAGCTGTTACCATCCAGCAGTATTTCCGGGGGCAGCGGACAGTACGGTACTCTTGGCTGATAAATGAATTTGCTGTTGGGGGGTGTCTGAAGGCAGATAGAAGATCAAACTAAAGCCCAGAGTGTCATTTTTATGAAAGAGCAATTCAGGCTGTATTTTCATTTCCTCTGGATTGTAATTGTGGACTTGGAAATGTTCGAGTTATTCAGCTGATACGAAGAATGTACTCTAAACAGGTTTCTAATGCTGTCTGTCAGATTCCTGAGAGCCTCTCTACCTGTAAGCTCAGTCCTTATCTGATGATATGTGACCCAGTTGTCAGCAAGGGGTTACTGCTGAGCTTCAGGGCCAGAGAAGATATCAGGGAGCAGAAAGGAAAATCAGTTTATGGGGTCTACAAATTATTATGCACAAATTATTGCAAGGAGTTATGCAACAAGGGAACTGCACCAGTCATTCACAAAACAGACTGAGAGAGAGATGGCTCTGTGTAGGCTTGGAAATTTTCAAAAAGAGACCAGAACAACAGCTTGGGGACAGATGTCAAAGGCTGTGGATAACTCCCTCTCCTTCACTTTGCTTGAAGAAAAAGCTTTATTTTAGATAGCAAATGCCTGTTTTCAGTATCTTTTGTTTTGTTTTGTTTTCAATATCCTTTTTCAATGTCTTTTGTGTGTGTGTGTGTATGTATGTTTGATTTGACTGACCAAAGGAATGAGCACGAGAAATCTAATGTGACCTAAGTAAACTTTGTTGTCTTTTGAATCAAGGCAAGCTATAACTGCAAGAAATCTGAAGCAAACGTGGGCAGCTATAACGATTCAGAAATACTGTCGGGGTTACCTGGTCCGTAGACTTTGCCAGCTCATCCATGTGGCTGCTGTAACAATACAAGCTTATACAAGAGGATTTCTAGCAAGAAAAAAATATCAGAAGGTACAGCCCATCAAAAATTTAATTTCAGTGACTAGAAACAGCTGTTACTCTATGAGAAAAATGGAGACAAGGACAATGATCCCCAATACTTTACCTTTTGCATATCTCATTCTCATATCTTCTACTCTGTTTTTATATTGTTACTATAAAAACACTGAATCACAGTAGATACCAAGAACATTGTCTGGTTTATACTTAAAGCAGATCATTTTGTGTGATTACTACAGTGGCTCAAATCTGTCTGCAGTCTGGTAATTTGAGTATTTTGATACGTCCATGAGAAGCATCGTGCTTGCCCATGTATGTAGACTCACAGGCTGTTGTTATTGCTGCTGACAGAGCCATAGATAATTACAGACAGATGTTAATATTTTATTTTAAAGATGCGTGAAGAACAGAAGGCTGTGGTCCTTCAGAAATACGCCCGTGCGTGGCTTGCCAGGCGCAGGTTCCAGAATATTCGGCGCTTCGTGTTGAATATCCAGCTCTCATACAGAGTGCAGCAACTGCAGAAGAAGATAGAGGAACAGGTGAGGGAAACCAGTTTATGATCTGTACTTTATCACATCTGTTCTAGTAAAAGTGCTTATGTTGACCAGAGGCTTATGTGGATTTAAATATCTGTATGTTACTTGAGAAGATGGGAGAATATGCAAGGGATATGGTCCCTTATAATAAACTGCTAGACTTCCTACATCCAGGCTAGAAAGAATCCCCTAGGATTTCCTTATATTTGTGGGTTAGTTATGCAAATGAGAAGAATCTGCAATGAACTTTTTTTTTTTAAAATGTTTCTTAAGTAGTCCATCCAGTCTCTGGATGGGGTTACTTGTTAGTATGAAGGATGTGTGAGATACTGCTCTGGTACAACATATTTTTGGGAATTCCACATTATGTTTATTTTGCATTTTATTTTTGAGAGCCATACCAGCCAAATCATCTTTAAAATGGTAGTTTTAATCTAACTGAGGGAAACAGTCCCTGGTTGAAATAATCATGACTGGTATGGGATGGTGAGCAGAAGCAGGTCAGCTGCTCCCTTCAAAATTCTATGGAACAGTTTCAGGTGTGCATTTTTTTGTTTCCTTTTAACCTGTCCTGCTTATTGTAGAGTAGAGAAAATCATGGTTTGCTGGAACGATTGACCAATTTGGCTTCAGCTCACATGAGTGACACGGACACAATTCAGAAACTCGAAGCAGATCTTGAAAAGTTAACTGCTCAAAAGAGAACATACGAAGAGAAAGGGAAAAAGTATAAAGAGGACAGCGAACAGGTAAATTATAATTGCCATCTGGGTGCTTTTATTTTTAAATCCTTTTTTTTTCAGTTACTGGATTTATCAGATGCATGATTTGAGAGTTGCTAGGTAACTATACTTTTTTGTGTTTATGTGGGAGGCAGCAGAGAAGGAAGGAAGTCCATAGATACTTGTTAAAATGTAACATCTTCTGTGACCTATTTCTTCCTCCTTTGTAATTTGTATATTATGCTTGCTTTTTGTGTGTACAGAAAATCTTAAAACTTGAGAATTGGAATAAAGAATTACAAGAACAGAAAGAGACCTTAGAAATAAAGCTCCAAGAAAAAACTGAGGAAATGAAAGGTACAATAACTAAAGGGAGTTTCAAAGGCATTGTAGTGGGGTAAATTTGTAAAGTCAAGTTTTCAGCAAAACTAAATTACTTTTGTATTAATAAGAGCAATATAAATGCTGAATTTACATTAATTGAAATTCATGTTTAGAATGTGTAGTGCAAATGCTTTTTATTTAATAATTAAATTAAATTTGTTCTTTCAATAGCAAAAATGGTCCTCCTCTTATGCTTCCTGTCTCATGGACATGTATTCCTTCAAAGTGTAGCTTCATCCTTAGTTCCTTTAATTGATTCCTTTTAGGAATCTAGCTTCAAAGGACACAGGCAGCACATGAGATCAAGTATACTTTAGAGGAATAACAATTTAGTGTTTCAGAACCTTTTCTATTCTATAGCATTCCTTATAAAGTGTACTGTGATGATTTTTGGCACTCGAGAGAGTAATTTCAGCCTAAAAATATGTTAAGGATTACTTACTTAAGCAAAAATTTCTCATTGTGGTCATACTGTTTTAATAAATGTACATAATTGCATGAAAGTCTTTGAGACATTGAAATATCTTTTGACAGAGAAAATGGATGACCTCACAAAGCAACTCTTCAGTGATGTACAAAAAGAAGAAAAACAGCGAATGTATGTAATCTGAATTTTATTGCTTTGAAACAGCATTCATTTTTTTCTCTTTCCCTACCTTTCTTTCTCTCCTGCTGTAAATGTGTTATGAATCTATCCAAGTTCTTGGACATTAATGCTAGTCCTGAAGTACTTCATGTAGAGTTTAGGAAAGCAAATGCTTGTTCGTAGGTCAGTCGTGCAGGAAATCATGATGAGACTGTTCCTGCTTTTTCAGTTTCCTGTCTTTTCATGTGTCTTTCTAAGAATTGAAAGGCAACCTTGATCTGATGGTTTCTTTAGAAATATCCTCGGAATTCGGTCAGGACTGGAAGAGCAGCTGCTGGCCATGCCAGTCAGAATTCCTGTGAAGTGAATTTTAAAGGGCAGAATTGAAATATTCAGTATAAGGAAAGGCAGTGTTTGTAAAAGGACATTTGCTTAAAGATATAAAGGAAAGAACTTTTTCCCCTCCCTTTGGTGTTTCATTTTCAGTAGTAAAAATCCTGTTATTTTTCAATAAATGGTTTTTGCTTTGCAGCATACTTTTCTTGGATCAAGTACTTATTTCCCAATAACTCTTTTCCAGTGTAAGACAGAGAACCTCAGGTACCATAAAAATGCTGTTTTCTGAAGTGCAGAGTGCAATCAGTCACAGTCCTGAGGTCTGGAAGCTGTGTCATATTCCAGCTCAGTCTGATTTCAGCTGCTAGTTACTTCAGACTGTACTAAAACTAGACTTTTGCTAGTTTTTCTGCTTTGCCCATTATCTATATTATGTTGGAAGCCAGTCCAATCCATCAGGGACTAGTGGAAAATGGAAAACTGCTTGCAGTGTTTTACTGAGCAGGACACAGGGCTTTCTTTTGCTATGTCCTTCTTCAGTGCTGACTGTGGCCATAAATGTAGTGGAAAGTTACTCAGGCAGGCTAACTCACAGAGTCAGAGAACTAGCCTTGAAGTGGAATAAACTCAGTTTTGCCTTTAATTCCGTCCCAGCATCTGAATTACATGTAGTAAAGTCTATGGACATTCTTCTCCCATTATCATCCATTTTGTAGATTGATTCTGAGCATACAGGATGGCATTTTCAAGTAATTATGGTTCATTTAAATTTTCTTCAATGAGACGTCCTTCAAATTAAAACTAAAACAAAGTCCACTCTTTCACTTATGACTGTAGAAAAATAAAACCACCTTTCCGTTGTCTTCTGTAGGATACTTGAGAAAAACTTCCAAAATCAGAAGCAGGACTATGAAAAGGAGATTGAATTGCTCAAGGGAGAAATTAAGATTCTGAAAGAAGAAAAAACTCAGCTGCAACATCAAATTCAGCAAGAAAGTGTCATTCAGGATGGCTTGAAAATGGAAGTAGGACAGCTTACAAAACAAGCACAGGTGAAACATGATGCATATTTCATTTTGGAGTCTTTGCTAGATAAAGCAAGTAGAGAATGTGCATGTCTTATTTATAGATTATCTTCACTATTTTTTTTATCTTCACTGCACTTTTAGAACAAGTTATAATTAATAAACTATATTTGATACACCATTATGTAGCATCCTGTTCATGTAGTACACAATACGAGTAAGTTACTGCAGTGCATGTTTTCAAGAATAATTGTACTTGAATATTTATGCATTTAAATCTGCGGATCTTTTTTCCTTCCTTTTCCTGAGAATGTATTTGTTTCTCAGGGGATTTTTCATAGAAGTAGTTTATAAACTGAACCTGAAAATAGTACTTTGGTGTAAAGTCACATTTTTTTCTCTGAGTCAATTCCATGGCACAGACACATATTTTTTCAGTACATCACATTTTTTTTCTGCTCTGATGCCTGAGAACCAGATACTTTAAATACAACACATTTCAAACCTTTTACCATATGAACCTGTTCCTAATTATAACTATCCTTATGATTTAATTGTTACTCAGCCCTTGTTTTTCACTACTTGTCTCAGTCTACAATTTTTCTCTGATTCAGAAAATACCTGAGTTACAAAAGGAAATCGAGCTGCTGCAGACGCAAAAATTGGATGTGGAAAAGCAGGCCCACTCACAGAAGCGAGAATTGAGGGGTAAGACACACACCAGATATTGCTGAGAACTTACCAACTATGACATGGAGACAGTTTAAATTGATTTCTTCTGTGTTAGCTTTGATGAAACTCCTGTTCTCTTTCCCATCCAATACTGATTTCATTCTATTCATATATTTACTCACATGGGGGGAAAAAAGGCTCAACAGATGAGTTTTACAAAGTGATCACTGAATACTGAGATCAGGTGTACCCCTTTGAAAAACCTCTGATTTACATTTCTCCTTTGTGTTTAAAATTCAATACTAATAATTAAAGCTTCACTTAGAATTTAAACTTCGCTTAAAGCTTAACAAATATCTTGCAGAGACCTAAGAATGTGGAAACAGTACATTATCTGATGAAGTTTTCCTTCATCTTTAGCCTTGGGTCCAGTAATGTCAAATATGCTTAAATAACTTGCTGAGTTGGGTTCCCTCTGGGAGAAGGTGCTTAAGAAGCACCACTGTTGTGGACTTTGTTCAGTGATACCAACATCATAGAGAAAACCTGTATCTGCAGCATTTAATGTAGTAACCTAGCACTAGATGACAAATCATCTGTACAGCTCTAGCAGTTGTTCAGATTCAGACTGGAAAGGTGTAACTTTGCATTGAAAGTTTGGTGTGTTTAGAAAAAAAAAGTACTCTTGGTGGTACACCAATCTAATGCACCTGCATGTCCCATAGTAAAACCAAGTTCCTCATTGTATTCTTGTATTAAATCAGATACTTAACCAAGAAATGGGAAAGAACCTCATAGATTTAGGAAGAGGTTTGTTTAATTTTTGTAATTAAGCGTAATTTGAAATGTGCGGAGAAAAGAATTCGTATAATAAACTTTATTAGTTTCTTCATGTAATAAAATTCTTTTTTTTTTTTTTTTACAGAAAAGATGTCAGAAATTACAAAACAGCTTCTTGAAAGTTACGATTTTGAAGATGTGAGAAGCAGGTAATTTTGTTCTGAGGTCTCTTAAAAAAAACCCTTAAGAGATGCATTTTGTTCACGTGCACACTCATGGTACTGCCTTGCATTCCAGACTCTCTGCGGAGGATTTGGAACACTTAAATGAGGATGGAGAACTGTGGTTTGCTTATGAGGGCTTGAAAAAAGCTACAAGGTTAGTTCAGTTCTTCAGTGTTTTCATAACTCCAAGCTGTGATCTAGAACATAAATTGGAAGATCAGTGAGTAACTAATTTGACAGTGCAGCACTGAACTTTTGTTTAAGAAGTGAACAAACACTACATTATATGATGGGCTGAGCAGCTTAAAGTCAGTTTAACAAACTTTAAAAGTCAGTGAGTAAGTGTGTATGTATGAGTCAAGGAAATGTGTTTCCTCTGAGATATCATGCATAACTTTCAGCTCCCTTAATGCACAGGTGAGGTAATGGAATATCTCTGTGTTAATCACAGTACTTTGTTTTCATTTCATATTAAACTTGACCCATTTCACCAAGGTCATTCTGCATCTGCCATGTTCTTTCTCCCTTTTTTTTTTTAACAGAGTATTGGAAAGTCATTTCCAGTCTCAGAAAGAAATATATGAGAAGGAGATTGAAGGTTTGAACTTTAAAGTTGAACACCTTAGTCAAGATATTAATCATCTACAAAAATTATTCCGGGAGGAAAATGACATAAATGATGGTATTCGACTTGAAGTTAGCAGGCTGACTTCAGAAAACCTGGTAAGATCAAGGTGTAGTAATCAAAGTGTAGTAATCAAAGTGTAGTAGTACAACCCAAATGTGTTTGTGGCACAGAGCACTCAAAATCTTGCAGTCATGTCCTTGAATTCTCAAGGCTCAAACAAATGGGGCCATCTCAGATTGCACATCCATAAGGCTCTTTCCCTGTCTGCTTGGGGTGGTGTGTAAGGAAGCAGCCAAATTTCTTGTCCAGCTCTACAGTTTGTTGGGGCAGCCTCACAGAGATTCTTTTCCCTTTTCTTTTGCATAAACCCGGTTTGAGATTTTTCTTCAGAAGCCTCTTCGAAGTTCTGAGACTCTCCCCGCCAGAGGGCAGCTGAGCATAGCAAAACACACCAAACAAACTGCAGGCATGGCTGAAGAGTGTGGTAATTGGTGCTGTGCAAAACTGTCTGACCCAAGGAACAGATATTATTCCAGAAAATAGCATATACCGCATAATTTTTCTGAAAAATAATTGAAGAAATATTTTCAAAACAAAGTTATGAAAATTGAAAATATAATAAAAAGTTATTTACAATGTTACTTTTTAAAAAAAAACATTTTATGGCATATTGAGGGCTTTTTTCCACTATTAATTGAACTGGGGAAATTAAAGCCACAGTGTAATTTCCTTTAAACTGGAACAGAACAATGGTACTACTGCGACAGTCAAACAATTTGATTAGCTCACTATTTCATTTTTAACAGTGGCCAGCAGCAGGTGCCTCCAGCAAAGTTAAACAAGTCAGGCAAGCAGGTATCAGTGCTCCCCCAGAGCCTCTCCTCTGGTTTTGACTATTTTCAGTTGAAGCTCCTGAAGTGTTACAGGAACTACTGCAGGCATTTGAAAAGAAGGAAGATGCTGAGATACACAAATCTCCTTTTCCTCTAAAAGGTGATCCCAGATCTTAAACAGCAAGTTTCTGAACTTGAAAATCAAAAATTAGATCTTGAAAACCGTCTTCAAGAGCAGACTGAAAAGTTGAAAGGTAAAGTACCAGTATGATGCCTTGTCTTTCAGTTGTTCAATGGATTCCCTATATTTGAACTTTTAAAAGTTGAAGCAATATTCTGTGACAGCTTCATTGCTGTATTACTTTTCTTCTTAGTAAAATGTAAGAGACACAATGAAAAAATATGTTGTATATTTTATATATCTCATTAAAGAATAAAATACGTGCAAGCATGTGCTTTTTTTTTTACCTTTTTGAGGGCGTTCAGTTCTATAGTTTGGATGTCTACAAATGTATTCAATGGGGCTCTGCAGAGAATATGTGGAGTGCAGTATGCCCTTTGGAAACAGTCATAAAAAGGAAAGATGATTTGGAACTTAAGGCATACTCCATGAGATGGACTTAAGAGAGTGCTGAAGATTCAGAGTCAGAGGGAAAAGTTCTTGCTGAGTTTGCTTGTTTGAAAGTTCTTCTCAGTTTAGGAAAGCATACTCTGCTGAGCATTCTGAGTCTCTCTAGCTGCAGTGTCTTCCTAGGCAACTGATTTAAAATTTAGAGGTATTTTTACTGCCCCCTGCAAGAAGTTAGTAGCATGAAAATTCTTCATCCCGTGTAAATTTCTTTATGTCCCATATTTCTCTGCTACATTATCTGGCAGGTCATTCCCTTTCATTAGATGGAACAAAATTATGAGCGTAAGAAGAGATTAACTGAATACCAGTACAGAACAGTAAATGACTTTGATTTTGTTGTTTCTCTTTTGTTTTGGGTTTTGTTGCTATTTATTACTGAAAAAAAAATGAAAGAGATGTCTAATCGGCTGCATTATGAGCTAGAAGGGACTAGAACACAGAGACGGTAATTTTTTTATTTTTTTTTTTAATTTAAGAAATGTAGTCACTATAAGCTGTGGTAACAGAGTCAATTAAACACCTTAAAGTATTACATTTCATGTAAGATTTACCCTACAGTGTTGTGTACAGTTAATAAGTAATGGATGAGTAAGACATAACTATGCTTTAACAAAAGATTAAGAGACAAGACTTCTTATCTACCTATTTTTAGAACTAATGAGGCTCAGAATGAAGTGGAGATAAAACAAAAAGAGACTCTGAAGGGCACAACCCAAGAAACTGAGGGGCTGAGCAATGGTTTGGTGCAAGATGAAGTCCAGGATGAAGTACAAAGCAAGATAAAACAAGTGACAACTCGATTCCATGTGGAAAACATGGTGAGGAAATGATATTGTCATTAAGAAATTGTACCTGAAATGAAAGATAAAAAGAATGAAATAATGATTTTGTGGTATGGATAGGATGTTTTCTCAATTAATTGAGGGAGAAAAAAATATGAAGGTGTTTCTTCCACCAAATATAAGTAAAAGCACATCATAGGACACTTTAATTGTGGCAATAACATAGAGCAGTAGAAAACAAATTTTTAATTGTGTTTACTCTGAACTCACTGACTTGGATTATTACAGGATCTTGAAGAAAAATTAGACATGAAAGATAGAATAATAAAAAAATTGGAGGATCAGATCAAAACTCTTACCAAAACTCTTGAGAAAGGTAAGATATTGTTATGTGATCTGTTTTTTTAATAGCTTTGCATGGTCAGTGTCTGTTTGAAGAAAAATGTATTTAAAGAGGTGGAGTTTGGGGTGGGGTTAGAAATTCAAAACCTCAGGAAAATGTGCCAGGGGAACCACCAACAGAAATTACATAAAAGTCATTTCCTGGTTTGTTTGGGTTTTTTTGTAATAGGCTAAATAATAGGCACATATGGGACCCAGACTGTATGATAAATATTAAGCCAGAGGCATAAGGTTCTGTCAACAGAAGTTAACACATACCCTCACCCAAACACTGTCTCTGAGCCAACAAAGTTAGTTTTGCGTGGGATGAGTAACTCCTCCCATTACCCTTCAAGTGGCAGGTGGTTCCTGATATGAAGTTAGTTTGTACAAAGCTCTTATATACAATGTAGTTGTTTGCTATAGAAACCTCTTAAGAATATTGCAGAGGTGCCTTAATGTAGAGATGTGCTGTTGGTGTTTATTTGCCTTATTAACACAAGTAATTCCACTGAATCCAGCGAAACTATTCATGAACAATATAAATGTTATTTAACTCATAATGCTTGGAAGCATAAGCTAAGAACATTAATGTGAACAGGCCTGTACTCTATTATAGAGAAAACTGCTTTTCCCCAATAGTTTGCTCTGATGTGACCATTAGCTCAGCCACTAACCTGGAAGTAACAGTACTTTTGTGTTTGACAGCTGAAGCTCATGTGCCAACTTCGTCCAAAGAGTACATTGGAATGATGGAGTACAAAAAAGAGGATGAAGAAAGGATCATTCAAAATCTGATCCTTGGTATTTTAGTAAAACTTGACATTTTCTAAGTTGTCAACAATATTCAGAACACTGCAACAAAAACTACAAGGCCATATTTCACTTACATTCAAAGTTGCCTTTTTCCCCACTCCCTTACCACCAATACAACTTGGAGGATCTGCATTGCTCTTTTTCTATTGCCAGACATTTCAAGTACAGAAGTGCTTTATCTGTGTAAAAATCATTTGTCTGACTCCACATAATGCTGACTCTGTTATCTTTTTTATTATTTATTCACCTCTAAAGCTCTAAATCTCAAGAGCACACCAGGGACTTGAATTTATGTTCTTCCTGGTCATCTACTAAGTCTGTTAGTCACTGGGCTTACATCCATGTGTGATGGTTACTCTCCTGTCTGTCCTTTCCATATCATTCTCTTCACTGAAAGGAACTGTACTTTCATGTTTGTCTTGTAGAAGAATTTTGTCCTTCATCTGTGTTACTTTACCATATCAATTTTGCTGCCAAATCAGCTTTTTGCATTACCTTACAATCAATATTAAATTCAGCAGATTTTCTATGCACATTGGTACCATTATTAAATTAACAATATCTGCCTTTTCTTATCAGCTACTTCACCCTTGTGAATGTATGTATCTTTGTGAACAAAGGTGTGTCTTTAAACAATGCCTAAATTTGTGGGGCCTCCAGTAGGTAGTTAAATGCAAATTGCTTTTTGAAGTTGTTCTGCCTGGCGTAACCCATGCTGGACCTCAGAATTTGCTACAGTACTCTCCTAACTCTCTGAAAAACTTAATTAATACTATTATGTGTGCAATACTGTTACAGAAGTTTTCAGAAACCAGCAATTCATCAATAAATCAATTATGAAGTGTCTGGTCCCTGAAGAGATGAACCACATAGTGCTTCTTTTTCAGAATGATACATTGAATCATTGAATTTTCATATAATAAACCCGATGACTCTCCTCTATGCAGATTTAAAGCCACGTGGAGTTGTAGTTAATATGATACCTGGCCTGCCAGCTCACATCCTATTCATGTGTGTGAGGTATGCAGATTATCTGAATGATGCTGACATGCTGAAGTCTTTCATGAATGTAACCATTGATGGTATCAAACAAGTTGTTAAGGTAGGAATTGTGTTTGGCTGCAATATATTGTACTTTTTTATTTTTAACATAAAGTATCAGATGCATGCATAGGACCTGGGGAATGCCAGCACTTCCATTGCTGCTAGTCCTGTAATGGAATGATGATCATTAGTGACACTTTTTGAAGTTTGCAGTAGTATCCCTGTAAAGTCTCCAGGTAAGGTTCAGCTGTGCTGAACACAGAATGCACAGAATGCATTAACATAAATTATTTTTATCTGAAGAACCTCTTGACAAAGTAATTAAAAGTATTTTTCATTTTACAATGAGCAGCTAATTAGGTGAAATGCACCTATGCTTTCAGCACTGGTAAAAGTCAGATGGACAGAAATGAAGGTTAGTAGGTCTGGCAGCAGGCAGATAGAATTATTAGAGGTTTTTACACTGCTCTTCTACTAGTGTAATAGTTTTTTTCTGATATGTCATTTGGTACTGCAACACTAGTACCACAATATTAAAATTTGTTGCCAACCAGTTTACAAAAATTAAGTTGTAAAGAATTGTTAGCCTGTTGTCTCATCTGCGTAACAAATTCAGCTCTGTGAATGCTTTGTTGTGGATTTATGCCTGGAAACACCAAGCAAGCACAGACAGGAATAGACTGTGGTTTATGCAGTTGAACATGTTGTACAGAGAATGCCTGTAGTTTGTTTAGAAACAAATTTATAGCACAGTTTATCCATTAGAAAAGCTTTTTTGCACATAGTTAGAATTATTTATTTGTAGTTCAGTTTCATTGGTGCGTGCAGGTGTTGTTCACACTTCTTTGCAGGAAGCCCTCCAGTACACTACACTATCCATAGGAGTGTGCAAAGAACTGTTTGTTCAGGCTAATTCATTTAGCCAGTCTGTCATATCAGAATACTTAAACAGTATTTACCAAATAAAAGAGGGATCTTTGCTGTGTGTGCCTGAAAACACAAATGATTTGTTCACCTAGGATGTTACAGGTGCTGTGTGCTCCTTGTACTGTAGATTGACTCTATTATGCCAACGCTGTAATGGTCTTAAGTTTAGTTATTAAATTAACTTCATGAGACAATACCATAATAAGATTGCTTTACTTATTTTCAGGAACATTCAGAAGACTTTGAGATGTTGTCCTTTTGGCTTTCCAATACATATTATTTCCTTAACTGTTTAAAACAGTACAGTGGGGAAGAGGTAGGATTGATTTAATAAAATAATGTCATTACTTTACTTTTAATAAACTTTAATTGGAGTTAAAAATAGTGATAATAGATGATTATTCACCAGCTCACCACTGTTCCATCCAGGTATTTAGATATTCAGATTGCTGTGCAGTGGTATTATATGTCTTATACAAATAAAAAAACCAGTATAGAACTAATAGATCAAGTGAAATCAAGGAAACATCAAAGTGCTGAAGTAGGTTAAAGACATGACCTGAGAACTGCTCCTTAATTTGAACTATTTCACATGAGTTTAATGTAGGCTGGACTTAAGATATCCAGCTATCTATCTATCTATAATATAAAAAAAAGTTTTACTGTTTTATTATTGGGACCTTTCAAGCACCTACTGCTACCAAAATAAGGCTACAGAAGAAAACCTTGGGAAAGAAACAAAACAATAAAATGTTCAGTTTTTTCCTTATTTCAGTTGCTTGTTTAAGCTAAGTTTTATCCTGAGATTCAAAATTCTTTTAATTATTTTCAATTGAAAACTCTTACTATATTTTTTTGGCTAGGTTTTATACATTCAGATAGACTGAATGAAATTAGAGACAATGGAATAAAGTCTTCAGGATTAAAGGAAAGAGATGCCTCAAAGCCTCGGCATCCCAGTGTGTGCTGGGTCACCAGCAACGCTCCCTCTCGTGGTCGTGCCGGGAACGGCTGCAGAGCAGCGCAGAAAACATTTAAACTTAGTTACCCAAGTGTTTTATAATTTGGTTGCAACAGTAGGCAAAGGTCTGAATCCAGAATTTACTGTTAATACATATTTCTAATGAATATTCAAGACTTCACACAAGTTAGGATTCCGTGTAGACTTTTTGAAGTCAGAACTTTGCTAATGAAAAGTCTGAAAATAATATCCCTTTGCAGCAATAAATTTTTTTTTGACATCATAGTTTAAATAACTATATTTTTGCCTTTTTTTATTTTTTTTTTTTTTTGGCAAGGGGGCAGGGGAAGTTTTCTTTCTGTTTAAGTGATCTAGGAATTGTTCCAAAGTTTATTGAAGTCTATGCATGTCTCTCCCTTGGCTTTAGGAACAGAGTAAATGTCAGCATAAACTGGAAAATTAAGTACTGGAAGCATCCATTGAAATTACCTCTAGCTTTGACTCATTCTGAGACTGTGTTCAGCCAGAGGTGGAATGAGTTACTCTAATACATACATTACATTGTGGGAATCATTTATAACTATAATGTTATGTGATTCTAATAATTATATTTACAACTCACTTGTAGGAATTTATGAAGTGTAACACTCCACGTCAGAATAAGAACTGTTTGAAGCATTTTGATCTCTCAGAATACAGACAAATTCTTAGTGATTTGGCCATTCGAATATACCACCAGTTCATTCTTGTCATGGAGAACAACATTCAGGCCATGATTGGTAAGACAGCACCAATCCAAACACACCTAATGCAGCTTGTGGACTGTATGAATAAAGCTTATTCATGGAGGCAAAGGGTGGGACAGACTTTTCTCCTGTTGATTTATACATGTGTTCCAGCATGTGTGTTTCCACACATATAAATTCCACTGAGTGGTGTATCCCCACAGGGTTTGGAAAGACTTTTTCCTCACAGCACTTCCTGGCGTGGGATAATGCTTTGAATCTGAGCAGCATCATACAAAAACAAAAGGCTTTTTAAAAAACGTGTGCTCCAGAAGCCTTTTTCAGTATCCCATTTTTCTTTTATCATTTAACTTTTAAAATACCCTGAAAGTAGGTTTTGTTCAATAACTAATGTAACCGAAAGGATCCTTGGGAGTTTTGTTCTTATCAGTTATTTTCTGTTGTATTTCAGTACCAGGCATGCTGGAATATGAAAGTCTTCAGGGAATTTCTGGCTTGAAACCTACGGGGTTCCGTAAACGTTCTTCTAGTATAGATGACACGGATACCTACACAATGACCTCTATCTTGCAACAGCTCAGCTATTTTTATAGCACTATGTGTCAGAATGGCTTGGACTCTGAGCTTCTAAAGCAGGCAGTGAAGCAGCTTTTCTTTCTAATTGGAGCTGTCACCCTCAATAGTCTCTTCCTCCGCAAGGACATGTGCTCGTGTAGAAAAGGAATGCAGATAAGGTAAAGCCAGTAAAGTTTCAACAAGCTTGAGAATGAATTTTGAACACTTTGATGTGATATCCTTTGTCTCTAAGTGACCATTCTGATGGAAGTAGCCTGTTGGTTTTTTTATTCCTTTTGAAAAAGTAAATCTTTGCATTTTGGGTTGAGCTTTCTCAACATAACAATTATAAATTGTTCTTTCCATGGAAACACTAATGGAGGAAAAGGCAGAGAAAATTACAATCTGAAGTTTATAGTCAGGCATGGTTAGGATTCTTTCCATGCTAGCTCATTTGTGATGTGACCAGTAGTATTTTTAATTCTTTCTTACTATAGTAAACAGGTGCAGTGTCCCCTGGCTGGCAGAGGGACAAAAGCTGACTTGCATGTTTCATGCTCTGTGACAAGAAAAGCACTGAGACAGAGCCTTTGAGGATGTAGATTGAGCATCATCTGTCTTGTTACAAGCACCAAGAAAACATGCCCCTGTTTTGCAGAAGATACAGTTCATTTATTCTCCATTAGTCCGTCTGCAGACTAATGTGAAAGAAAATCAGTAAAATCTTGTCCCATCTGGGAAATTACTGGAAGAAAGCTGCTTTAACCTTTAGGTCATGAGTTGTAAGGCTGGCCCTGCTTTGTAACATGCAAAGATTTTCCTAATTTCCTGTACAAGCTCAGTTGTAAATGAATGTTTTCATGACATACAGTGCAATAGGCAATGCAGTATATATAATAGTAGTTTTCTGTAAACAACAGCTAATAACTCACTCTCTATTAGCCAAGCTTTTGAGAAATAAACAAATAAAAACAAAAAAGCAAACTAAACAAAACAAACAAACAATCCCCGTCTAAAAAAAAAACACACCAATTTGAAATATACAAAGGAGTAGGAGTAAACTTACAGTTCAATAAGCTATTAGTTGTTTGGGTTTTATGATCTATGGTTATGGTTTTTAACTTAAAATGTACTAATTTGAACACTGCATTAGAGAAATATTTCTTCTTTAGCAGTCTTTAAAGTAACTTGCTTGTCAAGGGGAACCTGACGTTTCTGTTCTTTGCTCATGGTTTAACCCAGATGTAATATCAGCTACTTGGAAGAATGGCTTAAGGACAAGAATCTTCAAAGCAGCAATGCCAAAGAAACTTTGGAGCCGCTATCTCAAGCAGCCTGGCTCCTTCAGGTTAAAAAGATCACAGATGATGATGCCAAGGAAATATGTGAGCACTGCACATCTCTCTCTACTGTGCAGGTAATGAACTATCTGTTTTCTTCTGGCAGCACTGATTGCAGAATCTTAGCCATCTAAAATAATTTGTTGCAAAAGGCTATTGGCCTTTCATTTGATAAAAATAACATTCATCAGCATTCTGAATCATCACTTGCTCAACTGTAATTTTAACTCCTTATTTCTGATTGTTAGCATTTTAACTGTGGTGAATAAATACTTGCCTGCTTTGTTCTATCCCGCATTTTTATTCCACAATGTATCTTCTTTACTTTGCCACAGGGTTTTTTTTTATTGTTTCCCTTAATCAATTCAGCTTTTTCAACATCTCCTTGATCCTGCTGACACCTCTGGAAATGAGTCATAACAATCATCATATATTTAAACAATTCATTAGGTGACTAGTCAAAACTCTCTCTTTACTGTAAAATGTTTTACTGAAACCTTAATTAAATATCAATAAGGATGTCATAATAATGTTTTCTTCTTTTTGTCCTCTCACTTCTTCTGACATAGTAAAATAGTCTTTTGTAATTTGAACAGATAGTTAAGATCCTCAACTCATACACTCCGATAGATGACTTTGAGAAAAGAGTGACTCCATCATTTGTTCGTAAAGTCCAGGTAAGAGCTACAACTATTATTTCTCATATTCAGCTTTCAGGATACTTCACACACACAGTTTTTGATGTTAGGTAGTTGTACCCGACCTTTACATCATATTATTACTACATTGTTCATCTTCTAGGCATTTGGAAGTGATGCAAACAAGTCTGCTTAACATAATGTAAAAGCGAGATTTGCAATGGGAAGAAAACAATGGACTGTTTTTGCTTTGATTCTTAATACAGTATTTTCTTACCCTTTCTGTTATGATTTCAGGCTATGCTAAACAACCGTGAGGAGGTTCCACAGTTGATGCTTGATACCAAGTATCTCTTTCAAGTGACGTTTCCTTTCACCCCCTCTCCACATGCCTTGGAAATGATACAAGTCCCCAGCAGCTTCAAACTTGGCTTTCTCACAAGAGTTTAGTAAAAACAATGAATTGATGTTTCCTCAGAGACTGTGTGAAGACATGCAGACTTTCATGGTTCATTTCACCTGCTGGTGGATAGTATGGCAGCTTGCAGCGAATTAAACTGTTAGAGACTTCTTCTTCAGTCAGGACTTAAACAGTAGGAATAATTTTGGCTTGTTATTTCCTTCTCTCTGTTCTTACTCTTTTCCCTCCATTTCAGTCCTACAGTGATGACTTTATATCATCAACTGGACACAAAGCTTACCATACAGTTTTTTAGTCCAAACCTGACAAGAAAAGCATTTATCTGACAGGTTTGTATTGCTGCCCTGTCAGCACCAGTCAGAGGGGAAGACTGCCATGTGATAGATGTTACTGCTTTACAACTTGCCTTGTCTTAGCTTCCTGTAACAAGAGGGTTTTTTTCTTCCCAAGGTAACTCTATTCTTTGCCTTGATATACTGGATCTGTTTGAGAGTAGCTTTCATCTTCACTTCTTATATCCTTATTTCTTTCACTACAAAAGTAGTCTTTCACAACAGTTCTTCCAGAAGACTACATTGAAACTGGGGAACAGAGATCAATCCAAGAGAATTGCTGTTTACAAACCCACATTGTCTTTTTGTGGGCATGCTGGCTAGGCTCCCTCTGCTTGCATTGCAGCCTGGGGACTCTGCACAGATCTTTGGCCAAAGCAAGGACTCGAGTGCTCTTCTTCAAGACAGGTTTCAGTTTTGTTCTCTGCAGTGACAAGTTTGGATTTAATATGAGTTATTGTAATGGAAAAGTCAGATATAAAGTTCATGTTTTGATCCAGGTTTGAATTATAAGCTTGGTTCTCTAAAAGACAGGAGTCATCTCCTGGTTTGGTTCCATCTATAGTGCAGTGTATTTCAGAATATACACTGAGTGTGCACATGTGCACATCACCTTTCTCCTTTTCTCTTTTTGCTGGTTTCCCTCCTCCAGTCCAGAGACTGAATAGGAGCAGATGCAGTTACTGTGGTCTGCTGTTACTGATAAACCAAGCCTAATTCCTTACATTTCATCTTTATTTATTCCTTTTCAATTGCAGGATCCTTAAAAGCAGTAGTCGTCTCCTTTTTGCTTTGTTCAGCCTTCTCCGTGTAATCAGGGAGTAAAAGTAACTTTATTTAGTTCTGGACTCTGTCAGAACAACTGGGGAAACAGCATTCACCTCACCACAATGATAACTATCCTTAGAAATTCCTCAGTAAATAATGCTGGTTTTCTAAACTACTTTATTAGACGTAGTTATTAAAATCAAGTACTAAAGGTTTGAAATATTTGATGGACTCTAATTAATTGAGTTAATTTAAATATTGCAGGAAAGAACAATTGATTTTATTTTTATTGTTGTTATACAGTGTTAGTACTACTTGTTTAATTTCACAGAACAATCTGTAAATATAAAGAAGGAATCATTCTTGCTATTTAGTGTTCTTGGTGTTTACTATGTACAGTGTAATACTCATCATGATATCCACAGAGATATACTCAAAATATATGAAGGAAAAATTTTTTGGTTTGTTCAACAACAATAAAAGCTGTACAAAAGATCACGTATGTAGGTAGACTGGTATTTTAGTGTGTTAAATAAAGTAGCTTTTAAATCACTTTTTAGTGCTCTGTGTGAATGAATAGCTATGTTCTCAGTATGGAATCATTTGAAAGAAGTTACTTGGAACTATGTGAACATTAGTGAGTACTGTCAGTCTTGTATTGCACCATAACCATTTATTTAATGGTCCAGTTGCTTTGCTGTAACATTGTGTATCTTCCTGTCAGCATGGCATGCTCTCCTTGGCTCCTAAGGAATTTCTGGAAATATTTTAATGCAAGCAACTTTTGTTGCTGTAATTTGTGTATAGCCTTTTTTTACAGTTACTGGAGATGAATGAATGTTACCTGGGATGATGTGAGTAAAATCACAGCCCACTCTTTCAGCCACATCACACAGAAACATCAAGGCATGGATGTCCTTTATGACAAAAACTGTTGATCAAGAAAAAATTGTTCTGACAATTTGATGCTTGGTTACTTTAAGAGAATTGTGTGAAGTATGCTATTAATACTGTGTATGCAAACAGCAAAAGATATTTTTAAAAGAAAGTTAAAAATAATCGAGTCTGTTGTACGCTCTCAGAAACTGACCTTGTTTTTGCTGACATTAATGCCTTCAGCCAGTATGTAAGTACAAAATTCTTTTTGTTCTCTGTAATTCTTCTAAATATAAGGAGCAGTTTTAGTGGAAGAGGCATTACTGAGGCTAACTGTCCTAGAATGATAGTGAAAGTGAAAGCTATTTCGTTCAAATGGGAAAATCACACAATCACAGAATATGCTGCTTTGGAAGGGACCCACAGGGATCATCAAGTGTTGAATGGTGATCCTTACTGCAGTGGCATAGCACTGAAATGGTTTGTGGAGAGATGTGTGAGATGCTCTTGGCATCTTTGGATGTGTTTAGACATGTGACTCCTGCAGTTTCTGGGAATAGAACTCAGCAGCATAGGTGGTCCCTTTCAGTCCTGTGCTTCCATAATACTCTAATAAAAAAGAGAATTACAAAATAATACTATAATAAAGAAATTTCTGCCCAAGTCTCTGCTGGGCAGAAAATTTTTTTTTCCTCTTTTTCTTTCAGATCCTCTTGACTATCAAATGCAGATACCTAATGGCATAATTTCAGTGACTTCCATGGAGTCTTAATAGTAGATATGACCTTCAGCATTTTTTAAATTTTTCAGACATGTTTTCATGAATTTCCCCAAAATTGTTTCAAAGAGTGCAAGAAAAGCAGAAATTTTTAGTCCTATTGATTTTAAAGTTATTGTCTTAGAACAGGTAAATAGTAAAAGTATAACCAAGGAGGAACCAGCATGGACACTAATCAATTTGTTTGACTTTTAAATTTTGTTAAGAATATGAGATAAACATCAACAGTGCTATTCATCAGAATGTCAAATTGCTATTTGGAAAAATCAGTTGTCAATCACCTCCCCAGTATGTTTCAACTTTGCTGTTTCGAAACCACCCAAAAATTGCTGCTGTATGGAACAGGCAGGTAAGATCTAGTTTCTGTCCTTTATTCTATATTCTGAAGAAGGGCAGTTAAAATAAAGTCTTTATCATCAGTAATCATCAGCACGTAGCTGATCTGAGGTGATGCAACTGGAGAGGCTGAGCTTTAAATACACTTTAAGTAGACTTAGTAGGAAGGTTGTCTTTCTGCATTAGCAGTAGCACAGAGCTTATTTAGTCATCTTGAGACTCTCCAGGTTCTTGCTCTTTGAAAAGGTGGGTAATTTTTCTTACTTATCAACAAACTTCATTGCACAGAATTTCTCTGTAACATATTTTTTCATGATTCACCATGCTACCATTTTTAGATTTCTAGTATAACTTTAAAAACCTAATAAGGTTAAAATTTCAGGCTACAATGCAAGAAGTTGCAATGGTTTTAGACCTTTGGGGTTTAAATATCTTTATAAAATAGTATACAAATCTGTCATTATGACAATCTCAGATATAATACTCATTTTTAATTATTCAGAAGTTTTGATGGCTTCTATTATAGCAAAATTCTGTAACGTGTCATAATCTCATCTGAAGTAAAATACTGATAGGCAGGTAAGATTACCCTATATGTTATTACTTTTAATTCTCACACTTTATCAAAATTAATTCTGCCCAGAGTATTCATTCCAAGCCTAACAGAACCTTGTCAAAAGTCTCTAGAGCTAGTGATGATGTTTTGTTCAAATAAGATGGCTTCACACCAAGTATCTAAATCTCTGATTATGAGGGTATCTCTGAACATGAGTTGCCCTCAGTGGGAACCACTAATTCTAAGAACCTTGGACTAACAGGTTATTCAGTTGTGAATGTCCAGTTTTAAGAATCTAGCAGAACTGAGCCCAGGAACTGTAGTCACTTAAAAACCATGAGCAATACCTGCTCCCTGAAAGGATGGCAGCTTGTGTTCTCAGGCTCACATTTGCACAAGAACACATTAAAAACTTTAGGACGTATTTGCTGCTTTTCGTCAAATGGAATATAAACCTCCTGGACTGCATAGAGCTGACTGAAAGCTCCATGCAAATTTTAGATTAAAGTGCTGTAGTTCTTTTCAGGACAGATTACTTCCTGCATGTGTTGGGATGAAGTTATGCATCCCCTGGAGACAGCAGGAAAACTTATATTGACTTAAGTGTGGGTGGGATTTCTGGGTTTATTATCTCATTTTTCATGTAGTCCACTGAAATACATAAGAATAAACAGCAGAATGGAGGCAGATACACAGAGTAGAGTTTGCTTTATATAATGACCAGCCAAACAAATTCTAAAATCTGCAGAGCTGATTGAATTTCTTTTGTTCCATTTAAATCTGTCTTGCAATAGCTTCTTCTGATTGTTTACCAAAAATTCATTATTTATGTACATGTCTAAGTAATGTTAAAAGCGTCCATTTTTAGAAGTGGTGAAAGGTCCTATTTTCCCTATGAAAAATGTGCAGAGAAAAATGACACTACATTATTATTCTTGTTTGTTTCTCTGACTCTCAAGTAGTTTTTAATACTCTGTTGATGATAGTTCTTTGATCCTAGAGGTGCCTGGCTTCAGAACAAAAGGGTTTTCGTAATGACCCAGCTGTCAGTGTGCTTGAAGCATCAATTTCTGCTCAAGAAGCATATTGTTCATATTTTCTAGCTGCTGCTGCTGGAATCCTAGCTCATCTTTTCAGCTTTAAAGATACTATATAATACTGACTATTTAATTAGGCAGGGGAAAAACAATAAGTATCAAACAGTGGAGTTTCTCAAAAGTTCAGCTGTTGTTATGCATTTCTGGTTATTGACTGCTGACAGACTGAGTAAAAATTGAAACTACTTTCCCACATGTAGTGAATCCATGTGCACAGCACATATTATAATGGCATGTGTATATATACATATATTTTGCTTTATATTTTTCTGCGTAAAATTAGAAT